TTATTCTATTGTCATCCTATCTATCATCCAGTATTTTCCAGGTAGTAGGATCCGGGTTCAATGGTCTCTGATCCATCCGCGAACTTTCTGATAACATATATTACACAGTTTTCTGCATGCATCAAGTTCATAAGCTCGCTGACTTGTAGGAGAAGTTGTTATTTGCTAGTCTTATTGGAAGGCAACTGAAATATCCGATTGCATCTTCATCTCGTGTCTCCTCATGTCGAATCTGTGTTTTATTATACAGTTAAGGATTTTTAGCTGATATCTTGCCCATCGGCTTCTAAGACTAATCGTGAAGATGAAGGACTCAAGTGCAGCAGATATGAGAATTGGAAGATAATGAGAGTATTTGAGTACTGGCATCGTGGAAAACATGGATGAGAGATCCCTGAATCTTTAACAAACATCAGCTTGCTCACTGATCTGTCCCTCTTCAACAACAAATTCACTGGTCCTTTGGATGCGTTGAGGAATTCAACACTCCTGGAATATCTGGGTCTGGGAAGTTGGGATTTGGTCCAGAATAAATTCACGGGACGTCTGACGGATGCGATGGTGAGGTCGTGGCCGAACATGAAATATTTGTACCTCTACAACAATGCTCTGATGGGAAAGCTCACCAGAGCCCTAGGTAATGTGACCCAACTTATAGATTTGTATCTAATGGGAAACAAATTCGAGGGCGGCATTCCTGAAGAGTTTGGAGACCTGCAAAAGTTGGAAGAGTTGAGTTTGTATGACAATGAGCTCACGGAAAAGATTTCCGCTAGCTTGGCTAAAATGCAGGATGTCTTATATATCAGCTTGGGAAATAACACTCTAATAGGAACCATATCCCAGCAGTTGGGCAACCTCACGAAGATCCGGGGCTTGAGTCTGCATACGAACAATCTGACTAGGGAGATTCCACCGGATTTGGGTAAGCTACAAAAGTTGGAAGATTTATTACTCTTCAACAACAATCTCATTGGCAGCATTCCAGCTACTCTAACCAACTGTAGTGCCCTGAGGTTTATGAGATTGAGTTACAATTCTCTTAGAGGGCACCTAGCGCACACAAATTTTGCAGGACTAGAAAATTTAAGAATTTTGGCTCTCAACGGTAACCAATTCAGTGGACTTTTTCCTGTCACATTAAGCAAATGCACAAATCTGGGGTGGTTGGATTTGAGTAGGAATCACTTGTCGGGGGTACTGCCAAAGTTAGATGTCCTGAATGCGCAGTTGGATCAACCACAGTCACAGGGGGAGACTTGTGGGGGTTGAAACTGTTGAAGCTTGCGTCTAACTACTTCAGCGGCTCCATACCTTCTTCAATTTGGAAGCTTCCCGCATTGCATGTACTTGAACTCTCTTCCAAGGCGTTAACTGGTGTATTGCCTCATGATCTCTCAGGATTGATGGTCTACAAGCTCCCCACATAGAGTAAACTCAAGGAAGGAGACTGGCGTCAATACAAAGACTAAATAATCTTAATAGATAATTATGAGGTGATATCACTCAGAAAAGCATAAAACACTTTGCCATATGAGTACGTCCTGGACGCAATGGCGTTGCTGGATATTTCTGGAAATCAACTTACTGGAGAACTACTCTTGGAGCTAGGCACATTGCAACGTCTTACGACTTTGTTCATGGCAGACAACAATTTCGTGGGATCTATCCCCGCCGAGCTGGGAGAAATTCCTAACCTCTTAGAGCTCGATTTATCAAGAAACCAGCTATCTAGTCCAATCCCAGTGTCACTTAGCAGACTGCGCTTAGGTTACCTCAACTTGTCGCTAAATCAACTATGCGGTCCCATTCCTATTGCAGATTCGTTCAACACGCGCTTTTTTGGATTTTTTTGCCTGGAAATCCTAAACTGTGTGGAGATTCCATAGACAAGCCCTGCGAATCTTTTGCATTTAGTTGTGATATTCATCTAGATACTGGTCTTGTCACTGAACGGACAGAGTCATGGAGTTTGTATTTTCATGGTGAGTTCGTGACGGACTTTGCAGTAGGAGCTTTTGTTGGGTTCGCAACTGTCATCGGTCTGGTCACTTTGATCCCAGCCTTGAGAAACAGATTTTTATTTTGAAAACATCCAACAATACATCATTTTGAGTCTGACTACGGTTTCTTCCGCCCGCAAACTTAGATATATATATATCGCTTGATGATAAATTATTCGCACAATATTCATAAAATGACTTACTTTCAATTTGGCTTGCAGCGCATGGCTTTAAGTAGAAGCTTGTAACATAGCTAGCTTGCGAGTACAGAGTGCAGATTACGAGCTTGTGGCAATATTTCTACATGTTTTGACTCGGTTCGAAAATATTGCAATAAAGCTTACAAGACTTGTTCCAGGGTTACGTTAATGCTCAATGTGATCCAAACACTTTGCATTGAGATATTCCGAGTCATATAAAGGACAAATTGAAATATTCAATTTCGACTAGAATCTTGGGCTCTTCAACCAGCTCAAATTTCTAAGTCAAGGGAAAAATGGAAAAATTCAATTTTGATAATTGATATTTATGTTGATTATAACCACCATTGTAATCTAGAGAGTTTTGCAAAATTTTGCAAGCAGGTTCTTAATATTATTTAAATGAGGAAAATTGCTTCTGGATTGAGTCATGTAATTCTTTGAGTAGTAAAAATTTTCTGTATACAATAGAGTACAGAAATCTTAAAAATCTTATATAGTAGAAATTGCTGATGTACAGGCAAGTACAGAAATCTTATGTATTGGAAATCTTCTCATCGTGAATATCGAATAACTATAATTTCACTTATCATTATTGATGTAAATTCAAATTCAAACAATTAAATATTTAGTGGATCCATTAAACATGCAATAAGAATGTCTCCACATGATACACTAAATATTATCCAACCTCATGTGAATGACACCTCCCAATAGTGACATAAAACTAAAGAACCGATGTATGTCACTATTGGGAGGTTTAACTCTGTAGTAGGTTCCATGCACTTCTGAAGCATTGAAACATAAGCCAGCGATCATAAGACAAGCATTATACATTCAGCAGTCAAGATCAGATCCTGTTTCATTGACGACAAACATTCAAAGTCTGGATTTCGTTGTCAGTCGATCTTTCGACTGAATCTATAGGCCTTTTCTAGGCTAAACCCAACCTGAACATGAAAACCTGTGACTATATGTGCCTGGGGCTTTTGCTATTGACGGCTGTGACAAATGCTGATAACGACACTGATCTAGATCTGTTTACTGTTCGGCAACGTGCCTAAAGGCAACATCTGTAGACAAGCAAACCGGGAAGAACATTGTGGCTGAGAAGCGTAACATGGCGGGAGGGCTTTTGCGATAACATTTTCATGACTGCTTCGTGAGGTTGAGTTGTCATGCTTCAGGTTGAGTTGTCATGCTTCAGATGTGGTACATTCCGGTTTTGATTCTGTGCTGGTCAGGACCTTCCCATAACATGGAGTCAACATTGGTACGTAACAAGTTTTCTCTGACACATCTAGCAGGGCATTTAATGAGGGCAGTATCCATGTCTTGGGAACACTGCCTGACCAGAGATGTCTACTGTACAAGGTTGTGATGCATTGGTGCTCCTCAACTCAACTGATGCCAATGCATTAGAGAAGGATGCACCCTCAAGCTCTGACATAACAGATAGAATCTAGGTGCCCGCACGAGCATTGTGTCATGCTCTAATATCTTTCATCGCTCGTGACACCTCTGTCCAGATATATTATAAGTCCTACTGCTGCGTATCAAAGCTGTAATTTAGTGAACGAAAGAACATTTCTTTCGAACACTTAGATGATGTCCTGATTTCTGAGCGTTGTAGTAAGGATATGCCAACACGTTGAATGTTGTCAAATTTGTAAGAATTTGACATTTGTCAGGTTGGAGGGCTAAACTGATCAGTTGCCTTGGGTTGCAAAGATGGCTTGGTTTCTAATGCATCTGAAGCAACCATATGATCGTCTATATATATTTCATCCATCCACTGTCATATACATGTATTATTGTTTTGTAGAATAAAACTAACGAGAAACAAGACAGAATCATCATTTGTAAATGCTTCTAAGTCACACAGCGATATCAGTAGTTAAGTTGATGAATGATTACAGAACTATGTCTGCTTCTGGCAAATCAACTGTGGAAGATTTTGGTTGGGTTTACCATGTATTTCAGGTAACATGTGACAGTCTAACGAAACCCCGACAAAAAAAGAGCTACCGGGGTTGTCTTCACAGCTGGTCAGAAACTTGATCCAAGGTCCAAGGTGACGACGATCTTCGCAAACTTCAAGCGAGTCTATCGTAGTCAACACTGGAAGAGCACAACTGCTAAGTGATTGATTTTTCGTGTCTATGTACATCATATATATTATACAGTACCGTATCCGTCAATGGAGGATGATAAAAACTCAGAAAAAAGGCAGAATGACGACACTGCTCAACCGAGAGGAGCTACGTTAAACAACGACATGCGACCATTTCTGGCCTTGAACTATGAAGTAACGAAAATTAGGAAATTAATTTTAGGCTGTCAGGAGCTGCGCACGCGTTTTTAAAATCGGTCAGGTTCTGCGTTTGCGTGCATATCAATGAGTTCGGATCACTGATATCCCCTACATACAGTGAGGAAAAGAAAGAAGAATCTACAAAATCAATCATGTAGAACACGCAGAGAATTAGATGCAAAAATGTGCTGTCATGTGAGTTGAAGCGAGATTGCGAAGTAAACCCTAGTCTAGTTGACACTAAAGAATATGACCTTCATTCACGCAGAACCCGAAATTGTCCTCGGTGTCAGGCACATGATCCATGCGAATTTGTCTGTAATCCTGAAAACGCGTGGAAACCGTCAGGTAGATAACAAACAAACAAGCTTCTCAATACTTCACACTGTTTCTGTCATCGCTCTAGTGGTAGAAGAATAATGCGCGATTAAGCAATAATAAACTTTGCGATAGTCAAATACCCATGAATATGATTGACCTTTTGCACAAAGCTTGGAATCACAAGATTCTTCATGGACATTGACGAGAACTCTGTTGCAGATGACCAAAGGCCGTTGTGGTAGCCTTCTTACCTGCAAAGTACGAGGAGGAGAGTTTTTCCATCTCGTTCGGTGGAATAAGTTGGAGGCAAGAAATGTATGAAGTAAAAGCAGGAATTTATAATATTGGGCATTGCTTACAGACTCACTAACTCTCCACAGAATAAATTACCTTGACCTTCCATACAGGGTGGACAAGGGAAAATCGATAGTCTCTTGATAGAAATATATTAACCTATTCCTTCAAAAGGTGGTCGTACATTTCCACTGACGTTTCGACTGTTTCTCCATCATTCGTGTAAACCTGCTTTTAACATACTCTAGTGGCAACTCCCTCGCTGGGACCGAGTTCCATGAGGCTCTTATGATAGAACGCGAAGCGCTATCATACATGTTTTATGAATCGAATTGGAGACAACGACCTGCGAAGAAAAATCAAATGCTTGTGGGCCCTTCGACGTCCATCGAAGGGTGCACGTAGTCATACCGGTGAGATCCGGGGTAATCGCCTTGCATGGACTCATGATGAAGTGAAGGCACCCAATCTGCTTCTTTGATAACTCGACAGAGCTCATTGAACATGATTTTGCTGCCTCCAGCACTCAAGTGCATACCATCTCTGCAAAAGAGAAATTCCTGCGATTGTCAATCAGTGTAGAAAAGCATTGATCAATGAACATTCAGTTAGTGGCCATCTACTTGTGTATCTTAAAAATTTCTGGATATATGCACAACTCGGAGAAATTATAAACTTATCAAAAATTCAGAATTTAAGAAGATTTATGAACCGATACTCAAAGAGTAGAGTTGACATTCGACATAAGAATGTTTTTGATAGATAGAACTGAAAACTCCGATAGACTACATGAACCAAAGTACTGCCCACAGAAAGGAATGCAAGTTTCCACCGTGGAGACACTGTAGCGACAATATGTGAGCCGCAACTTCGGGAGTTTCTGTAAAAAATCTATTGACTTGCTCTTGCTCTGCGTCCTCATGTAAACAATTGAAGATTTGAGCAGTGTTTTTAGATAATCAGACCACATCAACTTGAGAGGCGAGAGTGTAAACAGTTATCAAAAAGGCTTTGCAGTCAGCTCTAGTTGTGAGTTTTACGTCAAGCACTCAGGTCCCCAGTTAGGACTGCTTTGCTGGATTGAAGTCCATAAATCAACGACACCCACGCCTGTTTCACCCGCAGCTTCCCTGCAAGCAGCAGCATATTTGCGGGCATTCTCGTTCGTACGATCAAGCTTTCCGACTGCTCTTTCACCCATAATCCGTCTGCAATGTATCATCAAATTGTGAGGGCTCCACAATGACGTCAGGCGTAAGTTTTGGGACTTGTGAAGAAGCTAGACGAAGTGCGTACAGTTAAAGTGACAACTACCATCCTTCTGAAGAGATAATTCGAAACGTTGTAGTGTACCTGCAATACTGGTCTCGCATTTCTTCATGAATCGGTGGGGCAGTTGTCAAGATCACCCTAGTCTTATCGGACAAGCCCTGGATCATAGGACTTGAAAGGATGAGTAAGAGCTCCACAGACTGCTATCAGGTTCGAAGGGAAAACATAGAAACACGATACTGAGGAACATATTCACAGAGTATACAGGAAAGTCGCATCTGTAGAGCTAAAGGGGTTTCATAATTCAGCTTCTATGAAAATACTGATGGAAGATCAAGGAAATAAAATTAAGAAACAAACTATAGATTCTCACTAGTCACGAAGAGTAGGGCATCAAGAGGTGATTTAACATATAAAATACCTTTAAGTATAAAGCTATCTTCTTAAGATTCTCCTTAAATTCTTGGAGGGGAACAGCCTGACCTGCCCCACTTTTCAGAGGAACTGCTGCATCATTTGCTCCAAAGAAAACCACGACCAGTGAGGGTTGCGTTGGTAGATTCTGAATGACAAAAATACAAGTTTAGGTGGCGTCATCAAGTCATCTCCAAAAAATTGTCTCTCGCAGGAAATTCAACTGACACAATTTCCTCATCTTTAAGTCAAGATGCGAACTAAATGTGCTCCATAAGATTCAGCTCTTTCCTATTACACAAGTTTCGAACTAAAGGAATTGGAAGAATATTGATGAGTACTTATTAACACCGTCAAAAGGTAAAAAAATATCATGAACCATCTTGGAAGGCTCTGTCCACAACCATCACTTTTGTCGACATTCAGAATTCAAGCATTCGATTAACATGTGTCTTCTAAATCAAATAACTTCGGTAAGCTTAGAAAGTCAGCTGAACACTCAGCCAGATCCAGTCAATTTTTCAAGGCCAAAAGAATCCATGTCACAGAGGTTATTGTGAGGTGCATTTGAAGAGAAACAAATCCACGTTCTTTACGTACCTTTGGGAACATCTCTTGCATCAGTTCGAGAGCTCTACGCGTATTCCATCCACTAAATCCTCTGAGCAAAACGTCAGCCTGCATGGAAAAGTATAAAAATCGATCAGGTGTGGTTAAGAGAACGTTTGAGGCGAGGGACCAGCTGAGTGTGATCAACACTCAGAGTAAGCACAGCTGAAGAAACGAGAAATAAAGAACGAGAAATCCAGCCCTCCAGAAGCAGATTTTAAACCTCTGTAGAATTCTCATCCAGGAGCATAGTTGAAACATGTGCTCAAAAAGCCCCCATTCTGCTTCTATCATCGAAACGAATGCGCTCACAATACCTTGCGTTGGTACAGGTCCGCGAGAGCAGCGCCCCATCCTCCCAATTCGAACGAGAACTGAGTCATCGAAGCTCCGTAAAGCACAAACAGGGGCCTCTGATGACCCGCCATCGTTGATCGCGCCCAAATTGACCGATCAATTTCTCTGTTCTCAGCTATTTTGGGCAATCGACTTTAGACTCTCGATAAACCCCTACATGCCATGCCCACAGGGAATCGAAAGCTGACACAGCAAATCCGGACACGGGCTATAAAGGATGGAGCCGACATGGTAAGGGCTCGAGGTAGACGATTCCAATCACAGAGCCATACGCAAAAGATTTGCACAATTGGATCCGGCACGAGGCAGGGCTTCTGTGACACTGAGTGGTAGTCAGCTTCCAGTGGGCAGCGTACGCTCCACATGTGCGCTGCTCTGTGCTGCTGCGTGACTCTTTGACCTTCATAATACGACCTCAGGCGCCGTCGTAGTAGCCGTACCAACTGTAAACCAACGTTTACAGTTGGTGGTCGCGGTGGAATCTTGCTCTGTAGATTGGATTATGCCATTGTAGGATTTTTGTTTCCTTGTTTATTATAAGAAAGGACAGGGCTGCGTGCCCTCTGCAAAGGAAATTTCGCGGGGATATTGATTTGAAGGGACGATGATCATATCTGCTTCATTTGGAGAAGAAAATCGAATTAAGTAATCATTTTATAGCCTCAAGGAATGGCTCAACAATGAATCCCATTTTCCATGTTCTAACAAGAGAATCTTCATATCTCATAGTACATACAATCGTAGAATTTTTTTTACATTTTTTTTTAATTAAATAAAGAGAGGTTTAAATGCTTTTCACTGCAAAGTAAGTTCCGCAGGGAGGATCTAGTCATTGATTAAAATGAAGGCTCAATGATCATTTCTGCTTCATTTGGAGAAAGTCACCTTAGGTTGTTGCATGTTGAGGTTCAATATTGAAGTGATCACTACATGAGGAATGTCAACTTTCACCGCAAAGATACTCTTGAGAACCTTTGGTTCCGTTACAACTTACCAGTCTTTTAGAGAGAGATATTGGAATAGATGTGAGCCACATAGCATTTGATCAAGTAATGGTTGTTATTCATCTTAATACATTCTCGTTTGATTTTAGATTGGGGCCTTGGTTTACATCAGTGGGAGAATAATCTTCTGTACTTTGAAGAAAAGGTGTTGCTCCTTGTATCTATTCTAGCAAATTGCGTAAGTAAACCATGATATTTCAAGTGAATGGAGTGCATCTGAATGGGAAGCAAGAAACCTGGTTGGCCAGGTCTGTGTCTGTCCTTCACTGGGCATTTCTCCATTCCTTTCTGAAGCTTATTTGTGCTGATGGAAGTCGGACTGCACAGACTGCAGGGTGTCATTTATATTCTAGAGCTCGATATCTTGTTTCTCCAATTGCTTCCATGAACTGATGGTATCATTCGTCAGTGGTTCACGGACGAAGAAATTTGGTTTTTAGTCAGTTTCGTCATAGCTGCTGCGAAGTCCATGGTGGATGGAGTATTTTTGTAGAAGCTGCTTTGCAATTGGCTTTTTCAGTATCTGATCATCTCAAACAATTTGTCACTTGTGTTTTTGGACTGCTTTGAATTACAGATGACTGAATCTGCTCTTTGACGCATCCATGGAGAGTTCGCTAACCACCTCGTTCTTCGGGCATTTCCTCTTGAGCTGTCTGGTTTATGTGGGATCGTGAGATGTATCTGTAAGGCGTACCTCTCCGTCGAAAACCTGCCTGCAGATGATCACAATCGGCCAGGCAACAGGTCGGAGTGACTATATGGCAACAGATGACACAATACATTGGGGACAGACGACACCTCGAATTTGTGTGCGAATTTCCTGCCATGCGGCTCAAGCAACAGCCTTCTGCAAAAGTCTCAAACAAGGCTGCAGTGACCTTCTAATTTTTGACACATAAAAGGATTCATAAGCGATATACGATGTGCATTCCCTTTTCTTCTCTCGTTGTGCAGCGAAAACATAAAAGGGAGCCATGAGATGGGCCACTGTATAGTAACTTATTTTGCCACATTTTTATTTTTCCAGCTTTCTCCACAAGAGTTGATAGAGACAGTTCGAGGTGCAGACAGTGCAAATGCGTCTGAAGGTCAAGTCCATGGAGGTTTTGATGAATCCAGCCTCAGAAAGATAAAGGATATTGATGGATATGGACCCTTGCACTATGTGTAGGAACATTGAGCTTGCAAATGTAGAGGCCACTGTGTAGATGATGCTGACCTCGTACTGCTAAGATTTTCTGCTCAGGTATCATCGGTCCGCAAGAACAGCGGCATGCCATCTGCAGCGAGTTCACGATTGATTCGAAATCGATCGTATTACAGATAACTGAGTTCCGAGAACGAAGCGCAGGACCCGGACGAGATCCATGATTAAACGACCTGCGGAAACGGAATCCGACCTCATGCTACTGGTTGACATGAGGCTCATGATTCTGGTCAAACAATTCTCAAGTCTCAATCTAATGACAGACACATTGGGTCAACCCGTGGTGAGCGAGTAGATTCGGATCCAGCTGTTTCTAACCAGTGCAAGGGCTGGAGTGAGTATAAGAAACAATGTCTCCAGTGTGATGTGTTTCAAAAGATCGAAACATAACACTGGTCATTGGAAGATTCAGATAATAACCTGGTCACTCTGCCGTAGCCTTTTCCAGAGCATGGGGAGATTCAGTCGATAACCTGTTCACTCTAGTGCGCCGCCGGGCCATCCGATTTAACAGCAATGTGGCCAGAACAGTGACAGTTTTTTGCCTGGAAGCCTGGACAGATGCTCAGCATGGACTCTTTCGCTTCGGAAAGAGTGAGAACTAGGACTCTTCGCACATTCGACCACTTCAATGAGTCGGAACGCCGGAGCAGATATCTGATTTGGAGCTGCAGTCAACTCTGAGACTCTCACAAGACCTTTGCATCGCGGTGAGGGTAAAGAGATGATGGGGTCGAGGAAGATGTGCAAAGCCGAAGACTAAAGCAGCAAGGAATGTCGACTGACTCCGGAACCTGCTTCCAGGTCAGGAGATCTTCATAGTCGTTCTTCGTGGTGGTCAGTTTCTTCAAGAGCTCGTAAGATTTCCGGGGCCCGCGTGATCATTCCAGATACCAATGGAGAGAAACAAGAGTGGCAAAATAAGTTCAAGTGGAGAATGTGGAGAATTCCTTGCCAGCAATATGGTGGCACTCAACTACATATTTGTATATACCAGGAGCAGGCCCAGCACTTTTGACTTCTAGCTGCCAGATGCCGCAGCTCAGATCATACCTCTGTGAACCCTTACAAAATCTAGCACCATGTTCTCACCAATCACAATGTCTAACTTCGATATGCATATCTCAAACTGAGCTAAAAACGGCTTCCATGAACGCGTAGAAAATCTAGAATGTGTATCAACGCGTACAATTCCCAAGACCAAAAAAAACATATTTTGAAAATTCTGATCATAATGGTATATCAAGATACGGAGAGATAGTGAGCATGTTTACAAGGGTTCATTTTCTTTTTGATGAAATGGAGCTTATCATGATTTGAAGCTTTAGTTAGAATAGTATCCTTTTTCTTTAGATAGCAGCGATTGCAATTGTAACTCCATATATTTTAAATGGTTATGACGCTGAATTCTGAGACTCGATAACAATCGAGAAGATCCTACACCGAGGATCTTGGTATAGCCACCGTTACGACGAAAATCAAAGAGGAGACTAGGCTAGTCATGGGCAATGGTGAGAGGATACATGTAGGTTAAGATCCTGAATTCAGACGCCGAAGTCAGATGTGCTTGGTGCCAAAGAGCACATACACATGCGGTACCTCAACTCCGATAACTCTCTTGTTTCTCATGACTTTGTTCGTGTTAGAACTGATACTACGCACTTACTTCTCAGTACACTCGTTAGTAGATACATGCGCTTTGAATCTTTATAGTAAGTAGTTAGTAAGCGGTGCTACTAAAATTACGCTACGTGGATGCATTTATTAGTGCTATTCCTGTGCATCATCTGGGTATAATAACCCAATCTTGTTCCCCAAGAAAGTATTCCTGTTCAGACTTTCCCTGTGCATCAGAGTGACTGACTGTGAGATGAGCTATTTAATATGGTATCAGAGCAGAGAGTTAGACAAGCGAAGAGTTAGACCTCGAGTGTAGAATTAAAGGGGGAGCACGAAGGTTTCAAGCGATTCAAGAGCGTTTAGAGAGGATGACAACTCGAGGAGCCTCAACACGAGGCGTTTGCAAAGAACCCATCCCCAAGTTCAATGGGGAGTTTTTCCATTCGTGAAAAAAAAATATGGGTTGGATGCTTCGCGTAGAAGGCTTGATGAGTATAGTGGAGGGCCAGGAGATTTGGCCAAGCATTCCACCTGGATCTAGAACCTGTACATCAGATTCAGGTGCAGGGAGTGAGAAAGATTGGGATGATAGAATTCTACTATCTTTGGCATTGTTAAACAATGCGCTGGACGATTTCCAGCAACCTCTCATTGCTCATTGCCAGACACCAGCCGAGGCCTGGGGAGAGTTACAAAGGATGTAAGAATCGCGAGATATTTCCATGTAGATGCATCTCCGAGATGCTTTGTACTCTTTGAAGAAACGACTTGGTGACACAATGTCTCAACACATTACCAAGTTTTGTCTTCTTCTAAATCAGTTAGCTGCTATAGGGCGGACGATTCCTGAGGAGGAGGCATACATTTGTCTTCTCAGAATTCTACCCCCTGAGTATAGTTCATTCGTTCATTCGATGAGGACATTACATGTGTCATCCACGCAATCCCTAAATGCTAGTATTCTTCATGAGGAATCTCACCTCCAGGAAGAAGAGTTAGCGAATGGTATGGCAGCCTTGTACACTGCACCTAAACATGGGTGGACCTCAACGCCCAATATCGCGAATGGAAGACACTCTGGTACTTCATCAAGACAACCACCTGCACCTCCTTAGAAACCACCTCTTTTCAGGAAATACGTGAAGTGCTTCTACTGTCAGAAGCAAGTCCACCTTGCTAACGAGTGCCGGAAGAAGAAACAGGATAAGTCTGCTTCACACTCTACAGCAAATGTCCAGTGGCGCCTGTACGTCACTACCCTTTCCACAATCGGCATAGATACTGCTTGGTAAGTGGACTCAGGCGCTACTCAACACATGGCTTACAACAAGAACGACTTTATGTCATATACTGAACTCCCATCAGAAGAGTTCGAGTATCTGGGCGATGATAGTCGCCAACCCATTCAAGGTAAAGGGAATGTTATCATTTCGTTGAATGATGGTCAGGAAAGAATAATTCCTGATGTTCTCCATGTTCTTGCTCTGAGAAAGAATCTTTTTTCAATTAATCAGCTTGTTATCCACGGAGGGAGTCTACTGGTTCAACCTCATTAGTGCATCTTGAAAGACAAGATGGGTAATGTCATTGCTCAGTGCATTTGTGAGAACAAGCTACACAGGCTGACAACGACTTCTTCAAGTCCACGTAGCGTACCTGCAAATGTCAATTATTCAGTATCCGACACTGAAGAGCAGAATACCATTCCTGTCAATTCGGTTTCTGACGCTGGAGAGCAAAACACCTACCAATGGCATCTGAAGCTCGACCACATGAGTCTACAAAAAATTCTGCAAATGAAGCAGCATCACATGGTGAAAGTGATGGAGAAATGTTCTGCAAGTACTCTTCCCTTTTGCACATCATGTGCTCTAGAGAAATCGACGAGAGCAAAATTCCCAAGCGAAGAAGCTACTCGTGCTACATACCTTCTTGGTCTGATACACATAGACATATGTGGTACAATGAGAATACCGACATTCTCCTGACGAAAGTACTTCATCACCTTTAATGATGACATGTCGAGGTACGCGCATGTATATTTACTGTTGCAAAACTCTGAAGCCTTTGCGAAATTTTAGGAGTTCAAAACAATGGCTGAGAACCATTTGAACAAGCGCATCAAAGTTCTACATTAAAATAATGGCTTGGAATATAAGTCCCGAGCATTTTCTGACTTCTGTACGCTTAATAATGTACAACGACAGTATACCATACCGGATATCCTTGAGCAAAACGGAGTAGCCGAGAATCGCACATTGATAGATGTTGTTGTTGCAATGCTATCGCATTCCGGTCTTCCTCATGGATACTGGGGCGAGGCCATCCATACTACAGTTTACTTGCAGAACAGATCGCCTTCAAAGGCTCTACTCAATGACAAAACTACTCATGAGCTTTGGCATGGACACAAGCCGGATCTGCATCACTTGCAAGTCTTTGGCTGCACTGCCTTTGCACACATTGAAAAAGGCCATCGGGGTAAGATCGACCTCAAAATTTTTGAATGTATTTTCCTTGGCTATTCTTCTACAGCAAAAGTATATCGATTGCAATGAAAGGACAATCAAAAAATTATTGAAAACAGATCTGTCATATTTATGACTCTTGCGGTTCAACATCAGCATCCGCAGACTTCTGTTGCTCCGCCCACTGAGCTTGAAGAATCCGCTCCATTTCGCCCCACCCCATCAGTTGTTGATCCAGTTTGCAGGTTTACTCTTCCGCCGACATCATCAGCAGAACGGCCAGCAGCCATTGAAGTTCTCGCACCGATTAAACCAACACCCAGAGTGGGAGCACCATCACCTCCTTCCGATCCCTCTGTGAGTCATACTCTTCCAGCTGAAGTATCTGCCTCTCATCCGGCCCGTTTTGGCCACACTTATCCGATGCGCACATGGAGACAAGAAGAGAATCCTCTTTCTTCTACTCCTCTTGCGAAATCAGTCCGCAACCTGGAGCACGTGCTGGATGAACTCTAGCTTCGAGACACTACATTTGAGGCTCTAGCCACAGATAAAGCTTCAGATGCAGCTTCTTCCTCTTCCCGCACCATTGACCCTATCTTTTGAAGGGATGTTAGAGTACGCAAACGCATCCAAAAATTTGATCTCCTGTTGAAGAAGTAGAAGCATCGAGGTCTCTTTTCATATGAAGAGACTCGCAAAGAGCTGACTTCTTACCAGGAAGCCTTGCAAAATGGTGATTTCACTAAATGGAAGGAAGCGATGAAGGAAAAATTTTCTTCCTTGAAGAAAAATCAAACCTAGACGTTCATAGAGTTACCTGAGAGCAAGATTGCTGTTGGCTCAAATGAATTTACAAAATCAAGTACATGTCGGACGGTTCTGTTTGCCGATACAAGGCCAGGTTGATAGCCAAAGGCTATTCACAGTTTTATGGTGTCGATTTTTCAGAAATGTTTTCTCATGTGGTGAATATGACTTCCATGAGAGTGCTAATGGCTCTAGCAGCTCAGCACAACCTAGAGCTGCACCATATGGACGTGAAAACTGCATTCCTGAACGGGCGGTTGGATGAAGAAGTCTACATGGCCCTTCCTGAAGGTTTGAATATCCCTTCTAAGAAAAACATGGTGTGTAAGTTAAATAAGTCCATTTATGGACTGAAGCAATTTTCTCGACCGTGGTATCAAAGAATTGACTCGTTATTACTGCAGATTGCTTTTACTAGAGCTAATGCAGATCATAACGTTTACGTTTACTCTTAGGATAATACATTTGTGTATTTAGCACTATATGTAGACGATTGTGTATTAGTGAGTGATTCCTTGCGTCTCTTCACAAAGATCAAGGAGAAACTTGAAACGGAGTTCAAGATGGTGGACTTAGAAGAGATCCATCACTGTCTTGGTATGCAAGTTGACAGAAATTGTGAAGAAGGGTGGATTCGGATCTTCCAACCACGATATTTGGTTGAAAAGCTTGCAAGGTTCAATATGACTGACTCTAAGCCTATTGATACACCCATGGAACCCGGTTTGAAGTTAAGTGTTCTTGACTCTCCCAAATCAATGGGAGAAAGCGAAGAGATGAAAGATGTTTCATATCAAGCTGTTGTTGGAAGCTTGATGTGGGCTATGGTCTGCACTAGACCCTATATATCTTTTGCTGTCAATGATGTGGCTCAGTTCATGTCAAACCTTGGATTGACACATTGGAAGGTTGTTAAAAGGATTTTCAGATATCTGAAAGGGACTCTCGACTTTGGCCTCGTAGGGTTGACAAGCAATCCGGTTTAACTGGATATTCCGATGCGGACTGGGGTGGTTGTCTTGACGCAAGACGATCTACTTCTGGATATTGCTTCCAACTCAATGGCGGAACCATTAGTTGGACATCTAAGAAGCAAAAATCAGTAGCGCTTTCTTCTACAGAAGCAGAGTACATGGCTTTGTCCAAGGCTGGGGCTGAAGCCATGTGTTTGAGAGATTTACTAACCGATCTAGGTTTTTGGTTGGAGTCAACCACAATTTTCTATTTGCGAGTGCTATCTCGCAAATAGAAAATCTGAAAAACCACGAGAGATCTCAGCATGTAGAAATTAGATATCATTTTGTTAGAGATCTGGTCACCCGCAAGTTGATGAAGTTTGCTTATGTCCCAACTGAAGAATGATTGCTGAATTATGACAAAACCATTAGCTAGAGAAAAGCAGTGGTATCATAATCAGAACTTAGGTTTATTAGCTGGAAATGAGAAAGAGAGAAGTAAGTAGGTAGTAAGTGGGAGTGTTAGAACTGATACTATGCAGTTACTTCTCAGTACACTCGTTAGTAGATACATGCACCTTGAATATTTGCAGTAGAATATTTGTAGTAAATAGTTAATAAACGGTGCTACTAAGATTACGCTAAGTGGATGCATGTATTAGGGTTATTCCTGTGTATCATCTAGTTATAATAACCCGATCTCGATCCCCACGAAAGTATTCCTATTCAGACTTCCACTGTGCATCAGAGTGACTGTGAGATGTGCTATCTAATAGTTTGAGATCCCTCAAGTCGAAGTTGAAAACTTGAAGAACATATATAAATTTTTGCATTTGACAGATAATTGTAGCTTCTTATTCGTGGAACATAAAAAAATACAACTTGCGTTCTGATGTTGTGCACATGAACTTCACATTTCAATGTTGTTCATACTGGAATGCTGTCACTAATGAAATTGTGCTGGGCAAGACTTACAGGGTTGATTAATTACACGTAAAATCTATATAAAAATGGTAATTTCTAACCTTATCAGATTCTTATCTAATACTTCGATTGATCTGCTAAATTATCCCGCTGTCTTTGACCGATAATTTACACTGTTCTTGAACCACTACAGTAAATAATTATCCTATTTTGTTAGATTCTAGAATTTTTGTTTCCATTTTATACACATCTTCTCCTGATAGATTAAATCTGTCAAAAAAATTCTATTATTTTTATAGAAGTCCAAATTGACATACATGTAAATACTCAGTGGGTCTACTCTACATATTTACTTAAAATATCTGGAATCAATTTCATGTGATGTAGGAACAAGTCGCTCAGCACATGAACATACTATACGTACATTACACCACGAACATCAACTTCACCATTCAAAACATTGAGACCCGTGACCTAACATTGATAAGATTTGACGTCGAGTCAAGTTCCGGGCAAACACGAGGAAACTGCTGCACTCTGACAGCGCTCATGATGAAGTGAAGGCACCCAATCTGCTTCTTTGATAACTCGACAGAGCTCATTGAACATGATTTTGCTGCCTCCAGCACTCAAGTGCATACCATCTCTGCAAAAGAGAAATTCCTGCGATTGTCAATCAGTGTAGAAAAACATTGATCAATGAACATTCAGTTAGTGGCCATCTACTTGTGTATCTTAAAAATTTCTGGATATATGCACAACTCGGAGAAATTATAAACTTATCAAAAATTCAGAATTTAAGACCATTCATGAACCGATAGTCAAAGAGTAGAGTTGATATTCGACATAAGAATGTTTTTGCTAGATAGAACTGAAAACTCAGATAGACTACATGAACCAAAGTACTGCCCACAGAAAGGAAAGCAAGTTTCCACCGTGGAGACACCGTAGCGACAATCTGTGAGCCGCATCTCAGGGAGTTTCTGTAAAAAATCTATTGACTTGCTCTTGCTCTGCCTCCTCGTGTAAACAATTGAAGATTTGAGCAGTGTTTTCAGATAATCAGACCACATCAACTTGAGAGGCGAGAGTGTAAACAGTTATAAAAAAGGCTTTGCAGTCAGCTCTAGTTGTGAGTTTTACGTCAAGCACTCAGGTCCCCAGTTAGGACTGCTTTGCTGGATTGAAGTCCATAAATCAACGACACCCACGCCTGTTTCACCCGCAGCTTCCCTGCAAGCAGCAGCATATTTGCGGGCATTCTCGTTCGTACGATCAAGCTTTCCGACTGCTCTTTCACCCATAATCCGTCTGCAATGTATCATCAAATTGTGAGGGCTCCACAATGACGTCAGGCGTAAGTTTTGGGACTTGTGAAGAAGCTAGACGAAGTGCTTACAGTTAAAGTGACAACTACCATCCTTCTGAAGAGATAATTCGAAACGTTGTAGTGTACCTGCAATGCTTGTCTCGCATTTCTTCATGAATCGGTGGGGCAGTTGTCAAGATCACCCTAGTCTTATCGGACAAGCTCTGATCATAGGACTTGAAAGTATGAGTAAGAGCTCCACAGACTGCTATCAGGTTCGAAGGGAAAACATAGAAACACGATACTGAGGAACATATTCACAGAGTATACAGGAAAGTCGCATCTGTAGAGCTAAAAGGGTTTCATAATTCAGCTTCTATGAAACTACTGAAGGTAGATCAAGAAAATAAAATTAAAAAACAAACTATTGATTGTCACTGGTCACAGAGAGTAGGGCATCAAGAGGTGATTTAACATATGAAGTACCTTTAAGTATAAAGCTATCTTCTTAAGATTTTCCTTAAACTCTTCGAGGGGGACAGCCTGACCTGCCTCTGAAAAGTGTTTCAGAGGAACTGCTGCATCATTTGCTCCAAAGAAAACCACGACCAGTGAGGGTTGCGTTGGTAGATTCTGAATGACAAATATACAAGTTTAGGTGGCGTCATCAAATCATCTCCTTTAAAAAAGTGTCGCTCGCAAGGGATTCAACTGACACGATTTCCTCATCTTTAAGTCAAGAGTGAACTCCATACGATCCAGTTCTTTCCTACTACACAAGTTTCGAACTAGAGGAATTGGAAGAATATTGATGAGTACTTATTAACACCGTCAAAAGGTAAAAAATATCATTAACCATCTTGGAAGGCTCTGTCCACAGGCATCACTTTTGTCGACGTTCACAATTCAATCATTTGATTAACAAGTTTCTTCTAAATCAAATAACTTCGGAAAGCTTAGAAAGTCAGTTGAACACTCAGCCAGATCCAGTCAATTTTTCAAGGCCAAAACACTCCATGTCACAGAGGTTATTGTGAGGTACATTTGAAGATAAACAAATCCATCTTCTTTACGTACCTTTGGGAACATCTCTTGCATCAGTTCAAGAGCTCTACGCGTATTCCATCGCATAAATCCTCTGAGCAAAATGTCAGCCTGCATGGAAAAGTATAATAATCGATACTGTATAAGGTGTGCTAAAGTGAACGTTTGAGGCGAGGGACCAGCTGAGTGTGATCAACACTCAGAGTATGCACAGCTGAAGAAACGAGAAATAAAGAACGAGAAATCCAGCCCTCCAGAAGTAGATTTTAAACTAACTCTGCAGAATTCTCATCCAAGAGCACAGTTGAAACATGTGCTCAAAAAGCCCCCATTCTGCTTCTATCATCGTAACGAATGCGCTCACAATACCTTGCGCTGGTACAGGTCCGCGAGAGCAGCACCCCATCCTCCCAATTCGAACGAGAACTGAGTCATCGAAGCTCCGTAAAGCACAAACAGGGGCCTCTGATGACCCGCCATCGCTGATCGCGCCCAAATTGACCGATCAATCACTCTGTTCTCAGCTATTTTGGGCAATCGACTTTAGACTCTCGATGAACCCCTACATGCCATGCCCACGGGAAATCGAAAGCCGACACAGCAAATCTGGACACGGAATGATGGAGCCGACATGATAAGGGCTCGAGGAAGACGATTCCAATCACAGAGCCATACGCAAAAGATTTGCACAATTGGATCCGGCACGAGGCAGGGCTTCTGTGACACCGAGTCATAGTCAGCTTCCACATGTGCGCTGCTCTGTGCTGCTGCGTGACTCTTTGACCTTCATACTACGACCTCAGGAGCCGTCGTAGTAGCCGTACCAACTGTAAACCAACGTTTACAGTTGGTGGTCGCGGTGGAATCTTGCTCTGTAGATTGGATTATGCCATTGTAGGATTTTTGATTCCTTCTTTATTATAACAAACAATTCTCAAGTTTATTTTGGTCAAACAATTCTCAAGTCTCAGTCGAATGACAGGCACATTGGGTCAACCCGTGGTGAGAGAGTAGATTCGGATGCAGCTGTTTCCAACAAGTGCAAGGGATGGAGTGAGTATAAGAAACAATGTCTCCAGTGAGATATGTTTCAAAAGATCGGTACATAACACTGATCATTGGAAGATTCAGATAATAACCTGGTCACTCTGCCGTAGCCTTTTCCAGAGCATGGGGAGATTCAGTCGATAACCTGTTCACTGTATTGCGCCGTCGGGCCATCCGATTGAACAGCACTGTGGCCAGAACAGTGACAGTTTTTTGCATGGAAGCCACTTACAGATGCTCAGCATGGACTTCTTCGCTTCGGAAAGGGTGAGAACTAGGCCTCTTCGCACATTCGACCACTTCAATGAGTCGGAACGCCGGAGCAGATATCTGATTTGGAGCTGCAGTCAACTCTGAGACTCTCACAAGACCTTTGCATCGCGGTGAGGGTAAAGAGATGATGGGATCGAGGAAGATGTGCAAAGCCGAAGACTAAAGCAGCAAGGAATGTCGACTGACTCCGGAACCTGCTTCCAGGTCAGGAGATCTTCATAGTCGTTCTTCGTGGTGGTCAGTTTCTTCAAGAGCTCGTAAGATTTCCGGGGACCGCGTGAGCATTCCAGATACCAATGGAGAGAAACAAGAGTGGCAAAATAAGTTCAAGTGGAGAATGTGGAGAATTCCTTGCCAGCAATATGGTGGCACTCAACTACATATTTGTATATACCAGGAGCAGGCCCAGCACTTTTGGCTTCTAGCTGCCAGATGCCGCAGCTCAGATCATACCTCAGTGAACCCTTACAAAATCTAGCACCATGTTCTCACCAATCACAATGTCTAATTTCGATATGCATATCTCAACTGAGCTAGAATCGGCTTCTATGAGCGCGTAGAAAATCTAGAATGTGTATCAGCGCGTAAAATTCCCAAAACCGAAATATGCAGATTTTGAAAATTCTGAGCATGATGGTATATCAAGATACGGAGAAATAGTGAGTAAGTTTACTAAGGTTTATTTTCTTTTTGATGAAATGGAGCTGATCATGATTTGAAGCTTTAGATAGGATACTTTTCTTTTCCCATAGATTAGCAGCGATTGCAATTGTAACTCCATATAATTTAAATGGTTATGACGCTGATTTATGAGACTGGATAACAATCGAAAAATTCCTACACCGAGGATCTTGGTATAGCCACCGTTACGACGGAAATCAAAGAAGAGACTAGGCTAGTCGTGGGCAATGGTGAGAGGATACATGTCGCTTAAGATCCTGAATTCAGACGTATAAGTCAGATGTGCTTGTTGCCAAATAGCACATACCCATGCGGTAACTCAACTCCGATAACCCTCTCGATTCTCAGGACTTTGTTCAGATCCCTGAGGTCGAAGTTGAAAACTTGAAGGACATACATAAATTTTTGCAGATAATTGTAGCTTCTTATTCGTGAAACATAAAACCTACAACTTGCGTTGTGATGATGAGCACATGAACTTCACATTCCAATGTCGTTCATACCAAAATGCTGTCACTAATGAAATTGTGCTGGGCAAGACTTACAGGGTTGAATATTCATACGTAGAAATCTAATATGGCGGAATTTCCTAACTGTATCAGATTCTAATCTAATACTTCGATTTATTTGGATGAATTATCCGGCTGTCACTGACCGATAATTTACCCTGTTTCTTGAACCACTATAGTAAATAAATATCCTATTTTATTATATTATAGAAGTTTTGTTTTTATTTTATACATAACTTCTCCTCAGTTTATATCTGTTTTTTTTTTTGATACAAATCCAAATTGAAATACATGTAATACTCAGTGGGTCTACTCTACTTATTTACTTCTTTATTTAGTCACGATATCTTGAATCAATTTCATGTGATGTAGGAACGAGTCGCTCAGCACATGAACAAACTATACGTATATTACACCACGAACATCAACTTCACCACTCAAACATTGAGACCCGTGACCTTTTCGCTAACATTGATTAGATCTGACGTCGAGTCAAGTTCCGAGCAAACACGAGGAAAATGCTGCACTCTGACAGCGCTCATAAGCTTGAAGTGCTCAATGGAGTGGGTCGGCGATATGAAGACGATGTGTTGAACTTTGCAACCATATCGATGCACATACAAAGACGGTCGAGATCATCGACAAGCAAGAAACTGGAGGCTGGCACCCAGGCATTTCCTGCCAGCCATTATTCACGATCATCTCATGAATTCCCATATAGTGCTCCAGAATTCATTCTCTCTCTCTCACTCACTCTCCCTCTCTCTGGGGAGCTCTACTCCAAGGATGAGAATTGCAGTACTTTCTCTCGATTTCAGGAGAATTTCTCACGTCAGACTCGATAATTTACACAGTTTCATCGTTTGAATTGTGTCAGTATTGGAGAAGCAGCAGGGGATCAAGGGCATCTCCTACATCAGAGAGGAAGGTATCTGGTAACCATGATGCCGAAGGGAAAGCGAGGGATGTCGTTCGATCGATCGGGAATGCAGGCCGCAGCTGCATCAAGCGGAGCAACTGGAGCAAGCTCAACGCTGTACGTGTATGAAACGCACGACATCAATGCCAATCCACAGGCGAACACGGGGAACCTGCTAAACCTTGCTCTCGGAGACGGAAGTCCAGGAGAGATTCTGTTCAGATTGGCACAGCAGTTTCCTGGCAGCCGGTGCTTCGTGTACAGCCTCGAAAGCGAGGAGTTCCAAGGGTGGAAGGAAATCACCGAGAAGAACGTGAAGAGCCTGGGAGAGAACTTGCGGGTCAGAAACCAGCTCAAAGTGGTGAAGCAGTCCTCGCTGATGCTGGCATTTCATGAATCTGAGTTTCTGGACAGATTGGTGTCGACAATCGTGGAGCGGCTGAAAAAAGGCACTTCCATCTCCGAAGTCTCGTCGATGGAAGACGGCGACATTCAGATCATGGACGACGTCAACTTTAACGACAGCGAGAGCTCGCCACACCACCAGCTCTCCGAGGGCGAGCAACTCTGCCTCACTGATCAAGAGCCCTTCTCCAGCCAAAACTGGGCCAAGGTCAGAGAAAGGGCCCGTGGAGTTCTCCATCTCCAATATCCTTGATGCATCTCCACGTGCTGGCTGCCATATACAGCTCCAGGCTACTCGATTTCTCCGTCCATATACTCGCGATTGGAATTCCGCATCTCGTTTCGAGGAGGCTCGTCTCGATTCAGCACACACGCCACTGCAGTCGTGGACGAGTGTGAAGCAGTCGAGAGTTCATTTAGATTACTGTATTAACAATCCAAATGTATGCTCTACTAATGCTATAACCGTAGTGCTTATTCTTTTAATTTCCCAACGCCCCGAAATTCGGGGACGAACCAGGATCCTCAGGTGGTGTCTAGCTGAGTACCACTATGACTACGACGTGTAATAATAATTTCTGGACAAAGGTCTATGACAGGTTGCTAGAAAATGAACAAAAATTGTCACACCTTTCCGTGCAAAGATTGTTCATAATCGAAATATCTCTTAAATTATTTTTATTTTGGCTTCGTTTTTGACGATTTAAGTGAAAAAAAAATAAAGAATTTTCTATTTGCTAACAAGTGGTGTCAAATGTCTGATGTCCACAAAAGTTACTTGATTGTGTTTAAATATGACGAGGGATTGAAACCCTTGCTCTCAAAGTCGAATCATTCGGACCTTTAAAGGCAACAAATTTGAAAACCAATTCTTTTGATACATCTGTGACTTCTCGGTCTTCTGCGCTACCACCTAAAGGTGTTCTCTATAAGATTGTACAATTTTGAGAAAATTTACTTTGCCTATTAGCAACGAAGTATGATTTAAGATTATTACGCTATTGATCCGCTTGTACAAGTATTTTGAAAATGACCAAGACTCCATTGAAATTCATTGTGCAATAAAGATATCAGTATATGAAAGTAAATTCCATAAATATAGTCTCAAGTATCATTCAAATTAGACCAACTCGAAAGCTTGCCAAAGATACTCACTTCGCAGTTAAGACGTAGAAGTGGAGTAAGAAGAAAGTATGAGAGTAAACTAATCAAATATTGAATGACTTCAACCAAATGCATTCGTTAACTCAAACTACACTATGTAACATATGGCAATGATGTGATCAAATATATATCTAAAAATGTCAAAACAACATAAATTCCATATATGTAGAACTGCCATCGGTCAGGATAACATAATGGACAAACTAATACTGGCTAAAATTACAAACAGATATATGATTCTCCATGGCCGATTCCTATAGATGTGAATGAAGTGTATGCAAGTTGAAAGCCATCGACCTTTGTCGCTTGCGTATACTTTTCGATCGAGATGGTCGAAACGTAATTAAAAAAATGTGTTATATCATATAACATTTTTTTGTTGCATATACCGGTAACTTATTTGCAACAAGTAGAAGAGTTTGGTTCTTGCTGCGAACTCCGGGCGATCGTGTACAAGAACTCTCGAGGGATTTAGACTTGGGCCCTACGAGGCTGAGGGAGCTCGTGGAGCTTGGTGAGGTCTTCGGATGCTCTGATCGGTGAATCGATTTTCCGATCGCCGTCGTTCGTTCGGGCTCGGAGATGGAATTCTTCGTTTGAGGAACGTCGCTGGCTTTTCACAAAAATAATTTTATCGAATTCGAGTGGATTTGGCGAAGACAGCGGCGGGAGGATGGCGGGAAGAGTTTTGGCAGCTGTGAGGCTGCTGCGGCATCAGAGCTCGAGGAGGGCGTTTTCGGTCGGTGAATCGGGCGCTAATCCTTTGCAGATATGCGTTGTTGGAAGCGGCCCGGCGGGGTTTTACACTGCCGAGAAGGTTGTTGCATTCTGCTCTAACTTGTCTTCAATTTGAGTATTTTTTTTCTTGATCCGTGCAGATTTGATGAATGTGTCATCGCCAGCTCGTTTCTCAGAGTATCCACGAGTCGGAGTGATGTGAAGTTTAGTGAAAGTTTCACACGGGTGCGGGGTTGCCCTGTGTACAATCGGCTGATGAATTGTGTTCTGTTGCTCAGTTGTTGAAGCGCTTCAGGCAGGCTAAGGTGGACATAGTCGACAGATTACCCAGTCCGTTTGGTTTGGTTCGTTCAGGAGTAGCACCCGACCATCCGGAAACAAAGGTGGGCATTTTTTTTATCTGCTATTTTATATTTTTTTAGCTGCATTTTTTTGAATGGAAGCACTTTACTGGATGAGTTTACCTGTACACTTCTGGCAACGTTTAGCAATTAGTATTTTGCTTTTTGATCTGCTTACCTTGAAACTGGAAATATTGTGTGTCGTTGCTTGCTGAGACTCTTGACTAATTCTTTAGTTGAATTCTTGTTGGCGGGGAATTCACAGGTCGTGATCAACCAGTTCACTCGAGTTGCTAACAGCGAAAACTGCTCCTATTTTGGGAATGTCAAACTTGATGAGGATATCACTTTAACTGCACTGCGGGCACTTTATCACGTGGTACTTATCGCATAATTAGCATAATTAGCGGACACTCTAATTCCTCTCGATTTGTATGCTGTCGAAAGCACTGAAGCAGCCTTGATTCTTACAGCAGATATGCGCAGCTCCCTGCAGAAGATTTCGGGTTAGCATTGACAGGGACAAAACTTGTTTTGCTGCAGGTTGTTCTTGCATATGGTGCCGAAAGTGACAGAAGTTTGGGAATTCCTGGAGAGGTAGGACCACATCATGACTTTCCTTACTGTTGTTGCTCACCTGTATCAAGATTGCGCACAGTCGTCTATTGTAGTTGTTTGGATAGGTTTTTGGCATTCGTTGCCTGTGAGGTATTTATATATGGAGATGAGTAATTGTCTTTGATTCATCGTCCTCGATATCTCCCCTTCGTACTGTCATTACCCAAATAATTTTTCCTTGAATTCCAACTTTATATTTCGTAATTTGTTTACAGCTGCCTGCCAAATGGACACCTGTATATCTGCTTCTACAGCCCTACCGGATTTTGAAATAAGTCCATAACATGCTAGCAGATGTTGTCACCATCGTAAGTACTCAATATATTGTGTTTGGGGCTCAATAGCTAAATACATGGCAATTAAATCATAAACTGAGTTCATAAAAAGCATACTGCAAGTGGAAAGTATAATGATACAACATATTCAAAAGTATTTGAACTCGCTCGGTGGTTTGAGAACATTGGTTCTGCTTTCTTTGTTACTGTCATAACCCCGCGTAGTCTCTGAAGGACCAGTCAAGTGTTCAATATTGTTACCATACACATCTTTCCCGGGTGCTAAAACCGCTAAGAGAAACATTTCGTTGCACGAAATTTCCTGTTGTATGTCTTTCATGAACGTGTCCGGTCTTGTCTACATCTGACATAGGTTGAAGTTGTATGTGCAGGGACTTTCCGGGGTTCATTCTGCAAGAGAAGTTGTGTGGTGGTACAACGGACATCCAGACTGCGTCAATCTACCTCTTGACCTGAAAAGCACGGACACGGCAGTCATTCTAGGCCAGGTAAAGTGCCTTCTTTTCGGAGGTCTGAGCTGGAAGGAGAATGATTCGATTCGAAGTGTCTTTTGGAAGTTGCAGCATTTATGGGCACCAAAGTTGCTGAAATTCATTGGCCAAAATTTTACAGGGAAACGTCGCTCTGGACGTTGCTCGAATTCTCCTCAGACCCGTCAGCGAACTGGCCACTACAGACATATCTGAGCATGCAATAGCTGCCCTGCATGAAAGCAATATCAGGTTCTACTTACGACTGTCCGAAGCTGGATGTCTGCACTCCATTCAAACACTCCATGTATTATTTGACTGCTTATACAGACCGGAGCCTGGTAGTGTACTCTCCAGTTTGGTTTTCTTCTAAACGTATGCTGCAGATGTGATTTGTTTACAGGAAGGTGTATCTGGTAGGAAGACGGGGACCAGTACAGGCAGCATGTACGGCTAAAGAGCTGCGGGAAATTCTAGGTGAGTATTTGAAATTTTGTCTGCACATCAGAACTTGCTGTTCGCATCGATTGGACCTTATTTCGAGTTTGTACGAAGTCTAGAGCCTCAGGCTCTGACAGGCAAGTAATAGTTAGTACAGATTGAAGGAGTTCTGATTTTGGCTATCATACGGTTGACTTTCATAGGCATACAAGGGTTGGAAGTGAAAGTTCAACAGGCTGATTTGGCCACCACCAAGTTAGATCATGTAAGTGGTCTCTGTGTATTACTTGGAGATACTCTATTTTTTGGCCGCATAGCTGTTAACGTAAGTTGTTAGGGTACAGTTTTAGGTGAGTGTGCTTAAAGAAATAGATAGCACAACTATGTGTTTGTTCTGTCAGCAATTCCTTGTCTACAAAGATGTTTTCCTCTATCAAGTACCAGAAGACTTCGAGGATGATTGACGAGAATACAATGTATTGTTCTGCAACTATATCCAAGCGATCACTTCTAGAAGGTCACGATTTGGCTGCTCTTTGCAGCCCTTTGTGGTTGATTGCAGGATGAGATGAAAAAAAGCCGAAGTCACAAACGTGTTTACGAGCTATTCTGCAAGGCAGCAGCATCTTCAGCGACCTCGTCTCCACTCGTTAGTTCTGTACGACAATTACAATTTATATTTTACAGATCACCTGCTGAAATTTTGGCCGCTGGTTCTTCAACAGTGACAGGAATTCGCCTGGAGAAGACGACACTCTCAGGTTAGCCTGGGCCTCTCAAATCTACTCACAGAAAGGATAGTAGTGAGTTTGCTATCAGGTGCCACAGTAAGTGATCAAACGCTCGTGAACTAATCCGTTCAAGCATCATCTTACTTCAGGAGATGAACGTAGTGGACAACGGGCAGTTGGGACTGGCGAATTTGAGGAGTTAGAATGCGGGTAAGGAAATCCCTGTACACTTGGAGCATGAACAAACCTTTTCTTATATTTTCTTCACGGGAAAAGACCTAGACAGAACACATCTAGATCATTCCTAAAGTGGAAGCTGACCGTGGTGAATTGGTTGCAGTCTGGTATTGAAGAGTATTGGCTACAAGTCTCTACCAGTCCGTGACTTGCCCTTCGACCACCGAAAAGGTGCGTCTTCAGTTGGTTTTCTCTCGTTCTTCCATGTTGGCGTCATGTGGCTATGGTTGACAAGAGCAGATATGACGGAGGTTGTTATTTGTGTATTGTCACAGGTGTGGTGCCCAACGTACAGGGGCGTGTGATAACATCGACAGAGTCTGCAGCTATTGAGCCCGGACTCTATGTTGTGGGCTGGCTAAAGCGGGGTCCTACTGGCATTATCGGAACGAATCTTATTTGTGCTGATGAAACGGTACTACTTAATATTCCTACTTAGTTTGTTTTTTATCAATCGTGGAGAATGCATTGCTCTTGCCAGTTCGGCTTTGAATTAATCCATTGTGTTCTCTACGACAGGTTGAGAGCATTGTAGAAGACACACAACGTGGGTTAATAGACGTACAATCAACGAGTATGATGGGTGGCTTGGGATTAAAAGGATTATTGGAGGCCCAAAGCGCACAGTTTGTATCTTTCAAGGAGTGGCAGATTATTGATCAGAAAGAGTTGGAACTAGGCCAAGTCAAGGGAAAGCCCAGGGAGAAAATTGTTGTTATACAAGATATGATAAAAATTGCCAAAGATTTGGTACTCTAGTATCAAATAGAGCTAGTCGAATATTGAGTTCAAAAATAATTGGTATGAGTCAAATTTCGAATGGAACCTTTTATATTTACCTGGCGGTTTGAGCTTTGAATTTATTCCTTTAGATCCAAGGGATAAACTCAATGTCTTTGTTTGCTAGAATGTGTTGTTTGGATAATCAGTCTTCTTCTTTTGCGTCTTCCATCATCTACATGTGTATATGGATGATATTTGATCTACTCGAGCGATACCATCCGTCCTTGGCATTCGATCAAGATGATTGTACAATCAAAAGTCATATGACCAAAGTATCCCATTTCAAAATTGTAGCAAAGTTAAGATCAAATTTCAAGGCTCTTAGACCCTCTTCCTACTCAACAAAATGTTATCTAAACAAGATGTTATATGAAGTCATTAACTATTCAGTATAAGGATGAGAATCTACGTATGAGAATTATGAGAAATTAAGCAACATTGTATGTGATTCAAGCTTTTTTGGCACCAACTCCCACAACATTCATGCTCCCTGAAAGAAACATGAGGAATTGTATGTTTTCAGTTAAAACTTGTATAAACGCATATGATGATTTGCGGAGCAAAGACATATTCTCCGTATTGGAGATCCATCTACGTTTGTTGATCTTGGTCTTACTTCAAAAGAAGGTTAAATGAATAATGTTTTAGTCTATCTCGTACTTTTTCTCAACCGCTGGAGCCAAATATTCATATCGTGTTGTAAATTGCTATGATTACAAAGATAATATACATCATGTTGTTATTTGCCTTTCCATCATCCTACGATTATATGTTATTATTATTTGCATCTCTTTTCACCTAGATATCCATTGGAATCTTATAATATTTTTTCTTCATGAAACATTTACTTTCTATATTTAATGTTCGATGGATTTCAACCTTAAATCATCCAATCTTAAAATCTTCTATTTGCAGGGACTTTCCTGGGTTCATTTTGCAAGAGAAGTTGTGTGGTGGACCACCACACAACTTCTTTTGACGACGCAGTCTGGATGTCCTTTGTACCATCACTGGTGGTACAACGGACATCCAGACTGCGTCAATCTACCCCGTGACCTGAAAAGCATGGACACAGCAGTCATTCTAGGCCAGGTAAAGTGCCTTCTTTTCGGAGGTCTGAGATGGAAGGAGATTAACGGATTCGAACAGTCTTTTGGAAGATGCAGCATTTATCCGCACCAAAGTTGCTGAAATTCATTGGCCAAAATTTTCCAACGCTACGTTGCTCTGGATGGATTTCAAGTGTAAATCATCCATCTTCGTTTGATTCGATAAATATGTGAAGATTATGACGATATATAGTTTAAAAAACAATATGGAAATTTTTTTGATAGAAAATATGGTGAAAATTATTATAGAAATGTTATAAAGACATTTTTATCTTTTGTGATTTCTTTGGTGAGAGGTTAGATAATCATCATACTTATCTTGTAATAGAGTAAGAAGTATGGAAACATCACTAGACATGAATGAGGTACTTAAATTTATCATGATTGAAATAAAGAAGTTTAGAAAAGTAATAATGGAAAGACATACAAAACAACAAGTCATGAAAGATAAATTTTCTACGTTAGAAAATGAAAAAAGAGAACCAGTTGGAGAAATAGAGGTTGAAATTTGAGTATTATATACTAAAGTTCAATAGAACCCAAATACTATTGATGCAGCAGAAGCAAATAGAAAACGAATTCAAAAATATGAAGATTAAATCAATCTCTTACTTCAATGTAGAGTGGAGGCATATAAGGGAAGTAGGACAATGAGTATTTTAGAAAGTTGGATCATGAATATAAATATACATTTGTCTCATTGCTATATATTTTGATTTTATGACACAGATGTTTATGATGTCTTACCTCATGGATAATACACTCACATGCTACATTACATGAAAATTAATGTTCTGAAAACCAGATGCTTCAATTTCGTGAAATGAAATGTGTAAAATACTTCTACAAAATTTTCAAACTATTGATTGTCATTAGATAGCAAGAATGAAGTTTTGAAGTAAAAATGAAATATTCATGAGTATATTGAAGAATTCTATATATTTCAAATAATCATCATAGATACGAGTGGAACAAAAGTTTGGAATGTAATAAAACGAGGTTTGAAAGTTCAAGTACAAAGGGAAGTGAAACAAAAGTCTTGGATATAATCAAATGAGGTTTGAAAGATCGAGTAAAAGAAGAGTGATAATAAACAATCTATCCATAATGAATGAAGAAGTCGCAATCGATTAACAAATTTCACGATCTTATGAAACCACACACAATGAACTATTAATGTTCAAGATCCAATCAATCTTACATCAATTGAGTATAAAAATCTTTGACGTAGAGAAAATATACCATCACAAGTACCAATACCAAGATTTGAAGACAACATTTGCAAGAAATATATACAAATAATGAAATGACTCAAGGAGAAACCAAAGTTCGTGATACTCGTCAATGTTATGCATACAAGAGTAGAAATCACATTGCTAAATTCTTCTAACTTTGATGAGTTACATAAGAAGAAAGTCCAATGCAGCAATGGTCTTTCAACAACATGGAGGGCGCAAAATACGAAGAAGCTGAAAAATTAGCTTAGGAAAACAAAGATTATTTGTAAACTTGTCTCGCGGTCTTATTAGTTACACAAAACAAAGAAAAACTGAGATTTGAAGAAGACAATGATTGGACATTCATGCAAACAGCAACAAACAAGCCAATTATTTGTCACATATGGTCTGATAGAAGAATTCCAGGTGAAAATTCTCATTGATATTGGAACAAGAAAAAAGTATTATGTCACAAAAAGTTACAATAAAATTAGAATTGATATTGATAAAGGATGTAAATGAGAAAGTGTAATTTTCAGACGGATAAACTGAAGAAATAGAAACATTATCACGGAATGCAAAATTAACTATAGGTAGATGTAAGGAATAAATTGAAAGTAGAGTAATTTGTTTAGCTCAATATTTCATCTTAAATAAGCCATGGATAGAACAATATAATTTGTAAATAGATTGAAAAAAAAATGATAAAAAATAGTAGATGGAAAATTCATGAAGATGAAATTAGATTTGAAAATAGAAATCTAACTATTTTTGTGATGGATAATACATTCTTTTTAAAAAATTACATATGTTTCTTGAGATTTATTAAAAACACTAGTATCAAATTTTACATTTCAAAAACCTTGAAAAATATTTGTATAGAATATAAAGATAAATTCCAAATGATTTAACTACAATATTATCACTGAAGAAGAAGGTAGATTACAAGATTGAAGTAATATCTAGAATCACATTCATTTACAAAGCTCTATATAGTTTAGCTTCAAACAAATTTAAAGAATGCAAAACTGAAGTGAAAAAAATGTTGAAGAAATAATTTATTTTATTAATTGTTTCACATTATAGAACATCAATGATATGTGTGAAAAAAAATTGCAATATGCAATTATGCATTGATTACGGAATATTGAATCAACAAACAGTATAAAATAAATGTTCATTATCTTGAATATATGACTTGTTTGATCAATTTCAAAGAGCAAAGTATTTCATCTAATTAAACCTAAGTAGAAACTACAACTAGATTCAAATTGCAGATGAAAATATCCACAAATTTGTTTTTCAAACTAGATATGGTTATTTTAAATATCTAGTAATGACTTTTTGTTCCACTAATGCATTTGTTATATTCATCAGATTGATGAATGATATTTTTTTTTCCCTTAATTAAACAAATTTAATATTGTATTCTAGATAATATTTTGTTATATAGCAAAACCTTGAGCAATATTTACTCAAAATCTTCTAATATAGTACTTTGAGTGTTGAGTACAAATGAATTATATGCCAAATTTTCAAAATGTAAGTTTGTCAAATTAGAGTTACATTACTTGCATCATAGAATTATAGTATAAAGAATCCAAAGGATGAGTGAGAAGATAGAAGATAGAAGATATTCAGCAATTGACAGTAGTTGAATATCAAACTCAATATAATAGCGTTCTAAAACTCACATTTTTATTGTAGATTTGTGAAAAGTTGTTGCTCGTCCAATTCAAACTTTGATATCAATGCTAGGCAAAGTCAAATAATGAATATGAATAACAGCTCAAGATTTTCAAAACTTGAGGAATGTTTTGTTACATGCATCTATACTCAAGTGGTAGATTCTAATCGATCTATCAAGTTGCCAGTTGATGTGTAAAATATAATAATGGATGACATACTTCAACAAGAATGTGAGTATAGATGACATCAATATGGATGATCATCACCAATTGTTCTTTTACTACAAATTGATAACTTCAAAACAAAATACCACACAAACAAACGAGAAGAATATTGGCAACAAAACACTAGAAACAGTATTTGGATGATAAATAATTTGTAATAAAGATATATCATATATCATTGGTTTATTTCTAATCTCAGAATTATTAGTTCAAAAATTCAAATCTGATGAGCAAAGTGATGTTAGAGTTTGAACATGAAAAGTGTGTAGATAGAAGGTAAGTAACAAGTTGCAATTGCTCTCACACACATAACATATGTTAATTATGTTGCAGAAATGAAAATTCAAGTTGATTGATGGAGTATGATGACATATGTCATAAAGAAATATGAAAAAAATTATGAAAGAGCTACAAGCTGAAAGGGTAAAGAAGATCAGAGATTTTATGTTTTACAAACAACATATATGGATTTCCCAAAAGCAAGGATTATGCACAATGATTTTGTCAGTATAATACAGCCAATACATTCCATGTGGGGTGGAAGAAACCTTGGAAAATATCCAACAAGTGTGCTACAATATAAAAGTATGTAGAATCTTATGTTCAAAGTTATGTGATTTAAAACAAAATAATTAATCAAAAAATCAATAGATTTATCATAAACTCTTCCAAATCCAAAACAATTATGAGATATATGAGTTGCCAAAAATTTTGCTAAAAAATGATTCAATTGTAATCATTGTGATTTAGTTAAACAAGATAATTCAAAACAATGAAGATTCCACATCTTATTTGATTGTATTTAGATGTAATTTTTATGAAGCATGGATTAAACATAGTTATATTTACTCTATTATTGTTTTCATAAGTATTCAAATTTATTTTTGGAAAATTCTATTTATTTTTCTGAAAATACAATCAGTAATGTCAACCAAATAGAACCAATAAATTTGTAAAAAAAATTATAAATATTTTTGCAAGAATAGTGAAAATCTCTTTCAATTTTTGTAAAGTTTGCAAAGAATTATTATATACAAATATATACATAAAAGTATCTCTATTTTACCTTATGTACTTCGTTTATTCTATAATTTTATTTAATTTGATAAAATTTTCAATAATAATAATAATTTTTCACGGAAGTATATACATTCAAAGATGTTATGGAACAAGTTTACAAAAATAATACACATATGTTTGTTTTTTCCGTTCTTAGTTTATATAATAAATCATGTTTATTTATCTAATATTTTATTTTGAAGATATAAATATTTAATTTTAAATCATTAATAATTTTGTGACATGATAATATATTGATAAAATGTAATACAAATTTTAATTTATAATGCATGAAAGTATTTTATGTATCGCGGTTAAGAAAATATATATTTCAATTTTAGTAAGACTTTCAAGTAATATTTAAAATTAAGAACAACTATAGACATTGAAGATTTGATGTGTATTATATGACCATAGTTTTCATTACAATGTGTTTGAACTGTCCAAATTTTTAGAGTATATTTTAAGTTTCCAACAACTATAGACGGTGAAGATTTGATGTGTATTGCAAACCATAGCATTCATTACGTATGTGAAAAAGGTTCAATAAATAGAAAGTGTACACAGGATTCACTTTTGCACAATGACTTTGAATTTATGTCATGATAGGGTCAAATTTGTACATACCATACAAAATTCTAGTGTCACATACTCAAGCGTGCTCAATAGAGCACGAGGAAGCCTAAGACACAAAGACTCTACTCTACTCGACAACTAGATATTGAGAACAGGCGGTTTAAGCTGGCCTCCGATCAGGGCGAATCACCATCCTTAGACTTTGGGAAGCTTGTACTGTTTCTTCAGAAACTTCGATGCCTCTCGGTCCAACCGATGGCAGAGTACCCGGAGAAGTGTGTCGGCGTCTGTGGCGATTCGTGGCCCACTTCTTTGCACGCTACCTCCCGAAGCCATTTGCTCACTTGCTCGCTTAAAGCTATCGATCACTATGCTGGTCTGCATATTTATTACGATTTGCGAGTAAATACCACTTTCTCAAAATGTGAAATACTAAACAACAAACCATTACTGGACAGGATACTCGGAAGTATTTTGACGTGGCCTCTTTAACTCAAGAGGCGGCATGTCAAAAGGATAAGGACCTTACCTCGAGACTGTACAGATTCAAAATTTGTTGAACAGGGGCCGCAGCATTCTCTACAACTCCCCTCGGAAGGCCATCGCCGTCCGCTATGAAAAACTCCTGAAAGGTATGAACAGAGAAGAATCATCTTGCAAGAGAACTCACTATTTACTTGATGTTCGATTAAGTGAAAGCAAAACCGCCTTCAAAGCAATCTCAGATGCAAACCATCTCAAGGTAGCAAGGGCAAACTGATGGTGTAGCTGGAAGAAAACGTCTACCTTCAGTGAACTAAGATCTTCCTCGAGCATGTCACTGTCAGTGTCAGCAAATACGCGCGTTGGACCTCCATCCAACAGTACACGCAACAGACCTTCCTGTAAAACGATCTCTTGTGAGCAGATAACTCGAGGTATCCGAACTCCACCTATAGCAGACCTAAGTGATCTCATGGTTTGGTTTTTATACTCATGCTATGTTTCATGCTCACACACAAAATTTTTACAAAGCCAGTATGAAGTACGGACACTATCTCCGCGAAAATCCACACCCTTTCCTCTATGTGGACAACTTTAAAATTGGAAACGAGCGAAAGGGTGAGCAAAATCTGAGAGTGTAGAGTCCAAAAGCGAGGTTACCAGGGACGCTTGTAGGAGACCAAGAACAATACGATCTCTTAAAGCCGGATCTATAGTATCACACAACTGACCAAGAACCTGCGTTCGATACATAAGAAAATGTTAGAAATTGTTTCACATGATTCATAGATGAACTCGTAAGAGTTTATTTGCGGCGTATTTGAATTCATCGGAATCACGTCATCAGTAAGGCATGACTACGAACAATGAACGACTTACTGGCTGGCATGCTGAAAACCGTACTTTTTATGGTCGAATAAGACAAACTTATGAGCTCGATGTGAAGAGTTGTCTTACCGGATCAAGTACACTAATCACTTTCTCCATACGAGATTGAGAGACACTTCCTTTATACAAACCGTCTATCAACACTTCTCGGAGATCCCAGAATACAATTTTTGTTCCTGTAGATTTGGCGTGAGAGTTTGTCAGCACGACCGTGGTGGACAAACTCCTGCACTCATACATCTATATCGACAAGCCCAGTCCCAAAATAAAAATTCGAATTGTTGAGTAAATTTTTGCTCACTTTCAAAGTCTCTATTAAAAAGCCTTAAAACACTCAAAAGTTCAGGTCAGGATATAAATCTATTGCTCTCATCAGACAACGACCCTGCCAGAGTACTTTCGATCACATAAAAACCCTAAAGAGCTAGCAGTTTTGAGCTTCGAACAACTAGAGATATATGCGACATCAGTATCGACATCCCAGGCGATTCTAGAAATTGCAGGTTCATTTTTTGAAATAGGAGTTATCATTAACATTGTCATGCAGAGCGGTGTTTGCTGACCTGTAAAATCGCATATCTTATCAATAGATACGTTGACTGCTTTTCTTGTCCCATCAAAAGCTGAAAGCTCGTCCAATGGCTTGCTTCCGGGCGGACGTTTCAGTTTCGTTTCTCCATCATTCGCTTTGCGCTCTAAATTCATAAGGAAAGGCGAGGCATAAATATACATTTCAATAATTCTCAAGGAGATGGCATACATAATCATAGGAATCAGGAAAGTAGGACACAATTGAGCCACTGTGAATCACAAGAAAGTGACACTTCAACCAGAGCTTAGCTAATCCTTTCATTAAGTTTATCTTAGGTGGCCTCAACTTGAAACGAAGAACTTACTTGGCACTGTTCCATTGCTCCGAAGTACGTCATCTCGTGGCCTTTTACGAGCCCATCGTTCTCGAATATGATCTTCCAAAGCATCCACTAGGACTAGGATGTGCTGCATTGTCCATCATGTAATCTTAATGAAAACTGTTATACACTGGACAAGCAACCTATGTACATTCCGTAAAGCTTACAAATCTGATTGTGCTTTTGGTGGAGCTAGATCATTGATCATTCATTCCACAACAACTGACTACCAAGAATGAAAGGTACGCAGTACTCAACCAGGTTCAACTCACATGTAGAGTGTTAAGTCGGACGCATAACCGGACAGTAGTGAGAAAATTGATCTCCGTTGAGCGCCGCTCATCAGGTAGCCGAGGGTCTGCCACTTTCTTTTTCGACTGGGCCTTAATAGACATGTCTTTCTTGTAACGAGTCAAACTTGGTGCTGGAGGTATCAAATCCCCTTTGTCGCCTGATCCAGGTCATGAGGTGACTTAGGACTTCGTTGAAAAAGTTGGACCCTCTTCAAGTCTTGGGAACAAAAACCTCATGAAACAAAGTCGACGTTGTTCACTATACTCAAACAGCAAACTTTGACAGTCTATTCCATACTCCACATGGTCATGGCGTTTTTGAAGTTTAAAATTTCATCAGATCATTGCGCATTATCACTTAGATGGTATGAGAGAGTCGGGTGCTTACCCAGCTCCACCAAAATCTTGTTGGTATAACCTACAAGAGCGCTGTCGAACCCATTCGTCAAGGCTTTCAGAACCGGAAGCCTCATTGGAAGTTTCAAGTTGAAGAACTGATCAGTAGTCTGCACACGGGAGTCACTTGAGAATAAGGACATAAGAAATAAGAGTTCAGGATTGCTTTCACAGAGACATGGACTCTAAAATTCGAGCCAATGCTTTAGAAAAGACCTAGTTAGCTAGACATGGAAAGCCAAGGCATTACCTCGTCAATAATACGGAAAACCTCTACCACAGATCCTGAGAATTGTTGATTTGTTGAGACTGGCTCCCACCTCTGCTCGCAGAACAGGCAGACTTAATTCAAAGACTCAAAGAAAGAACAGAGCACGTACTTCCGAGAAAAATACACAGTTAGGCCTTTCAAACGAGTGAATTTTCCAACTAAGAATAGGCACGATTGAAAGCTTAATATGTCGACATTACGTGTAAAACATGTACATCCAGATCAAGATTTCGACTTGGACCTAGACATGCTTCTTTTCGAAGCAAAGTTTAATTGACCATATAGTTTGCTTTAAATACCTCTTGCTGAATAGTCCGGTCGACCCACTCAGTCACGCTACCCAGCTGGGTGTTGACCCAGCGCATTACTAATGTTCCTGATACCACTTCCACCTGAAGACATGATTATTAGAAGGTCAGAGATCCGCCTGAACATATCCCATTATGGTAGAACCATGCTTCTCATTTCGAATAACGCCTCCGAGGAAGGGCGATGAATATACCTGGTAACGAACAAGCTGCTGTTCATACACATTGTCCTCACCCTCCTCCGAAACTGTCCCGATAAGATCTAGAAGATACTGTTCTAGACTATCAGCTGCTGGAAGAACTGATGCAACGTCTTCTGACAAGTGAGAGACTCCATCAAGAAATGGTTTCTGCACACATGAGGAGGAAACGTTACAAGTATGAAATGAAAACCGACAAGGAACAGAGCGCAGTCTTGTTCTTCCAACTAGCCTAATTTTCCTCCAGACTTCTTCAGCTCCACCTTCAGCCATCGATGCTAAGGCGACAATGATTCTTGAAGCACCACTCCCTTGAGCTATCTTAGATCAGAAACATCTCGAGAAATATGACAGTGCACATGGCAAAGGTAGGAATATTGGACTATGTACTCTTGCAGTCACATGCTCACAAAGCAACTTACCAATTCCTTTTGATAAAGGCCATGCAATAGGGAAGCAGCGATTGCAATTGCATGAGGGTGCCATTTTGATAATATTGGAGCAAATACAGACGCCTCTTTCCTGGCTACGTCCTCTATACTTTCAGCCAGAGAAGCCAAGGGATGCTCCAATTCCTCCTCGGCTTCGGTCCTCGAGTCTAATTTCTCCACAATCTGCAAAAAAACCACTTTCAATTGGAATGAAAATGCTTCTAACTTTGCCCATGGGAAGGGCAATGAGGTCATGCTTCACTCTTTGGAAAGGTAAAAGACCGGGCTAGAATGAGCAGGGATAGAATCTTCCAATCACCAACGCTTCATCAAGCGAATGAGTGCTTAGAAGGAGATATGTCTTACAAGCGCTACAAAGTGAAGCCTAATAATTTGTGTGCCTACTTCTTAAAAATTGTCAAGTGTTAATGAGTGAAGGTAGAAGCTCCTAGGCTGCTCTTTGTACCGTTTGTAATTCACATTTTAACAATAACAAAGAAACTACAAGACAATGGAGCAACCTTCCATTCCACGACAAAAGAGAGGATATATTTAAGAAGAAACAAACCCTTTCATAGACCAATTTTAGCGATGAGTGTATATAGCCTTCTGCCTGCTTGGCAACAGCTGTGGTTTCTCCAGAATTCCTGATCGCCTGGATTGGGGGAAAAAAAGCCTCAGTGGCAGTTGTTGATGTCATAGTTACAACTGACAGAAAATTGAAAGGTGCAACCTATTTTTTTATTCGAACTGATAAATCGCCTGAAACAGTCGGTCGACTGCTTCCAAGGGCGCTAGTTTCTTGACTATCTAGATGAAATGGTTAGATCAAAGTTACAACTCCTACTATCACTAAGGAATTATTACCCCAGACTGTTCTTGTTCATCTGCAATCAAGCGACCGGACACCATCGCTACGGTAACTATAGCCTCCATCTTCTTCGCGTCCTGGTCAGATACAATAGATAAAGAAATAAGCAGCGACTATCAAAGTGAAAACCTATAAAGGGGTGAGGTGTAAGGATGCGACGTCTTTGTTCTACTCTTTAATATTTGACCCTGGTGCTTAAAACATGAACTGAGTAGTGAAAAAATTGTGTGCTTACATCACCAAATTTTGAGTGATAGTCTTCCAGTTGTTTGTCTGCCCATTGTTTAATGGGAACAAGAACAGATTGAACATAAGACATCTCTTTGTGGGTGTCGCCATCTTCTACAGTGCATCTCAGGCTCCTCATGTAAGCTCTTTCTTGTGCACTGCGCTGGGCATCAGAGGCTATCTTCTTCATCTGCTGAGTTGCATGCTGCAACAGGGCTTCTTCACCTGTCATGATGTACTGAGACCAAACTGCTCTTCAGTGATTGGAAGCGAAGATGACACAGAACCGAAAGTGAGATAAGAAGGTTCAGGTTCCCAATTTTGTTAACGACCTTTCCTTCGAACCTGTAGCCTATTTCGCTGGCTTGGACCCACCCTATTAACATAAATGATTTTAGACAGACATCACCCGAACAAAAGTAAGAATATATGATTAACGCAGGTGGACTTCTTCTTAATGGGAAAAAGTGGGTACACCTGTCTGAACAGAACCCATGTATAGCAGGTGTCGTGAACTGTTTGGGTGATTCCCAAGACTCGCCATGTTGATTTCAGCAGTTCCAGAATCTCCTCTACTTCCTGCAAAATCCAAGAGTCTACTTGAAATTGCATATTGCAGCTGTTCTTGTATATGTCGGTCGGTTTCGGTAACAGGCTTTTTAGTGTGTTCCTAACTGACAGTCCAATCCAAACTGGAAAGGCATGTAAAAAACACAAAGTGATGCCAACCGAATGCAACTCTCCGACTCCGAACGGCGTCAAACCAAGAAGGAAGTGATATACTCGCCTCAACAAGCTGTCCTTCATCCAAAACGTCAAAGACACTCCCGAGTAACTTTGCATAAAGGCGAACGTTCAAATGGTAACCGTCTGCCCAGTGGCAAACCTCTCCCGTATGGTCACCTCTTCCCACTCTTTCAGCAAGAGCAAGACCTACTCCCCTCAACGATCTTAACGCTTCTGCATGCTGAGCTGGTCCAGCTGGTGACGGTAGAGTCTGTGTCATCGTGATAGAAAATGAGCCAAGGATATACCGAAGAAGCACGGATATAACACATAACCTAAATTCACGAAATGTAAGTGATAATAAAATGATTGACGTAAAACAAAGTTTGCCAATACCTCTGCCTCTTCGAGCTTATTGATCAGGACTCTTAATTCCGCAGATGTGCGATCGCTAGGAGACAAGGGTACATAAGGATGATGCAAGAGACCTTCCTCGATAAGACTTATCTGTAAAATGGGAGTTCCAATATTAGGAATGACAAGAATTGATGCTAGCTTGATACCGGTTTGTTCTCTCTGTGGAAGGAAACACATGTATCTACAAATAATCAGTTTGTCAGTCTTCCAAGACTGACAAACTGATTACTTGCAAAACTCATAAACTCCGTAAACTGTCGACGTTGGGCTTCAATGCAAGATGACGTATCAGACATGAACGCTGGAAGTACCTGTCGTTTTCGCCACCGAGAATGGAATTTCCGATCAAGAAATTGAGATGTGGGAACAGCACAAAGAAGCTCCAAAGGCAACAGCATAGAATCCATTCTTCTGCCGCCCCTAGTTGATGATGCAGTCAACAATGCTTCCCTTGTACGCCGATCATCAGCCACCGAGATCTGCATAGGCTCATATGGTCTTGTCAAAACATCCGACCTTTTCTCTTATATTTTTTTTCCGACGGCGGCGGGCGGCGGGGGGCGGGGGGCGGGGGGCAGGGGTGTCTATGTTTTTAATTCTTTGCGCCGAAAACGACTATCAAGTGATGTTCCTACCAAGACACGTGCTGTACGAACCCTTTTAACAGATAGCAATACTCGCAAAGAGTGAAAGTATTCCTTTGTTCATAGAAAGCTCGGCTAGGTTTCTATTCACAGCACAAACTAATCTGGCTTCGTCAACAGTGTCTCGCTACTATAACGCTCACCTCCATCTGTGTCCTCATCGTGTCCATTAGACCAGCTAGTCCTGTAGCCCTGGGTGGCTGAGGTACGGTCTTGTCCGTCTTCGATCTCGAGAAGGTTTTTGTTAATCTTGACTTCTTCTTCTCTTTTTTCTCCTTCGCCGGTGAAATAAGGCCCCTATTCCAACCAGCAGTTAGAGCTGTTTAATATACACACGTTAAACCCAAGGGTTGGGGGCAAGCGGTCGTTACAAATCAGAAAGAAGAGCTCTCGAGTATAGAAAAGTAGTGTCTTCAGCTCGTTTGATACATCTGATTCTTTTGTGGGCTTCTCAGAGGGATAAGGACTCACCCAGCCGCACCAACGGATGTAAGTAGAACTTCATAGGCTGTTTCTCGAAGGTCATCATCGGTCAATCCTAGACATTGCAGATCAAGATATTAGTGCGTGTCTCAGTAAACCTGAGTTGTGAATCACGAAGTAAAGGCAAGACCTTCATATTCTTATCTCTTGCTCAGTTGGCAATCGGTGACCGTTTTGGATAAGACGAACCACAATGACTTCAAAGTTAGTAACAGGAACCTTCTACACATGGTTTTAGCCTTTATTGAACTTAGCCCACTCGTAGCCGAGCATCATAAAAAAAAATGAAAGTCGTGGAAAGACAGAAGAAAACTTAAGGTTTCGGCACAATCGGAAAGATAGGCATAGAAACATGTGTATACCAGTAACCAACGGTGGCAACGGCAGGACAAGGTCAGTTGTATTCAGAAGCTGACGTCTGGCGATTTCGGTTGACAGCTCCTCATCGTCATCTGCGTCGTCATATTCATCATCCTCGCCAATCGACGCTGGATGAGAGATGTTAGACCGTATGCTGAAATTCTTCGTGAGTTTTCCTGGAGAGAGAGGGATTGCAATCGGAGGAGGCGAACGTGTAGGAGGAGGCCCAGAGAACTCCGGGTGCGTAACCAGAAAATATACCTCGCCCAAGCCTTTGCCATGCTGAACACGCAAAATAATACAAGGTGAGCTAATAGCCGGCAAATTGCTGCTTGTTGAGCTACAAGCTTACAAACTTTAACCCTTATACAAGCACCAAGGTTTGTAGTTTGACCATGAAACTATCTAGAAGTCACTTCAATAGAGGCAAACATCCAGCACTTGGAAATTAAGCTCACTCGTACAAAAGACGTGAGTGCTATCGTAAATTGAAGTATTCGTCACTACGTAACCTACCGCTGGAGGGAGATTGATTTCATCATGATACTTCTCGATAGCTTTTCCAAGCTCCAAAACCGCACCTGAACCATTCAAATATCATCAGCACAGACATAGAAGTAGATAAGTATATGTCCTGCGCATGATGAAGAATTTTAGGAGCATCTTGTGCAACGAGTGCTTTACTGCTTCGAAGAAAAAGAGATAGAAAAATTTGGCACTCGCGCAAGGGCTCTGGGAATCGAGCGAAAAGTGAAGGTGTCAGCCTAGTCCCACAAACAGCATTCAGCTGATATTGATCAGATTTAAGAAGGATACGCACTTACACTGCTGACTCCTTGGTCAGAAGTGCTGAGCTCCGGCTGTGGATACGTACGCTCGAGACATACTACCTCTAATGCAAATCTGACCCTTTCTCTCGTCACTACTAAAGTGGAGAGCCTACCTTTTCGGGCACAATCCAAAATATAATCAACACTGATTTCGTCGAGGCCAAGATCCTCAATTGATACTGCCCCTGGAGGCATCACAACCCTCTTCAGTACATCTGAAGAAAGGAGAAATGAGAGGAGCTCTCGCCGATCCCGTCGATAACGTTGAAGCAATTCGACATCAGAAGCACTGCAACGCAGAAAAATATTCAGATCCACCGAGGGTCGAAAAGTTATTTCATAATAGGGTGAGCGATCAACAATCAAAACTTTCAGAATCGTGCAATATAAATTGTGGACACCAATTTTTTACGGCTGAATTCGAGTTCTACAGCTGCACAAGGTCACGATGGACAGTTCTAGACAATACCATAGCGGATGAACAGAAAAACAAGTTTGACAAGTGGCTTCAAGTACTGGTTCAACAAGTTGTCCGCAGATACGACACAAAAATTCAACACGACATTTCCAGCTCTTTTCTGACTCAGGAATTTCAAGGCCTAAGCGATTCGACAAAGAAATGGCAGTGTAAAAGTTGTCTGATGTGAAGGACGACAGTGCTACAAAAAGCCTCACCTTCCGTTCTCCTACAGACAAAAAAAAAAATAGCGAGTGTCGTGGATGCAATAAGCACACGTGGGTGTAAACTTTGCGAGAAACAATGGCAAAGACATTCTCTTCAACCCTTGCTTTTGGCTTGAAGGTCCTGGAGTGCATATACCATGTGCGAAAGCGTAGTTTCCGCTCAATGATGGGAAGCTGCTTCAACACAGATTTGAGAAGCAGCTCTATCACAGGTTTAGATGCAGTACAAGCAGAGAAACCGTCGGGATTTTGCACCAGGAGGTGAACATTAAACCCACAGAAGGAAGAAGAACAGGTAACAAAAGAGAACGTCGATTTTTTTTCCTCTGAATGCACGAATTAAATAGTAATAAAATTCTGTGTTGATTAACATTTTCTGGTTCCGATATAAACATCAGCAAATCTATGAGATCAACTTAACTCTCCACCAAAGAAAAAATGCGGGTGAAAGCCCGCTGACCATCAAGAATTTGCAAATCTAGCTCATGATCATTGCAGATATGCGTAACGCAAATCGAGCTACGAAAAACTCGTCGAGACTACAGCTAAGAATCATGTAATCATAACGAGACAAACGCGCTTTTGAGAGCAGCACCCACCGCGTCATTTTGCCAGCTTTCGCGAAAGATTAAGGGCCCTCAAACCATTCCCATCAGCTTCAGCGGGAACACGAACACTTGAACATTACCCGTCTACGATAAGCTGGAATCAAAACGCCAAGAAACGCTTGGATCAGGACATGGTAACTATCTTCAGCTGTTAATGTCGAATTCCCGATGTGATGGCAACACCCTGGACGCACCAGCAAGAGAATGGGAATCGAAACCACTTACGAACAAAACGCTGATGGGGACAGAAACCTGCAATGCGAGAAGAATCTGAAGAGAGAAAGACAGAGATCAAGGCGGAAGAAGCTTCGCACATGAGGATTGCATAATCGACCATCGAAGTCGACTGGGCTGAACACTCAAGCGCACGCGGCCGCAGGACGCCTGCGAGGAATCCTCGCGCTGGCGGGCGAATGCCAAGGATCTCACAGCCAAATCGCGCAACAGTACTCAAGGCAGCAGCTTAAACTGCCCACAGCGCATCAGCTCCTCCTCCTCCTCTTCGTCCAACGGACGGATCATCCTCAGCTTCCCGAAACTCAAACTCCTTCCCCTGCTGCCGCTCGTTTCGGCTCCCGATCTCCGCCCAGCTCCGTTAGCTTCCTCGGTAGGCGCTGAATCACGACAACGACAACAACAGTACTCACCCCCGAGGCGTGCCACATATACCTCCGAACCTGAATGGCAAAGAATAGAAAGAAGAAACATTCAAAGCCCCGGAAAACTATCTAACCCCTGCGATGCACGCGCAGCAAATTGTGGAATCGACGTCCAATCTCAATTCCTGGCCTCTCCAGACCTCCTCCCTCCCTAATCCATTCCCACAGCCTTCATCCACGCTCTCCGGCCCTCGTATCGACCAAAAGCCCCGCATTGCCCACTCGCACAACCAATGCACCTCTCCACTCTCGAAGCAATGAAGCATGCAAGCAAGCAAGCCCCGAGCCCCAACACCATTGCACCTCCGCACGCCCTCCCCTCACCTGATGCTCGCTCAACCTCCGAGTTCCGAGTTCCGAGTTCCGAGCTTCGAGCTCCTCGCATTCGCTGCACGAGTTCAAGATCGCCAGCGCGCTCTTGCTCCCTCGCTCGCTCGCTGCCTGGGACGAGACGCTCGCGTCAAAAGGGCGCCCCCATCTCCACCAGCTCCTCCGTCGCGGAGCTGCTGCAGCAGCGCGAGCGCTTTCACCGACCGCGCGGCCGCGGCCGCTGGACGGCGACTCGCGGTCTCCGTTATCGGCAGCAACGAAGCCAGGCGCGCGCCATGACGCACCCAACGACGACACGGCGCGAGCTTTTCGGTCGCCTCCTCCTCCTTCTCGTCGCTTCCTCCGCGCCTTTGCCTTTCTCTTTTTCCTCCCCCTTTCGCGTCCATCGCTTCCTCGGACTCGTGATCAAGACTTCGGCCTTGTCGCCTCTCGAGGTCGCTCGTTTTGCGGCAGCAGTGGAGCATTTTGGAAGAGGAGCGGATGGCGACTGACTTGGTTCCAGTCCTGCGTCTCCTCTCGGCCTACGACCGCCATCGCCGCCAGTCTAACTGATGTCGCAAAGGTGTGCTGGAGCTGAACGGCGGCGAAAGTACATCCTCGTATTTCAACCCCTTGAATTGAGGGAAACTACAAATCGATTTTCTCAAAAGAATGCATAAGACTTTCAGACAATGAGATAATCAGATAATCATTGGTTTGGCATCGTCTGGAACATATTTTACACCCTTACATATATAAGATTATCATTGCGTATATCCGCTGAGGTTCTCTCGATGAGGCTTTCCGAATAATTGTAGCGTGTTAGTGTTGTTCATCGAAAATTAATCCCCTTTAATGCCCTAGATGGACTTCTCGGCACGGAGGTCCTCATACTTGAGGACTTGTACTACCAAAAAGACCATTTTCTTAGAGCCGGTTGACAGAACTTTAAAAATGTCGGAAATGATTATTCTTGTCAATATTCAGCAAGCACAAGTATGGCGGCTCATATGTAGGAGCGTTCATGGTTGCACATATTTCGGCACGCTTTGACGACGCAGTGGTCAGTCATCGGGACACGTACTAGGAACTTGAGAAGGGGGAGTTTTCAATTGACGCTTAATTGGCGTCGATCAAGCATGATCCTTTCTCTTGGCCCGAGTTTGGTGTTTCTCCTGGAGACCGGGGGAACAATTGTGCCTCTACAGCTGAACGAACTCTTTGGGAGGAAGCTTGTTGTTCAAGCTTGTTGCACTTTTTGGTAGTTAGTGATTCTCACGGGCCGCAGCACGGCCATGGCTCCAATTCGGTGGGGCTGCTACTTTTTACAAGAATGAGACGTCAATACTGGAGCCTCTTGATGTTGTATACATCTTTTCTTTGCGAGGCAAGGGACAAGGTCGGAAGAGTTGGGTGCTAGGGCTGTCCACATTCGTGAACTGCTCGCCTGATGTCATTGGTCAAGAAGTTGGAGTCGAACTCACTCTTGGGCCTTGACATGACCCCAAGTGGAACTATTTAAAATTCTATCCAGATTCTCACTCTGTTCTCTTCTTTTGTCAATCCTCGTGTCCTAATGGAATGCGTGAATGGCATTATGCCCTCGAGGAAATAATGGGAAACAAGATGATCTTCGACCGTCGAAGATGATCTCGTTGGGTGGGTTACAATGACATGATTATTGGCTCGCTCGTTGGCCGATTCCAAGAGAGTGAATGAGCTCAGAGATGTAGTACTTTACTCGATCTTCTTGTGCGTTTGTACTCTACTTCTTTTAGTTCGTTAATTTTGAGTTCCTCCTTATGAAACCTGTGTGTTTCATGAGGTTGCAGAGTTGTTTCAGTTTGGAAAATTGAGGCCTCGCTTATTGGAAGGGAGAAAATCACGTGAAGGTGATGGATCTCTAGCCTCATCCAACTTCTTATCCACGAACGATTCTCCCTACACGACTGCTGCACTTAAATTTTTTGCCCTTGAGAAAGACACTTTCTCATGTTTGCATATGATTCTGTAGCTCAATTTTGTCCACGATGTCTGGCGAAATAGTCTTGTCCGGATATGATGGAACTCTTCAAGGACTCCCGAACCGAAAGAAAAGAATTGCCCGCCTGACCTGTTACCTTCTTCTACACTGCCTCTAAATCTTACAGGAGGACGACGATACATATTTTAGTCCAAAGTCCACCACCTTTACCGCTGGAATCTTACAATCTTTTCAGTTTGTTTGACAAATCTGAAGGGCAACATCTGAACATTCCATCTGAGAGGACGTACTCAGCTGACTTTCTCGGGAAGCATGCGCTCAGTTCCCACATTCCCGAGTTTGTTTTCCGAAGCGTGGTACCAACTCTTGGATTTGTTTCTCTTATATTTCTTCATGTGGTGCCCAGAATCTGGCGTGTCAACTTTAGCGCACGAGGATTTTCTGACTAGGTCGTAATTATCATGACGATGTAGCTACTGGGGCTAGTTCCCAGAGGAGATCAAAGATTCCTACTACTTTTCGTGTTTCTGAGACTCGAAGTTAGCTGAGAATATAGCGAAGAACTCTCATTATGAGCTCGAGACACATTCGATCTAGTGGTTTGAAAGTTCTTATAGACCTCAATATTCGTCTGTTTTATTATAGCGGCAGGTGAGACATTAGTCTCAGATCCTTCATGTAGTCACAGGAACACAGGCACACAACTTCAAGTGCGTTGACAGGAAGTCTGCCAAAACAGCCTGGGCTGGCAATGATGCCATACTTTGTATTTCTAGACGTCGGCTGCATGTGCATTCGCCTGAGTCTTCTACGGATTTGCGGAAGCGTGATATTTTCTGCAACCAACCTCGCGGTTGTGAATATCTCCATACTTGCGCAAGTGGCCGGGACCATCAACAGGACAATAGAAATATGTTTGGGGAACTTGAATTTTCGATGCACTGTACGAAGTCTTGGATGACTTTTATGTTGGACTCCTCGCGCATAGCATATGCATCCTGAGGCATGTGTGATGTGGTTCCGACGAAACTCTTTCGCCTCGAGGCTGTGATAGAAAACTTCATCCACACGAATCCTCCGCTTTGCCATATCCATGAACGTTTATGCACATTTTACTTTTATTTCATCTGAAAGATTACACCGGCACTATGAGTGGGCATATATGATCAGCTGTCACGGTGCTCCTACCCGCTTCCAGGATTGATTTTTTCAGGGGTGAGCTGCTTACTGAGCGTGGTCAGATAAACGAAGAACTCAGATGTTCGACAGGCACAGAGTTAAAAGCTGACGAATTTGAGTTGCCACACAACCTACTGGTCCACGACCTGTATGAACAAGCACCCGGAGAGACCATACAGATTCTCGCCTAGTGCACTCCAGCCTTGTCCGCCCAAGTACAAGTGGATCTTTTGATCGTTCAAAACGTAGACCCATTTCTAGGTACACAATCAGTCCCCTTCACGCCGACTTCTACCGAGATAAAAACCGCACTGCTAAACAGGGAGTGCATTTTTAGGAAGCTGCTCATACCATCATACACCCCCTGACTAATGTCAGTCCACGAGCAGTTAAAAGGGAGCATGTCTTCCCGAAAAAATGTTGCCATGATTCCAAAATGAACTACGAGTGATAGGCAGTCCCACCCAGAGCTTTATTGGTGTTCCCATCCATCAGAGTTCAAGAAAAGAAAGTAAGACAATAGTTACAGAAACAACAGAAAGGACAAAAGAAGTGAGCTAGCTAAATTTTATTAGCTTTGGGTGAGAGATACGCTACACGGATTTCATAGCTATTAGACAATCTCTGCAAAATTGCCGGCTTCACTCTAATTCCTTAGAGTGTCCTAAGAAGGCCACAGCCGTGGTGATGAGGGTGGCATATACGAAGTTGGGAACGCGTTTCACCACTGGACCAACCGTGGGGAGCTGTTCAGTGGCTCTTTTGGCCACCATTGCCAAGACTGGTGCGCCTATGGAGAAAATGAGTACATTTTTACTGATACCGACGTATAAGTCCGAGGTAAATTTCTCAAGAAAAGCCGCAAATTCTTCCCTATCCAGAACTCCGTTTTGATTCGTATCGAAAGTCTGCGACAAACCAACTCCTTGTTACTGATCAAGAGAATTATGGAAAGAGTGACAGGAAGAATCATTGAGTACCACGTGAATCTCAAACGAATAAATTGGATATACGTGTGAGTAGCACTCGTAAAACTAAATTATATGTCAGCAATGAGAAACTTTCACATTGCATACAGCTGAGGTTGGTATTGGGGAGTCGTTAATATTGAAAGAGCATCAGGAGCTTTGTGAGAAAAGATGGAGAACAGATTTACGTGCTTCTCACCTATAATCTTTTCTAGAGATCTATGCCAAGGTGCAGTGGTCTAGTCGAGGGATAAATTGCTTACCTTCAAAATTTCTTGCACCTCTTCCCTGGCTGGTGGATCATGATGTGGTCCGGGTATTTTCTTGTTGATGTCACTAGTGGAGGTAAGCCATTTCATCCACAGGAGCCAAGGTCGTAAGAGAAAATCAAATTGCAGACACACGAATGAGGTTTATCTCAAATTTCTAGTTCGATTATAAAGACGACGAAACCGGAGCAAAGAAAAACAGAGGGGTATGAGCTCACTTGTAAACAAGAAGAATGGCAGTGTAGAGCTCATGGAAAGTTAGCGTGTCCGTCCCACTGTGCGCACAGAAATGATCGAACACCCTGTCGATGATCGCTTTCACATGTACATGCTTTTGCTCCTTGGCTGCACATTCCCACAAATACAATATTTCAGATTGGTTGAGGCTTTGAACCTCCTACCCTCGCCAGTTTGCATCAAACTCTTCGGTCTTACTCTGCTGTCATCTACAATAACTTCGTCTTCTCAAAAACAACTCTATCTTCAGAATTCTATCTCTTCCCAAGATTACAATTCAGTCCCGGATGTAAAATGGGTGAGAAACACTGGGTTTTATTACTGTCAGTTTCTCTTCCGCGTGCAGTTGTTCGTGGATAGAACAAGACAGTGTCGAAAACAACCTACAGGTGAGAGCCAGCCACAGTCTTCGCTACATCACCATCAGAAGGAAGGAAAGAGAAGAATCATGTAAGTTTTCCATTGAACTTTATGAGTGTCTTGTCTATCGAATGTCAGGGACGCCTTTCCGGTGTCTGAAAGTTCCAGGTCTGGCTGTGTAGTGGAAAAGTCCTGTTTTGCTCCATGGGCCCTGTTTGTTTGCCTCAGAAATAGCAGCGAGTGACGCATTTCACCTCTCTAGCCTCACAGGTACTTCTGCTCATAGTAAGGTAAACGCAGCTGCTGCGGCCTCGAGCTCGAAAGGGCTCTACGTTGTGAAACGACGAAGACAAAACGATCTCTGTCCATTTCCTCGATCACAGACCGAGCGGATTTTCCAAGTGATTGCAGATGCGAAAGTATTCCCTGGAGATCTCGGAACATTGAGCATGGCCGCCATCCTTGCTTCCCTCTGAACCCTGTCCAGTTTTTCTGAATTCCGCCCAAGAATATACCAGCGTGGTAGCCTCTTTGCAAGGACATTTCTAGTTTCCGCAAGATTTGCACCAAATCGTCTAATAGACTGATGGGTCAGCAGGAGTCACTAGATATTGTGGCACCCCGTTGACAGGAAAGAGCTCTTGATTCCGAATCTGAAGAGAAGGGTCCGACGATACCGCTGCAACGGGGGAGCTCGATCAGGAGGATGGAGAAGCGCATACAATTACCAGGGACAGCAAGACCGAGGGCTTTCAGGAGCGAAAGTGAACTTCAGTCTTCAAATATCGTATGCTGACGCACAAAGAAAGGACCAGTCGGAAATTTTTATGCTAGACAGATCACTCAACGAATAGCGTTAAGGTCCTCGTGGAGCGATGATCTAATCAACTCATGTTCACGAAATTCGCCGGGAGGAGAAATTCTGTACAGCACGGTCCTAAGAGTTACGCGTCAAGAACCATGGAATTTCTGGAGATAATTTCTACAGTACTAAACTGGAAACACTTGGATACAAGCCACAGGCAAGCATCATTCGCCGGAGACCTTGGTGGTGGCACGCACAGGCTCCGCGGTCAGGAGAGCCCCTGCATCGAGCTTTGGGTTGCAATCAGAAAGAGGGTCATATTGCCGCCCATGGTGCAACAAGGGCGATCGCAACGCAGAGGCTCTCGACAAACTCTCACCAATTTGCCTCGACAGAGCGAGGAACCGGTCCTCCGCGATCGTGGAAAGAGCGGGCAACGACGGATTCATCGGCACGAGAGAGAATTCATGAGATTCACGCAATTTACAAAGCCATGATTCCGACGATCCTCCCGTCACGCGCAACACGAGCGCGAGATCGAATCCGGGAATCCGAGAGGCCGAAAATTCGAGAAGGAGGAGCCTTACATTGGAGGTGACCCATGGCTGCCACTCGCGCGCCCCGAAGCTCGTCGACCTTGGCCGCCTCACCGCAACGCCGGAACTCGACACTCCGCCCTTCGATTGCTTCGCTCGCCGGTCCCTCTCCTCGTCGTCGTCGGAGGAGCGTCTGCTGATAGTCGTCCGAACTGGGCACCAGCTCAAGGCGAACGGGGCCGCCTGCTCCGTGCGCTGCAGGCTCCCCCGACTCCGCCACCGGATGCAGCCCGCTGCCCCCATGCCCCGGCTCCCACCCTCCGCGGCACGATGCTGCGAATCGACGAGCGGGGGGAGGGCGGGTCTAAGGAGTGGGCCACCCCGGCGCTGTGTCGTCCACTTGGGCGAGCGGGCGGGCGGCCCCAGCTCACGGGGCCTCGTGATTCCGCTCCTCTCCCATTGACTCTCGGCAACTGGGAGCCAACGGTTGACTTGTGCAGTGACCGTGAGGAGTGAGGACTGGAACCGGCTGCTGGTGGAGCTCTGTTACAGAAGCACCTGAAGGTCGAAATTTGGTGTAGCAGGGCTGGAGAGGTTGAAAGCTTGAGGGGTCTGGATTCCGTGTTACCGATTGCGTGAGCCCGTGGCTGGCTAGCTGCCATAGCTTGGGTGATGGTCCATGGAACCAGCTCCCCACCCGCCCTCGCAGTGGTGACGACCATTGCGAGGGCGGGCGGGGAGCTGGTTCCATGGACTTTCGGGAGCGTTCTCCGGGAAGGGGAGCAGGGATCACCGGCCCCTGGTTTTATCATCCCAGAGTGCGGGAGGTTGATTAGCTTTTGGCTTGTCCAATGGCTAAACTCCAGAAAGGTTTGAACACGCGCTATTAATGGTTCCACCTGATTGCGCAAATCATCGTCAGGTAGTGTGAGTCAAAGTTTGTAGATAGAGTGGGACGGGACTCCCACGAGTCTCTCTTTGGGTTGGAGAGTTGAGTTCCAGGACACGAAGAAGAAGAAGAAGATTACGGCAAACTGTGCTTGACCTGTTAAAAAAATCCCTTGTCGAACCGGATCCACAGGTTTGGGAGCCATAAGAAGATCCCTTGGTTTTATTTCCCTCGTCACGGCACCATTTCGAGCTTGTCCTAAAACGGGAGCTTCGAAGAGGGCCCACCATCGTGAATCAGGGGTATATTCAAAGATTTCGCTCCGGGGAACGATTCTCTTGCTGCTTGTCCATATTCCTCCACTGCATCACCAGCTTCGACCGTAATCTGACCATGCGTCCATGCTTCTCTCTTCGGGACGACCCTCTTTTCATTTCTCTCCGTGTGCTGTGGCGATTGCTCTGAGTCCTTAACCTTTGCGGACATCAATGAAGGAGGCGTTTGGCCAGCTTTCAAACAGTGAGAACCTGCTGTCTTTGCTTCTATGTAGCTCTCGACATTTTTCTTCAGCCTAGAAGGAAGTAGGAGGTAACGGTGGTGGTCCTTGGGCCAGCCGAGCACTGAGCTGTGAAGTTTTGGGATAGCAGATTCCGTGTCACCATGCTTCTACCAGTGAAGTTTGCGCTCTGATGTGAAGAACGCTGTATGCTCTCCCAAAGCACGGGAAGTATGTGGTGGATGTAGGCGAGGATTTCTTCGGATGCGAGAGATAGAGAGAGACTTGTACGCGTCACATCCCAAAATCCTTCGGTGTCTGTACTCACACATATAAAACCTCGAGTATTTACCATTCCCTGTACACTGTTCTCCAGATTTGTCCAGAGATGGGGCTGAGGCTGAAGACAAAGAGCGAAATCTGCAGTATCCGGGCATACCTTTGTTGTTGTGTTCAGAGCAAACTAGGAGAACTGTTGTACTCGAATGAGAAGTGAAATGGAGGAATGACATCAAAGCCGCATGGTTTTCAAAGGTCATCATGTTTGCGTGACTCAAACGTTTGTCCAATTCTCATTCCCTTGCGGGCTACTCCTCGTCACGATACCAGTGCTTTGAGGGAGCGTTGGTGAAGGAGGGTACACAGTCCAACCTTGATTACCCCGATAGAGGGTCCAGAAGCCAAGCCAACCTTGATCCCCCGGCTGCTGTTGCCTGTGACGCACACACACCACCCAAGCTCAGGTTCTCTCGACAAAGAGTGTTACAGTAAAACATGGTCATCATGTAACGGTGTTTACTGCAGAGTCCAAGGCACCAAAGTCTAGGCCTTGCCTTGCCTTCTTTAGTGGGCCTCTTCGTACAGGTCGATCGGACTCCTACTGGTTTTCTCGTCACACGCTCCGAAACACCTCGGTCTAAGAAATCAACAATATGTAGTTTTTGACGAATAAAAGGAGAAACGCTGCTTATATACATAGCCATTTCGTTTGCTCGCAATTTCCATCTCCACCGGGGTCCGGAGGGCATATTACTTCAACAAGTAATACGAGATTGTTCCCCAGAGTTTGATCGCTCTTTTGCTGTAGCTTTTCTTCCAGCAAGATCCGGAAGCGAGCACACTGCTGAAGGTTTGATTTCCATGATCTGTCGCTGCGAGCCTGGCCATTCTGCGCTTGCGTACAGATCTCCACGGTATCCATACTTGCGTCTCATAACTTCCGTAACTTCCTGGTACAGTCAGTGGCTTGCATGTTGCACAGAAGTGCCCTGAAACAGGGTCCAGATTCGAGGCTCATCTGAACCCAGATTCAGGCAAGTACTATGTAAAAGTGTAGATCTCTGTGGACCTAGGTTAAATTAGTGGCGACGCTACTCCATGACCGGACACAAGTTCAGCTAGAGGATGTAAGAGGCGGCTGGAACTTATCACCATTTTCCGAGAGAAACAAGTGTTGGAAGTGAGAAGCTTCAGGAAATGTGAGAATTGCATATGAACTCACATACGTGTCGAGATTGAGGGCCAGTGCCGCAAACGTCGTGTCTCCTTCAACCGTGTAGAAGCTTGTTGTTGTGCAACAACTGGTGGGCCCACACATTTACTGTATCAAGAAGAGAGCCATATTCCACGTTCAATGTTCATGTACCGCAAATCATGGTCACGACCTTCAGAAATTGAGTCCAGACTTTATTCAAGGCGGACTTGGCCGAGATTAGACAAAGTACATTGGCGACAGAGTACATATATCGTTGCGTTGTATTCATCTTGAAGCATTGATGGCAACTGAAGATGGCTTTCTTGTTTGTGGGAGTGCTTGTTTGAAGCTGGGTACTCCTGGCAGTTCGCTTGGTCCAAACGATCACTCCCTCACACAAGAGTTCCAACTTCCAAACTCTTCAATTCGTCTCACGCAAAGCAAAGTAGGCAAACTCAAGCGACCTTGACCAAATAGTCACATGCTTGGTCAATTGCCTCTGATGCATGGCTGAAACAAACTCGATGTAACAGAGACCGAAGCTAGGAACTGGAGGACAGATAGCAAGTCTTCATACAAGACTTCCACACCAGCTATACTCGAATGCCGAGCCCGTCGTCGTCAATGCAAGTACAAGTTTCTCATTTATTTCATTGATCTAGCTATCACAACGATTCATGGCTGCCAGCATACCCTCCATGTACTCTGTATCCGCCATCTTCCAACATCATTGTACAGGACGTACCATCGGTTGCCACGAATTGTAAGCAGAAGGCTGAAGTTCGGTCGCGGTGAGTGCATGGCAGATCTAGCAGCACTAAGGTGATGTTTACATATCCGTACAACAGTGAGGACAAGTCAGATGCATTCTTCAATCCCTTCTCGTAACCTTTCTTGCTGTATTGTCAGGTTCAGGTGGTGGTAATAAGCGCCACATGGGGACCAGTCTATGATTTTCGGCATGGACAGGTCTAGACCGTACCTTCAGATCAGATCAGATCTTCACCACAAGGCCTCATGTAACAGTTGGACACCCATCTACGACGACACCCGGTGCGGTCGGACAAGTCGCGAGAGGACAATTATCTAAGTTAACCCCCCACCAATTGATCGATTTTTCCTGCAGTTGCAAGGCGAAATAGAGTAGAACTCCCATGAATGCCAACCCAGCATCCAGAGCTGCTGACATTACGTAGTTGTATCGCTGCCACCATCCTTTGCGATATTTGAAGATATAATAGTTGAAAATGAATCCTATTACAAACCAGGAGGTAAAGTTGACAGGCGTCGCTGGAGGCATAATTCCGGTAGCAGCTATGAAAATAGGCATGTTGAAGTAAAGGATCCACTTCTTCTCAGGCCACCTTCTGGAGGCCAGCCAGAACGGTACGGGAGCAAGAGCCCCGAAGAGGAAGAACCAGTTGACTTTATCATATAGTCCCAAATTGCCAAATTGTCGTTGCGGCCCAATGAGACCCCAGATGACAGAGGCATCGAAAAACACTCGATCTCCTGGACAAGTCCAAGGGCTGTTTACAGGTAGCAGCTCAGGGTGACAGATGTTCTCCACTGAAGTCAATAACCACCATGCAGTTCCTAGGTTTATGAAAGCGGCTAACATCGTGCCAACTACCTGCGAGACTCAGAAAGGAACTGGTCAATCTTTCCATAAGCTCCTTCAAGTTACACCTTCACTTCGGGTTTTGGGCTCAAAGCCTGATCTCATTTCTTCTGCCCGAATGGATCATCAAAAAGTAACTCAATTTGCTCCCACTGTCAAAAGTTGTAAACCTCCTGAAGAATATTAAAGCAAGGGTACACAGTCTTCAAACGAAATTTTACTAAGGAAACAAGGAAATTACTAAGGAAATTTTACAAGGAAACAAAAAAAATAATGTCATACATGCTAGAGACTTCTCAAACAGATATGAGCTAACACATCAAATTTCTCTAATCACTTATAGTTACACAATATGTACTTTCACAAAAGGCCCCGTGTGTTGCTATTGACCAGCTTACAATTTCAGAATTAGAGTTTAAGAGAGATGTTTTGTCAAGTACCTGAACAACGAACATAGAGCGAGGAGGAATTTTCATGTAATGACCCAGTTTGAAATCAGACAAGAATGTGATAGCCTGAGTCATACTGATATAGCCATATGTCTTAAAGCACACATTTGCTACAGGTCTTCCAGGATATGCGTAACCAATCAAGTACTCCGTAATGATATTCAGACCTGGTACCTGCAAACCACTCGAACATGGTCAATTCTCAACTAAAAACGGTCTGGCTGAATGTACTTTGGAATAAAGCATCCGAATTCGCACTTGTCTTTCGGAACAGATCTCCACAGCCCCCCTTCCTGGGGTGCTGTGGAGATCTGAGGATTCAGAACTTCAATACATGCGAAAGCAATGAACTCAATAGTGTTCTGCTAATCTGTTTCTTTGGGTTTTGATAGTCCTTATCCCATATCCACTGGATCATACTTTCAACCCTGAAGACTCCGGGGCTTGATTTGATAACAAGAGAAGAAACCAACAAACCTGCATAAGATCATTATTTGCGGGACTGCGAATCATGTGCATTGTTGGCTACACAAACGCGTCTGTAAAGCCTTACAAAACATGGCTTCATTTCCAATCCTAGCAACAACACGAAGAAAAGAACTGCAGGTTGATCTCTATATTGAAATTAGAACACAAAATTCATTTTCTCTGTGTAAAATACCTATTTCTCCATAAATACATTCACTTGTACATGAGCTATGCAGAAGTAGCTACCTGATTTGTTGTGGCAGCAATAACTCCAATTGGAAGGGTGAAAGCTATGGCAAGCGCACAAGCAAAGAGCACTCCCCACCAAGGCAACTGGAGCTGATCATTGAAAACTTCGCAAGCTGCGATGGACAGGATAATGAAGAGGAGTAGCAGCCCATGGAACCACCAACCCGGAACCTCTGGGTATGCTCTCATTAATCGAGTGTGCACGTCTTCTTGTTTCAGTCTAAGGGCCGCCCGCATTTGGTACCATATATCTCTGCCGTTGGCATATGAAGGTAAGTTTTTGACAGCTGAAAACAAGGAACGTAGAAATATACGGGAAATCACAATAACTATTATACTATAACAGTTTTCTTGCTCTGTTTACGTACTTTCCATGAAATAAGATCACGTGACTAATGGTTGCCGTAAGCGCTGCAAAACCAACACCGTAAGTCATGACAAAGAAAACGCTGATGTGCAGTTTGCTGTAGTTGTTGTAGGCCTCAACGTCCAAGGAGAACTTGTTGCTAATCACTCGATTGATGTCGTATAGTTGGCCAGAAGCATCGAACAGGCGTGAAGAGAAGATGGGAAAGGTCTTTGCGTTGTACACGTCAAGATAGTAGCAAATTGGTGTAATAATATACGTGATGACGCAAAAACCCGCGAAAATATTGGCGATGGCAAAAAACGGTGTGGCCAAAGGACTTCCCAGAAAGGAGCCAATTGTTGACCAGTCCAGAGCAATGGCACCGAGGCCTAGGCCATGCAAACCAGAGCCCAGTTGGTGGGCCTGGACCGTGGTGGGCCATGCCCAGCATACCCAGGAAAGGGAAGAGAGCATGGGAAACAAATAGCCTGGCAAGACATACCAACAGAAGCTGCAACCCAAGACAATCACGAAGAACTGGCCTCGCGTCAGGCCCCTCTTTGGTCGATAGTCGGTCTCATGCAGAGTTCTACACAGCACAAACCGGTCTCAGTAGAATCGAAGGAGAGCATTTGCTAGTAGCAAGTCCAATATCTTAAATTAGCAAGGCGGGGTGGTGCACAGTATTGACAGTGAGTTTAGCTTCTTATCGAAGATGCATTCATAGATGTCCAATATCTATGGGTATCATAACAACTGTCCGAAAATAGTAGAAATTCGTCATATGCTATTTTCAGGACTTCATTTGGTAACTAAACTTCTCCAAGAATTCGTATTATATCGTACCTGAATAGGGAAACTTGAACCAAATTTGAAGGCCACCACATATGTGCTGGTTTCACCAAAACATTTCGAAATAATCCAGCCCACCCAAATCCGATCATCTGCAAGTTACACAACAGCTTCCAGTTAACATCTCGCGGAAGAAGTCGCGCTCCTCAACGCTAATCTAATGTCGAGTGAAAACTTGGAATTGGTCAACGAAACGAGACAATCTTACATACAAAAGTAATATCTTGCCGGTGGGTACAGGAATGACAAGAGCTAAAGGCTTTCTAAGAAAGACTTTGTTGCTCAGAAGCCAATCGGAACTCTTCAATTCTGCAGATGAAATTATTGTTCGGTGCCGGTTCGTTGGTGCATCTGATCCATTTTGTAGATGGGCGATGTTTGGCTAAGATAACATATTTCGTAAGCTGAATTAATCAGAACTACTGCAAAATATATCTTGCATCATCCATAAGATTTTTGGGGTTGAATGTAAACATGAATTAAATAATTTACAAGGTTTAAAATACCTGTGTCGTTACGGTGATAGCAAGGCTAGCAAAGAATGATAGCGGTCTCCGATAGAACGCCTTCACTATTGTTACAATACTTATAGCATATGCTCCCCCGGCTCCGGCATTCGCAAAGATTGTAATCAGCACGTGCTCCTTCATGTTGAATGGGCCCCGATTCAACGAGAATTCAAATGGTGTCCCTTGGAACCACTTTCTCGTCGGAAGAGTAGCCGCCATGAGTTGTCCAAGAGGAAGGCAGGCAATTTGAGCAGAGACTGAAGAAATTGTGAGAGGCTCGATCCTGTAGGAAAAGAACTGATTCAAGAAAGCCAAGACTACACAAGAGAGCAATCCTAAGAACCACATCCGAAATGTCCAGACAGGAAGTGTTGGATCATCAGTTGTTGCCACGGTCAGTGCTACTTCCTCCACGGGTGACTGATCATCAAGCTCCTCTTCTGTCAGCTTAATATCTTCACTCTTCGGGTTGCCAGTTTCAATCATGGGTGTTTGGGTGGTCCGCAACGACATCTCTGTGCAAGCGCCAGCGACAAACATTGTCAGGTCACTCTCACTCTCGTAGTCGAATGTGACCCCAAGTTACGGCATTGTTTTCAGCCATGGCTTCTGGAAATTACAGCCCACGCCTTCTTGAGTTCACAATTCAAAAGCTCGTTCACTCGAGGGTGGTGTGGAATTTATCAAACACTCTTCTCTATAGCATACCCTTCCACCATTGAACTCCAAAAGGCGATTCTTACCGTTTCTTTGTGCCCCACTCATACTTCTGTTGCTACTCTTGGAGGAAAGTTCGGACAAGTCGGTATAGGTGAACACTCTCGTACTCGTTGACAAATCAAATTAGAAGAGCTGGAACTGTCCCGCGAAGACTTCTAGGAATCAAACGGAATATAAATTTCCTCTGTTTCATGGGTCCAACTTGTCGGCTGTCATCTGCACGGAGTTCGGATGAAATGAGCACGAAAAATGTTGGAAATTTGATGCACGTGCCTTATTCGCTAGTTACGGTATATAACTGTTGACGTATGCTTTGCCAAGAAGATTTTCAAGGTCATGGTTCCAGTCTACAATCTTGGGAGGAAAGACAACATGCGGATTTTTATCAAACACTGGCAACTACCACGTGGAATGTACTAGTTCAAGCGTCAGATGCAGTGTCTATATCACTGTGATTCGTACATAGAGGGTCTCTATGTACGAATGAATAAACAATGTAATCAGGTTCCATGCATCGAATTCTGAGTTGAAGTCAGCGCGCGGCAGTTCTTTACATTACTCTCCCGCTTTTCAATGTCGCCATTGCTATCCCAACCACACCTTTTATTATTCACAAGCACAATGCCAGCTGAGGTGCGATTCGTGTGATTAAAATGGAAATGGCAGCGTAGTGCTCACCAGTGACGAAGTACTCACAGAAGCATGGTATTTTTCAGTGCAAACTTCTGCAGGCTGGTCGTCGATAGGAATGGTATGAAATGGCATCAGCAGCATTTCTCGGGCTAACATTCGATCGTGTCTGTAAAATCTGAGTCAAACACAGCAAAGCTTTGGCGTGTTGTCAAAATTTGTCCGTCCTCGTCTTCTCTCCTATGCCATTTGGAGCCTTACTCTGGTCACCTTCCGTTGCTCCATCAAGAATCCCCGAGCTCGACTGCCAACATCTTTTTCTTGAATAAACAAAGGTTGCTGTGCTTTTGCAGATTAATGTGAACAACGAAGACCATGTTGACCTCGACTGCCAACATCTCTTTCTTGAATAGACGAAGGTGGCTGTGAGTTTGCAGATTAATTTGAACAAAGACGACCATGTTGACCTCACAACGGCTTGAGTCACTCAAGTGAGAATGTTGTTCCAACTAGTCGGGAGCTTCCTGTAGCGGCAATCATTAAAATTAATCAAATAGCTTTCTGTTACCTTTTGACGAGTCAGAATCCACTAGACTCCTAGTCTCCCACTACCGTGACCGTACCAAGATAGATGCTAAAGCACGTCAAAAAGAAGAAATCGCAGTAAATATCTCACAGGCACTAATTTTCCGTCGTCTCTGGACGTACATTTTACGGCTGACTCTTTGATCGTAATAAATTAAAAAACTTCTTTACTACGCCATAGCGCTGTTTTAATACTACAGACTATGAACGATCAAGTTGGAGATCACCAACAGAAACTCTCAAGAGGGCGAGTTCATCCGGTCACGGACCTCACAACCGCTGAGAATGAAATTTCACTCCTTGTTCTTAATCTGCGACCTGGCGTCTTTGAAGAACAGAGTGACGAAGACAGAAATAAGTTCGTAAGCTCATCAGTCGATGAACGGCGCACCTACGATCATTATGGTTCGGAGGTAATTATGGTCTCTAAACTGCAAGAAAGTCTTCGTCCAATGAGGGCATTTCATTTTCATCTTCACATTTCATTTGATTTCATAAACAGATGCTGTGTTTTCTTTCTTCCTCATGCTGAAACTTGGATCTACTTTTTGAAAACTCTCTGAACCTTTTTGAGTCCTCGGCCCGCCCTGTGTCCACATTATCCCGAATACGCATATTTGAAAATGACCCGAAGATTTCGAAGAATCCCGCAAACATGAACTCCGTACATCTGATCCAGACATTCGTATGCAGTACCAACTTTCTCGCTGGCCCTGTTCTTCCGACCCAAAAAACCAGAGTTTACGTTCCTTCTTAAAGCCCTGATTGTCTTTTCCTCGTTCACAATCGGAATATGGCCGAGACTCATGTTCCGTAGATTTGGTACTGTACTTTTCATCACCGCCGCGAAAGACGCACAAGAAGGCAGAGGAGAAAAGGACTGCTGTGCGGACATATGTTGTAAAAAATCTCGCGCTTCTTGATTTCTCCACACCTAACCACCCGACCGGCCCGGCCCCATCAGCCAGCTTTCAATCTAAACCTCTTACGCCACACCAACGCCAGCCAGCCAGAGACATTGGCTCCGTCCTTGATTACACACCGAATCACCGCAGAAGAACGAAAGGGAGTGCACACCCCACATGCACATCGGAATCAGAATCGCTTTCAAGGCGACGACGTCACAGGCAGCGGCAGTGGGAGCAGTCGGATCAGTCAGCCATGGCAATCGGAAGATCGAATTCATCGAAAGTGCCAGGCGAGCAGTCGGTCGATCAGCCTGCCTCGCTTCTGCCTCGCTGCCACCGTGCCACATGAGCTTCGTTGCCACAGTTTGCCGCGTCAGCCGAGGACACAACGGACGAACTGAAACTGGTGAATATTCCGTCTCGCCCGCTCGCCTGCAAGTGGAGCCCACTCGCACAGTCGACGACTTCGAACTCGAGCCCAGAGCTACGTAGCCAAGGGAGTGCCTTTGATCATTTGCAATTGCTTATTTTTTATCATTGGTTAATTATTTTGATCTCTGTCTGGCCACCAACTTTTGATTCAACTCTGGAAAAAGAATTACACAGCCCAGTTGACCAAGTGTGCAAGTGGACTGCCCACCGCTACGACGGGAACGTCCAATAAATGTTACACATAATCGAGTGCTTCGCTGTGTGAGCAAGCGTTATGATTGGATTGTACACAAACGCCTGGGCGAGCGTTATGATTGAGTCGTGAACCAAGGTCAAGGTCAACTTTGTACGGGCTCCCACTAGCTACGAGTTTTATAAGGTTTCGAAAGTCAAATTAACAATCAGTATTTCAAGATATAACTCAAGCAAATCTACCTGACATACTATATCGCTTCCCAACGGAAATTTAATCATTCATATTAGAATAAAAAAATAAGTAAATCGAGTCAATTAATGGGTAACATTATGGTACATAACAGTGAATAATAAGTCATACAGTAGAGTAGATACTGAATTAAAGAGATCTTATTGTATGCATGTGAAATGAATATCTGTATTATCTTCAAAAACATTATCTGGCATGATTAGGTTTTTAAATCTCAAAATGATCATAATAGTAGCCTCTTCTTATTATTTTTTATTAGAAAGGATAGTTTTACGCTCAGTTTTTTATATGAAAGTAACGTGGCTTGCATCAGATAAATAGAGATTTAAAAACATTTGAAGTGGAGCTTTAGAGTTGAAATTTACACTGTGTTGCTATGGTAAAGATGATTTTGTTTTGTAATTTTATTTTTTCAGGATATACAAAGTACTATGCGATTATTATAGTAGAAATTTCTTTGTGAATATTCTACGAGTATCCCAGATGAATTTGGTATAAAAAATTTGTGAAATTTTTGAAGCCAAGAAATCATTTAAACAAGGGATGATTGTACATTGACTTCAATTATGATAGCTGTATTTTATGCAAAACATAAATAAAATAAAAGTCACCCTCAGTATTTGAAATAATTTCCACATAAAGAACAATAATAATTTCAAAAACCAAATTATACTAAAGTTCAAAAAAACAATCTAAGTCATAAACATAACTAAAAATTTCTGATTCATTTAATATAAATATCAATTATAAATCTTGAATTGAATTTTGCAAATAACAATTTTGAATCATGTGTGAAATTAATATACAAAAATTTACGTTAAAATCTGAATCTAATTTGAAACTTAGTAAACTCTTAACCGAATAATATGTTATGCAAAACTATCAAGACTCGATTCATCAGTTTTTTAGCAAAAATCAGCAATTTGTTCACATTAAGTCTTTAAATTAAATTCAATAAGTTTAAAACCAGTTTACTTTAGTTTAATTTTTTCACTGAATTTTAATCTAGCAGAAATACTAGTATCGGGGTTAGAAAAAGATTCAGCTCTTTATAATATTAATATTTTAATATTTTATAATAGCGTACATATTTATTGAATCTATCTCACTGGGTGGGTTATAATATTTTGACAAGTTAAAAAACCATGTTTTTTTATAAAGATATAAAAAATGATAATAAGAATGAAATTATTATAATTCAATCAATATTTAGCAACTATGTTTTAGCATAAAAGTTAAATCTGAGAAATTATTTTATTTATTATCTTATCTATTTGTATTATAGTCAATTTTTGTTAGATAAATTAAGGAGTTAAGTTGATTTGAATCTGTATTCATGTTATTTTTCATTTTTTTGAGTCGGATCAATAAAACTGATAATGCTTTGCTTAAACCATTACTTGGTTTTATAGTCAATGTATAGTTTATTTTTGAAATAGATGAAAAAATATTTTTTTTAAATATTATAAAAAATTATTCATTTTTCAGAAATAAAAAAAAATAATTTAGGATAAAAATATTGAAAATAATCTTTTAAATCATAGTAAAACATAAACTGTTCTGATCTTAAAATAGCACTTTAAGGTCAAAACTACATTCGGTGAAGCTTTTGATCATCATCTGACGATTTATTTCGATAATACTTGCTTCTTCATTGAAGATGTAAACAAATGAAATTTAACTCAAAAATTTGAGTAATTAATAAATTCAATATCAGGAGTTTTACACAAAAAAGGCTCTTATATATACATTATAACTTTTCAAAGTCATCAAGTATAAACCCAAATGAGAATAGGGCAATTCGCAAAGATGCTCGTAAATTTGGATAGTCCAGAATATAATTTCTTTCATCGTAGCGTTTGTTTAGAACATTGCATTTATTCGACGCATCTATTTAGTGTGATACATGATTATGGTGGTCAAGGCGGTCTAAAGGTCCAGACCTCGTGTGTGGTGACATTTGCTTTTGTCCAGCATAAATTTCTTCGCATGGTAGAGGCCATGAGTTTCTTCCCTCGGACAGTGAGGATTTCCGTATTGCTTGATGAAACGATGAGCGCACATCTTACATAGTAGTCTCTTTATGGAGTCTTAGAAGCTGGAACTATGATATGCAATAATGATGTCATCGTTGACCACACCCTTGAATCCTTTTACACACAATAATCTCTTTACCAAATTCTGCTCATTTTCGAAAGCTATGGAGGGCTTCGGTATCCAACATTATAGCAGATAAACAATCGGGAAGATGGAAAAACGCCCTCGTTTAAAACGCTTCTCACAAGCTTCATCCGGAAACATATTACAATATCATTGCCTCGAACAGTCGACCTTCATATCTGTAGTCATATTCTATTTCTTTGACGTGACTTTTGTATTCTAACGGGTCTTACTCCCATCTTTCATTATTCTTGTGTACCTTATGCGTGGTCCAGCGATCGCATGCCGTCTCAGAGTGTCTTTGCAGCTCATCTACAAACGTGAATCGGGCCCATGTACTGTACAGACACGCAGTCCTTCTGTATATGGACCCGATTCATGTCACGAGGATTTTCTCTAGAGCAGAATTACCACAAAAGAGATACGATCAGCGTCATCTGACAACCTCAGAACATGGTTGCGTTTGCAGCAGACATGTATGGATCTGTACTTTTGGTCCACTGGCGGGAAATGCATTAGAACTCCCGTGACAGTGGAACTTGTAATCTATCGGTTCCATACCCGACTTTTTGCATCTAGTAGATAATTTGCTTTATTTCGAATTTCCTCCTTTCCCTAGATTCCAGCATTGTTTGCTCGACAGCTCACTAGAAGCTCGGTGGTGGCGTGCGCTTTATACGATAAAGCAGTGATTCAGATCACCTGCACTTTATGAGTTTCCTTTCTCATTCTGTATTCTTCTTCCGTCTCTAGATTTTGACTTCGTATGCTTCATGTAGCATGTCGCGTAGTACATAATGACCTTCATGCAAGCATGTCCCAAATCCATGATCTTCGTTCAGACACTTATCTCAACACAGTGTCACTATCACATTGCACTACCAGTGGTTGACCGTTTATCCGGAATTAAAATTTCCTTGAGTTGTGTATGGAATAGAAGATAGAATCCTCTTGCTTATCTTTAACAAGAAAAAAAAGTGACCAAGTGAAGAATAAAACTATGAGAATACGACGTTAAACCCCATGTACCAGATGACATACCGTTTTGAATTATATTTTTAGCTACTCTTTATAAATATGCTGATCGAGACTATTCACAAACAAACTGGTCTGTCATCTGCATCGTCGAGGCAAATATAACACACGTGTTCCAACACAATAGTACATAATAATGAATTTTTAGTCTATTGGTAGGTAAAAATATACTTTTTTAACAATAATATATACTGTGAGTGAAGATATATTTTCTTATGTTGTAATTGTATATATTTATTCATTTCTTTGAAACTGATAAATAAATAAAAGACTTTAAGAATGGTACCTTCCTCTTACTGTGCATCAATCAAAAACCGAAACCAAATTTCAAGCCAAAAGCATATATTTTGTCATGCAATCTTTGTTTGACTCTTATAAAATATCATATATCATATATCATCAACTATTTTCTGTCTATTATAGCAGAAGGTTACGGATGACAGGATTTTGAACCCGATATCGAAGCAGACACACCATCAGGCAACGTTATTTAAGATATCTGGAGAGAGGTTATTATCTAGATCCAGCTAAATTTTTTTTACAAATCTGTATTATATTCCATATCTATACATGCTGATTTATATCATGTAAGTGATAGGATTTTGGGTTATTTAATAAATAATTTCAACTTCAGAATAAGTCTCGATAATATTTTGCTATCCAGATTTTGTTTTGAAGTATTGAGATACAAAGCTTTCTGCTGCACATAAAAAAAAAATTTCAAATAATTCCCGTTACATTTTCACACTTTCATCCATCAAACACAGTTCTGCAACTAGAAGTGTAAGTTTATTGATGTCATTGAACCTCTTGTTCATTTTCATAGATGCAAGCTTCACTTGTTTGTATACACTAGACTAAAACCTCCGCTTTCATTTTCTAGTACAGTTTATTGCAACACTTTGAATGCTTTCATTGCTACAGAATACTTTGATGTGGAAAGAAATAAGGGTTTCCAATAACCAAAACATGGATAGTGGAAAAGATTCGTTTGATACTGAATATCCATCCTATCCAGTACTTGAGGGTTCTCCATGCTACCCAGTTTCTTATCTCCAAAACTCTCTCTCTCGTCAGGATCTGAAAATATTTTAGATCTAGTTTGAGAGTAAAAGTTTGTGGTTACACAATTGCTTAGATTAATTATGGGTTTTTGGGCCCACGTTTATATCTCACGTTACTCTTTGCATTGTACAGTATTCACTTTCAGGTTTCGTTGTTTAAACTCCGGCTGTCACTTCTTTTCACGACAAGAGGACCTCGCTGCTCGACCAAACCCAAAGGCAAAAAAAGAGAAGCTGGGTGAGTTAGTCGATTTTCTTCTAGCTCCATGTGAACGTAAGACAAGATGTTGCCTTTGTAATGTTCTAATCAAGACTCTTCTCCCAAACAATTACCATTAGTTAGCCCGGTGTATGAGGAACCAATAATCAAAAGCTTGGTATATGTGGGATCAATTTTGCTGTTTTTCGTGGTAAGGAGAGGTAGTTTTTTCTCGAACAAGTTACACTGGCAGCGAATGTGATTTGGGTCTAGCTGCATGCTAGTGGGTCAGCGGAATATAAGAAAATTACCAGATTCATGATGCAAATAGTTTCAACGTGACGAGTGTCCTCCAAAATCATGCATAGATGTAAAACTATCTTGAAAATGTCACCGCTTGTCTGGAAGCAATTACTGTAAGTTTATATCAATAAAAAAGGTAGATTATTACGAATGGACTCATGAAACACCCTCTAAACGACAAACAATATATACCTGACGTCGAATGAATCAAGAAAATGACGTAATAATTAACTATCTACGGCATTTCTTCTCCAGACATTGGGTAGCAAGTCTGGCTGCAATAGAGGTTGTTTGCTTTGTCCTTAACGTTACAAACCAGACATGGTTTTCTTGAGTGCAAATTCAGCTGTTTTGTGAATGCAATTTGATCCGATGTGCAATGTAGACATGTCGACATGGTTTAGAAACTTAGACAATAGAGTTTGCTTGTGTGAATCCCTGAAATGTACTCTTTCTGGTCAGTTTGTCTTCGCATGGTTAAGTAATATACAGGCGGTAGAAATGAAATATTGATTCAAGTGAAGAAGTTGTAGATGTGTTTGAACGAGCGTTGGAACACATACTAGAATATCCGACAACAGTATTAACTTTTGTAAGTGTTAGCTATGATTTTGTGTAAGTAAGGTCTACTACACAAAGAAAGAATTCGATATATTATTGATTCTTTTCAATCATGAGGTACTCCAAACCAAAGCTTGGAGATGCTATTATTTCACTGTCTTTCCCATGCCTGATTGTGTATGTTTGGCATGATTTGTTTTCGGAGAAGGAGCGTCCGATGGACCAAGACTCCGAAGAAATTGCCACGAATACGATGGATGAAATCGATATTACAGTTCAAGGAGCTTCCGGAGAGGCAATTGATTTGCATGAGGGCAGTTTGATTGATGGTCTGTCGTTGTTTTGTCTCCTTACCACGAACCTCTGAAATTTAGTACAAGGAGAGGTAATTCATACACATCAGTAAAGTATAATCAAACGCAATTCTTCTTGACTAACATAATAGCACCATAAAGTCTTCAGCAGTATTCCTTAGAAGTACGCAATTCACACATATTGATGGTGGATGGTGCTCATTTCCTCATTGTTCTGAAAGAGTCTCCTAAAATTGATTTGAAGTTGACACATTTCAAAATTCTTGTCATTGACATGCTAAATTCATAGAGATTCAAACGTTTTGTAACTTATGAACACAGATGATAGAATGCAAGTTATGAATTTTCAAGTACACATTGAGGTATGGATGAATACCCATCCTCCTTGATGACAGTAATCGGAGGGTTTCATCCGAATGCAAGGCGCGGAAAGGGTTCCCGTCTTTGTTTCTCAAGGTTGGAGTTACATGTAAATCTGGACTAAGGCTTACAAACTATTCGACATGGGGTGGGGTGTCACTTCCCTTAAAATAATGTCTAGTCTAGTTTAAATAGCTTGTGTCCATTGATCTACATTTTCTGCTGCAATCTATAAGAATGAATCACGCTAGCCTTCGAACCATTTCGTCTAGACAGTCACTTTAAATTACCTGAACTAGTTCAAATTCCCATAGTGATGCTATTGTGATGATATCGCATCGCCCAGGTTCACAAATTAAGGAAGACAAGCTCTTCGACTGTCTTTATGTTCAAATATGGAGTTTAAGATTAGAACGTGTTGTACCTTGAATATGATCCACAATGGCCTGCAGGTTCTTCGTCGTAGATCCGTTCTCTCCCACACATTCCTTCGCCTTTTGGTGGAGATCAGAAACGTTCTTCCTGAGAACTCTCGCTTCATCGCCGTAAAACAGAGCCTTCACACTTCTTTCCACTTCTCCTCTCTCGACAAAGCCATCTGGACCTCTGTAAACTTCTAGTCCGATCTTTGCCTCGTCCACCGCCCACCTACAAGCAGAGAGGGCGTGTCAGATCAGCCTCATGTCTGAATTGTGCTCGAACTTTCGTGCAAAAATCGGAGACACAAAAGTGCAACAAAAAGGCCCATCCAGTCGTATACTGTATCGGAGAAACCGACCAAATGGTAACATTGGGCGAATTCAGCAAGAGGTATGACACATGCAGAAATACTTCAACAGAGCTACGAGGTATAAAGGAATGATGATCGTGAAGCAAATGGAATTGGTATACCAATTTGGATTTGTATCTTCCTAATAACAATTGTCAAATATCAGCATGAGATTTGGTACGAGAGAGGAGATGCAAAATGATTCCTGACCTGGTATTGAACCTCTGTTCTGCGCCCAACGGCCATGCGATCAGAGGTACTCCGAAGCACACAGCTTCCAACATCGAGTTGAAGCCAAAATGGGAGAGGAAACCTCCCGTCGATGGATGTGACAGAACTTTCTGTTGAGGTGCCCAGCTCTGCACGAATAATCCCCTGTCCTTGGTGCGTTCGATGCATTCAGAAGGAATGACTGCGAATATATCGTCAGTTTGGCAGTCTGGGGTCTTCATGGGTCGATGCAAGACACAGAGGAACGGCTGCCCACTACTTTCCAGTCCGTGCGCAATTTCCAAAATCTGTTCTCGAGAGTGGCAGCCGTCACTTCCAAATGCCACGTACAGGACAGAAGATTTCGATTGGGAGTCGAGAAACTTCAAACATGAGTGTCTTTCTTCCTCTCCAGCTTCATCAGCGATCGATGGGAACTGAAATGTTGGCCCCACCGTCCATATGTTTGATACCTGTGCATGTTTCAGCAGGAATGACGCCACCGTGTGAGCTGACTTTCTAACTCGTGTACAACTTTTGTCTTCACTCATGCACGAGGTTTTCTCTTCTGATCTAACTCGAACTCGGAAGTGCTTTTCCTGCATACTTGAGCTCGTTGAGTATATATATCCTTCATGAGCATGAGGTTTCTGAGCAAATGCTAGAAGATCCCATCCTCTTGACGTCATTCATGTTGGAGCAAGGGTTCTCAATGTCCACTCATTTCTATAAATCGCAGGCAGCGATGAGAAGCAGGAAATCATCAACCTCAGTGACTAGAATTGCTAATAATGGTACCTTTCTGTGAGGGTTTTTCGGCGAGGTCTTAAGTTGACGTTCCAAAGCGCAGAAACTTCTTTCTTCAAGCTCCTGGAAACTGGAAACGAGGATGACGTCTGCCTTGGCCAGAGACAATGCACTTATTCTGGAATGGTCGAATATGGGGCTTTCGGTAAACCACCCACCGGGAAGGTCTTTGTAAGGAATGACGTCTAGTCCTGGAACACAGATCTGCTCATGCTGGAATTCGGGATCGTCCTTGGACCTTGCTAGTTTCAAGTTCCCCTTCATTCTCATATTGTGCACGTAAAAGTAACCGGCGGTAAAAGTTAATGAAAGAGTGGATAGCACCCAGGCTGGAAGATTGTACTCCTTGACGACGTCCTGCACGTCAAGTCAAAGACAGGGGAAGAATGTATTAAACCAGTGTTTGAGATGACCGGCAGTACTCTCGTATGCAAAGGCAAAATTCAATATCCAACGAGGGTCTAGCGAGGAAAGCGAGAAAAAACATCGATGGTATGTAGGGGAATATGGTGAGTCAGGATTCTACAACAGAAGGTGCGTCCAGCTTTCATTGAAAAGTCACAGAAGATCGAGAGCTGTCTACAACAGGGCGTAAGCAAAACAAGTTTGTGTTTTTGTTTGATTTTGTGGTTCAATCAGGTAGCTTTGTGAGTTGTGTACTCACTCTCGTTCTCGGTAACCATATGTCTGAGATCACACAAGTGGGAGCCGAATCTGAACCCCATTTGTTCTTCAAAGCTTCCTCGAATGCATCCTGTGTATCGACAGCTTGTTTTAAAATACCCAGTCCACCACGAGTGTTCTCACCAGAACCCAGATCCAAGCGTGGTGCTACGAGTGGTTGTAGACGGATATCGAAACCTTCACGTTGGCAGCTCTCGGGCGTTATATGCCCAGCCGCGGCCAGATGCTGGATTTCTTCCTCAGGGAGACAGAAAGTTACTGTCAGCCCATGCTTGGCTAACTTCTTCGCCAAATTCAAATGACACAGTATGTGACTGAACCATGGCAGAGGTATTATCCACACATTTGGTGCTGGTTTCACCTCCTTCGTACCATTTGAAACCGAATTGTGCTCTCCGGAATAATCCATGCCTATCGCAGGTGCACTGAACTCCAAACTTCAAGCACTTCGTAGTTCCAAACTCCCGGGCGTTTTCTGGGCCACTGATCTGGCTGAATAATCGTTTCAGCTCATTCGTGGACAACTGCATTTATTTGTGCTTCCAACGAAACCTTGGCCTTCGGACCTTCGAGAAAGTCTGCCGAGCCACGAGTCCTGGAGTGATATATGTGTCCACAAGGGACAGCAGAAGTCCAGCCGATGGTTCTCAGCTCAGCTTACAGCCCTCTTTGCGATCTAGATTCATTCAGGGGGTACATAGTGAAGTTAACTAATATATTTGGTGGGTTCGTGGACGACTGCTTTGGATTACTCGGATAGCGTTAGATCTCTGGGATTATCAATCATTGGGATAATTTATTAAAATGGCCTTTCTATCGGACCCATAAATTACTGCACCAGGAGCTCTGTCCAACTCCTGGCATCAATAGGTCATTCGCTGTCGAGGTTGGCAGTATGAGATCTTGAAGCGCACGGAAAGACACTGTCACAGTCAAAGTCATTGAAGATTGCACATTGTGCACCGAGTCTATGAAGTGTAGCAGTCGTGTGTTATGGAATGAAAGAAGTCTAAGGTCAGACGAGATTGCAGGCCTGGTCTGCCAGGGACTCGGAAGCGAGTGGGAAATGGTAGCATGGAATCAGCGCACGCATGCATCACCCCGCTTGAACCTTCTCGCCGCATCTATGGCTAGGTTTTGACTGCAGAGCAGAACAGAGCTGTAACAGCAGATTTCTTCGACAATGAATAGAAGGCAAAATCTAATTTTATCCTTCTTTTGTTTAATACTACGGTACTTGGTGGTGATTGAGCGTTAAAAAACATCCTATCAGAATATTCCCTCCTTGCTTTTCCACAATCTGATTCGTAAGTGATGTCCTAGACCCCGTCGTTTCAGTCAACACCTGCATCCGTTGCTGTCAGTTTCGCTTCGCAGCATCTTTGCTGATGACAGGGACAAACTTGAGATTTTGAAATAGCTTAACCTGGATTATCTGAACTTTCACACCCACATACTGCACGACTCGTGTGTATGTCTTATGGCTGCCATCCAGTCTGAGCTACTGCGGTCTGAGCGAAGCTTCCCTACCTCATTTAGCTTCTAAAGACATGAGAACGAGTCTTTCGCTCTCTTCACATTGACGGCAATATATTTCAAACTTCTGACTGCTTCGAACGCAATCGTGTCTCTGTCCAGGATTCGTGAGAATAGCGGCCAAATTTGTTTCAATGACGTCGAAGCCACGAGTTCACAACCAAACTATTATCATCTTAATTTTCTTTCGATGCAGGTCAAGCTCAATGATCGGCTGACATCGTGGAAGCGTGTACTTGCCTTTCCCGGCATTCCCGAGCGAGAAGCCCGCGCGTTATTCTGCTCAAAACCATCATATCTCTACATGAAACATCCTCACCAACAAGTACCTCCGTTTGTGCAGGTATGTAAAAAGGGCCTGATCTTGTGGTCACAAAATTCATTCCACACCATTCATCGAATTCACGTCAGGAAAATATGCTAATCTGCGCAGCAAGAAACCAGTTACCAATTGCAAGTGTGCCACCTCAACGCTCAGCAGAGATCCAGATCCAGATTCCACCCGGAGAGGACCTGACTTGTACGTGAACGAGAAAAATGAATCACTGTCGGAGCCTGGTTAGTGCCCTTTCTCTGTCTGACACACTATCTGTACACCTTCATTCACGGTTCGGGTCTCTGCAGCGTGATCACGGATGATAACTCGACGTCTGGATGACTTTGGCCCCTGGGAAACATATTGAATGGCTTGAAAAAATACAAGGTACAGGTGGATAACATACACCATCAAGCTAATCCAACATCAGACGCCCTATATGAAACAATTAATCGTTATTGGGTTGTAGCCCCAAAAATGTCTGTCTTTTACACACATAGATAGATGATACATAATCCTTGTGATTACTCTTTATGACTCTAAGAAATAAACAATATAGAACAATATGACCTCTTTCTTTTAAATATACATATACTTTGTAAGTTACCTCGAAAGTAAAATACGATTCACATTTCGTGAATGCAGTTTCCCTACCTTTGGATCTAACTCGTGTTCCATCTTCCTAATGTTTAGTACTGCGTCGTATCCTAGTTTTTGGTAAAGTTGGCCTTCCGGTGAGAATAGACCAGGATACCTTTTTGCATGCTGAAGACATAGTTCCTACTTTTATACATTCTACATACAAAAACGGTGTAGTTTGTAATGACCACACTTGCAGTATGATAGTCGTACAAGTTTCAATTTCTGTCCATCATGGTGAGGAACTATGAAGGAACATATAGTACGATATCAGATCAGATAAGATGAGATAAGATCGTATGCCTCTTCACGGCCTCTCAGTTCTTTCGTGATTGAATAGGTCATCTATCTATCCAGACATTTCTTCAACTTTCCATCTTGTTTTTTATTTCAATTTGTACCCGACTGACCTCTCGGGGACTTGCATACTTTCTAGTGTCAACTCCAGCCCTTCGGGCCTTGAAAAAGATAAAAGGAAAAGGGGCAAAGTAGATAACAAAAAGGCATGGGAAGGCCGTTACACGAAACGGAAACCAATGCCTAGCCCCAGTATGATCCAGACACTCCTTTCCTTTCTACTTGGACAAATTTTGCTGTTTCTGGGAAGTAGAAACAATAAGATCGAAGTGTCTGCTTTTTCTGGAAGTAAGTGCAGTCAGTCCGTCATGGAGGAAGTAGGACTCACGATACAGTCGGCACTAAGTTATGAAGGAAAAAGGATGGGAGCACTCCATCCAATCCTACAGGGTTTTGTCCGAATAGAAATCCAAACGGGTGACAAGGGGTTTAGCATGGCTATGGAGAATGTGTACCTATACATTCGAATCAAGTCTACAACGTCTAACAATAACAGTGCATCTAAAGCTTCATCGATGAAGTGATTGTTTAATCCATCTCCGGAATAAACATGATCAACTGTCAGGTAAATTTACAGCTCATGATCAACGACAATATCAAGATGTCTCAGTCCAATAAATTTTCAATATGCGTCGAGCTTCTTTCAAATCCGAGCTCAACAGTTTCTCTCGTTTTTCTTACGCTTCTTAGAGAACAACTAAAGCTACTGTCCTGACTGCTCTCTTCTCCACTGCATAATTTCCTTCTGCGCATGGCTATTAGGTGTTCCCAGAGAAAGTACAGGGATTTGCAAGGCCACAATAGTATGTAAGGTCACCGCAATTCTATGGAGTTCCAATGAAGCAAATGAAGATCTTCATACCTTGGATGAGTGATATGGTCTTACGCATTGAGAATGTATGCAATCACACTCGCAGGAATAGAATTCGGAAGTCCGCCGTGACTGGTGGAAGTGCCACGATCCTGTTTCTATTCGTTCTGTAATTTGAACCTTGGGGCCTGGCACCATGTTATCCGTTTGGTGACATCTCTGTACGGCTCGATGTGTCTTCACATCCTTTGCCTTGTAATACCTGGTCCAGCGTTTGAACACAAGCCTTGCATGAATCTGAGTACTTACATCTCAATGATACAAACAATAATCCATATGTACACGCTGTTGTGCAGTTCCCGGGGATGCATTAAAGAAGGTTCAACTAGAAGTCACCATCAGGTAGCGCAGACACCTCCAGTGGATGGCCATCTAAGAATGGCTAGGTTCTGCCATAGAAATCGCAGACCACCAATGGTAACGGCTGACGAGCACATGTGCGCAGAAGAACGGACGTATCAAACTGACAGTGATGGTGAAAAGATAGCAGGCATGTAAGGCTGACGGTCACGTCAGTCTGTTTCTGAAGCTACCTTGCACTCACCGTGCATGGTAGGTACGAAAAGCACCATATTGTGCACTCAATGCATGCTATGACTGCAAATCAGTCTCTGATATCTGTGTTTGGTCTCCCTGTGTCTCTCACATGACTCAACACGCTACATTAGATTGAAACAAAGCCTAGTTTAGTTTATCTTTACTTATTTTTTAAAAAACTGAGATCTATAACTATATCGGTGACTATAATTACAACAAACTCTGTTGTTAATATGAGATACAACTCCAATTTCATACTGTGAATAGAGGTTGATGGATAATAAATTTAAAGTATAATACTGGAGGTTTTTTTTCAAATTATCTTGAATAAGCTGAAAGTAGTACCCAAAACAAAGCTAAAGTATAACGACAGATAATTATTGCTACTTTATTGTACAGTTTTGCATCAAATTTATCTCGGATATTTTATGTGTACAACGCAAGTTGCAATCAATGCAAGGATAAAATCGATGTTGAGTGCAGGAAATTTTCTCATCGTGCAAACAATTTCATCATCCAAATTAAAGTCTGTCCGAATGTGCCAAACTGCAATGAAAAGATAAGAGCAGAGTGTTGGTGCGCGTGCGTTCTGTAATCGTCCTGTAGTTCGTTAAGTATAATCTCGGGTTTGGTACTATTCGTTTACGTACTTCAGGATGCATCTCGTTTTCTGCTAGCATTCAAGAGTTGGTGATCCATGCTCAGTGCATGAGTTACCGACTCTTCGCTGTCAGAAAGATTTACTGAGATATGATACATTCTCCTAGGAATATAAAAAAGGATCCAATTGTTTGTTCTCAGGACCATAGCAAGCGAGCAGTCACTCAATTGCGCGAGTCCCGGGGAGTTCACATGGACTCCAACAAATCTGCACTTGTCGGATGTGGAGGAGAAAATTCGTGGTACGAATAACCAGCTGTACGTTTTCAGTTCCCGAGAAGTTTAGACACCAAAAGCTTTGAGGACATGTCACTGAACATTGAACACATGTCAGTGAAATAATGGGCCTGACGGACATAGGAAGGGAAAACTCTTTGACGGAAGGCAGGCAAGCATCTACTTGCCCCGAATGGAGGAGGGATAGATATGGGAATTCCCTCCACCGCAGGAGTGACCCTATTCTCTCCGTCCATATTCTGCACGGTAGAGGACTACTGCTGGAAAGGGATACAATACTCTCCGCAGCAGAAAAACAGAAATGATGGGAAAAGGGTTGGTGTCAAAGGACGAGCTACGAGCCCTGACGAAAGTGTCACCCAGAAGTTCTGTGGGCGGGTGACGAAGGAGCAGACGGACGATTCTCAACAACCGAAACAGATGTAGTATATCCGAGAAGGGATGAAACAAACAGACTTATCTGGAACAATAGAGTCTATTCTGTCTATTGAATAGACATATGCGTGCTGCTCACTGCCTCAAAATAATCTCGATTTACTCGTTGCGGAAGAAGATGCAAACTAATCATCGACCTCATCTGAGTTTCTGAATGTCCCCCTGCCTCACACTGAGCTCATAAAACTGATGCCTAGCCTCCCATCTACAATCTTCTCGGAAGGCTGATTGAAATCCTATCACTATAACAACCAACTGATAGTGTTCACACCTCCGCACACAAACCGACCCCGTCCAGCGGCATAGAAAGCTCCGAGATTTTGTCCCTGCCAAAACGTGGGCGGTGAATGTTTGATCCTCCTTCCGATCTGCACGCTTTCTGGACTATGAAAAGAGCCGACGACCCTTTTCGCTCAGACTTTCGTGGTTCAGACCTCGTGGGCCCGGAAACTATCCTCGATTGGTGCATCCAATTCTAAAAATAATAATCGAATAATAGGAACGACACAAGCTTCGAAATTCGACCTGGTCTGATCTCATGTGCTTCACCTTCTGAAGTCTCAAAAGCGGCCGAAGCAATGATATTGACCTGATGCCCACATTTGTCGCTCCTCTAGGTTCTGACAGGTTCCTGTCTTCCTTCAGACATATCGTACCGCTAGTCAAAGGTGAAGATATCGAATCAGCAGGCGTTGACTGAGAGGGCATCGTTCCCGCTATCATCTTATGCCGTTTCAGTGATAGGTTTTGAGATCCATCAGTGCTCACTCACTCGTGATCACAGCAAGGTTGATAAACTCCGTTCTATATTCCAGCTTGCTGCTCGATGGGCATAAACCAAGTTCTGGATTTCAATGCCAGCAGTGAAATTGTGAAGCTGAAGATCCATCTCGAACTGAAACTGTGGAGCAGAGGATCCAGCTAATGTTCAAATGCCTAGGGCTTTTTGAGTTTTCATATTTCTAGTTGCAGCTATCGATGCAGGCGATTGTTAACAGCCAGCACATCCCACGGATATCAAAGCGAATTTGGATATGGCCACTAGAATGAACGGACACTGAATGTGTCTTCATTGAGCTGGGTGGTGTAACGATTGCATGATACTGGAAGCTTGCATCTACGAGCCCCATGGAGATTTATGGGGAGCAGGGAAACTTCACCAACTGTGAGACGGAAATCAAAGCATCGCCGAATGTGTGGATTATGCCTTTCCCTTGGTTCAGTCACATTGCTAGCCATTTGAACGTGGCAAAGCAACTGGCCAAATTCGGTTTGACTGTAACATTTTTTGTCCCAGAGAACGACGAACAGCGTCTGATTGCGTCTGGACATGTAACGCCGGATAGATGGACACATGAAGGTTTAGATATTCGCATTCACCGCATCAAAATGGGAGCAGTGAAGTTGGGCTACGGGGATAATGATGGTTCTCCGAGCTCGCCGGAAAAAGTGGTCAGGGTTGTGGATGAGACTGAGAATGCATACAAGAAGGAGTTGGGAACCATCTTGGCGTCTGAGTTAGCACCGAGCTGTCTAATTGCAGACCTCTGGTTGCCAAGGGTGAGGGTAAGTACACACTCCGATATACATTCGATGAAACGTGTGATACTACCGTGCTGTCTGTACGTGGCAGGGTTTAGGACTCTGTCTCCATCTGCAATAATTCTGTTAGAGCTCGAGTGACCATTCGGTCTACATCAGATGCAAGAAAGTTGTCTTTAAATTGTAAAGATTATTTCACTCATTGTTTCACGATCGGTGAGCTCATCGTTTCCTGCAAGCCCATTGCTGGCTTCGGCATCAATTAAATGCAGCATCTTCTGGAAGCCTCAACTAAAGCAGAAATCTGAAAGAAAAAGTTTATAGTAAGGAGCTGACGTTAGAGAAGAGACGTGGAAAACTGTCAAAATTCTCGTGAGGGTTTGTTGCTGATCAGGGAGAATGGTTTTGACGCCCCTGATCTGAAATAAGTGCAGGAGTTTGCCACTCAGCATGACATTCTATCGTGGGCGATGTGTACTTTCTCCACAATCTATGTAGCGGGGGCACATTATGTACACCATCTAATAGAGAATGGTTTCTTGCTGTCACCACCATCGTACAAAGATCCAAAGTTCCAGAACGAGGGCCTCAGCCTTCCAGGTCTAGCCTTCTGTCCTTTCGAGGACCTTCCTTCTGGCTTCAGCAAAGGAGCCCCCACGTTCAACTGCTCAGCTCGGTGTGCGCTGTCCATGGAAAAAAGTGACGTTATCCTTCTTCCCAGTTTCAAAGAGCTGGATGGCAGAGTATTCTCCGAGTTCGAGCGTCATCTACGAGCCTCAGCGGCCAGGAATTACAGAAAGGTTCAGACTTCAGTCCAGTAGCTGCCTACTCACACTTTTAAAATCATGGTTTGCTTCTTCCCCAGCTGTTTCACAGTCATGTTCTAACGACATGGATTGGGCACTGATGCTCTCATGTGCACAAACAATGGCTTCAAATACTCACGTCCAGTCTCTCTTGGAGTTCTTGTCAATAGGTGAATAATCAGCTTATATCCGAGGGCTATAATAATGCACCGTCATTGTTTTCTTCTCTGAGACTTTTGTCAATCTCTGACATTCGGTCCTCTGCATGACTAAAGAGAGACATGGGAGACGATGTCGACATGACTTTCGTTCCATTGCTTACCTGACAACAAGTGTACTGTATTTTGCTCATCTCATGCATAGGCACCACGCCTGCTGACTATTGGACCGACGTTTCCGATCTTGTCTCCAACGAGTGAAGGTGGAGAGGAAGAAAGATTTCCAGTTTTGAAGTTCCTTGACTCCCAACAAAAATCTTCTGTGCTGTATGTGGCGTTTGGAGGTGATGGCTGCCACTCCCGAGAGCAGATTGTGGAAATTGTTCATGGACTGGAGAACAGTCAGCGGCCATTCGTGTGTGTGCTGCTTCCTCCTTTGAAGACTGCAGACGTTCAAACCGACGATGTGTTCTCAGTGATACCTGCTGATTGCATTGAACGGACCAAAGGCCGAGGGATGTTTGTGCAGAGATGGGCACCTCAGATGAAAGTCCTGGCACACCCATCAACTGGAGGTTTTCTGTCCCATTTTGGCTTCAATTCCATGATGGAAAGCGTGTGTCTGGGAGTACCTCTACTGGCGTGGCCGTTGTTTGCCGAGCAGAAGCTGACTGCGAGGTCAGAAATTTCGTTCGGATGTGCTTTCTGGAACACGAATAAAGCTTATCACTAGGCCCCCCAAGTTTGCAAGCTCAGCTCACATGCTCTCAGCCTTGTCAGTCTAGCTATTTTGCTTCTGCTCGGTAGATTTCCATCTCTTCGCCGGTCTTTGAGTATTTCCTTACGCGGAATGTCGTACTAGTGTCAATTTGCTTGATTCGATGCGAAGATGGCTTACAAATTGGCAATCTTAAGCAAGGTCGGCACAGGTCACTCAAGCAAGTGCAGGATTGATTCTTTTCAGGTGGGCGGTGGATGAAGCGAAGATTGCCTTGGAAGTTGGCAGGGGACCAGGTGATTTTGTGGACAGAAAAGAGGTGGAGAGGAGTGTGAGGACTCTGTTCGATTCTGAAGAAGGGAGGGCTGTGAAGAAAAGAGTTTCCGAGCTCAAGGAGATGGCTAAAGAGGCTGCGGCAGAGAACGGGTCCAGTTGGAAGAATTTGAAGCTTCTCGTTGATCTGGTTAGAGGTGCGTCCGAGCTTCGACTTATAATCTTACCCGTAACAAATGATTATCTGAACTCCCTGATACTGTCAAATAATTTTCCTTCCTTGGTTTTTGCCAACCATTTGCCGTATATGCAATATGATTTTTTGCCAGTTCGCAGGTACCTAAAAAAAGTGTCATTTGTATGATGTTATTATTTGTATGATGAAGATGAAAGAAAAGGACAGCAGTCCAGTCAGCAGCATCAGCACCAACTACCAGCATCTGTCGATCAATCTGGCTGCAATACTGCGCATGTCAAGGTCTGAATACTACTCTGTCAAAGTCTCTCCTGCTGTCCTTTTACATCGAGGAGAAGAGTGGTGAAATGATGTATGAAGCTCTCTGAGTTGAAACCTCTTCTTACAAATGATTTCTCCTCTGATTTTTGAGGTCCAATGTCGAATAAATATTTGTACTGACAAATAAATTCAAGAATTGGGACCGGTAGCACCAAAGGTCATTCAATGTGTCGGCACATGTGGATCCATGACATTTTTAAGGTCACAAAATATGACCTTGTCGCCTACATGTAATATTGCAAAGTCCGGAACTTAACTCTTTCTGAATTCACAAGAAAATCCACCCCGAGAGAGTGTTTGCAGAATAGAAATACCATTGGGTACAAAGTCAACGCTCACTTGGACAAGTGATATATATATATATATATATATATATGTACATTTTCTAACAGAGATGTGTGCTCGTAGGAATACACTGAAAGTCTTAGGAAAATATCAATCATATTCTAACAGACTCCATACTAAATACAGTAACAAAGGTTGTGAATTTCCAATAGACGGTCACTTTCCTTTCGCTAAGAAGGAGTAACTTGTACGCTTAAATCACATCACCACTCAATTCTTCAGATTTTTCAATTGTTTTACTCAAATTTCCTATTTATCCTTCCGTCAGAGCTTTTGTGACTTCATTAACGTTTTCTTTTTGAGATCCAGTGTATGAAAGATAATCATATAGGGTATAGGACATATTAATATTATAAATTCATCTAATTGTTTTGATTTCCTCTTAGACTAGCATTCACATATGCACAAATAATTATAACTTTATGTGTATACTCAAATTATGCATTTCTCGTTAATGAATTATTCTAGGTGTCATTCACCCTTTAATAAGAAAACAACTATCATGATGTCGCATGATAATATTTCACTCCATGATGTCACGAAGGAAACGGTTGACTTGGCCAGATGCATGGTAAGTTTACAGCTCCAATTACTTAACAACCTAATTAAGAACCCAATATTGACAGTAAAAGAACCAACACTGACCTACATGGAAAGAACCCATCAATACATTTCTATATGCAAGGCCATGAAGTAATATACCAGTTTGCAGCTTCACTCTGTCAGAAATGCTTCCTTCGAACACCAAATTCAGGAACACAAGCGACTCACCAGCGAAAGATGGTATGTCTTTGAACAATGACTAAATAAATTCATCGAAAAATGTACGAGTAATAGATAAAATCGTAGAGAATTCTGGAAGAGTATGTCATAATGACGAGAAAGTTGATCGATGTCAAAACTCCATAAACAGACAAGAATATTAGATAACGTCCGCAGCGAAGAAAAAACACGATTGAGTTGGCTTAGGAAGAGCTCAATTTTTGCTTTATTGTTCTCAGGGACTTTTCAAATGATGAACGTAGTTGAAAACTACACTACGCGGATCAAGAGGTGTGGATTGTAAGCGGCAAAGTATATCAGCAAGCCTTGATCCTTTGATTTATGCACATCAAGGTTGTTTTGGGCCGGCTTCCCCTGGAAACACTTTCTGTAGATCACGGAAGGAGGCAGTTGCTGTGCCTCGTCTCTTGGGGGCTTGCTGTGTTGGTGCAGGTCTCCATCCTGCCATGTATATGACCTGCAGTTTAGTTGGATACGCGGAAGTCAGAATGGAGCTGGCAAAGAAAGTAAAAAAAACTTCTAAACTTTCGAAAAACCGTGTGAAAATATAGACTGGACAAACTTTTATCATTTGTCATAGACATGTCTTTAAAGTTAGCAAGATGATTCTAAAGACAAACAAAGTCAGCATAAATGAAAGAAATGAGGAAGATAAGGATTCACTACCTGGAAAGTGGCAGGGATGGTCCCGTCTGCATCTCCAAACATCGATTCGTAAACTGCTGCAGCAGCTAAAGCTGTGTCTCGCTTTAGAACCTGTCACATCCAGTAATTTTAAACATTATCCAGTACTTTAAAATCAGGAGAAAATGAGACAGATCCATCCTCTTTCTCAATGGCCCAATATTGCAGTTCAAGCTCTATAATTAGAAAAAAACTCTTAGTTTGTTATTAATGTGTATGTATCATGAGCATGAGCGGTTTGATGGATCATGCTCGGTCTGATTCCTGGACCAACAAATTCTGCGTGCACCCGACCTTAACTGAGCATGGAATTTAAAGAATTTGAGTGAGTCATTTCCACATACCGGATTCCTTTGCCTTACTGCATTGGCTTCACCCATGGAACGAAGATGCTCGATAAGGTCCAACGCTGAGTTACCAAAAAACCAAGACTATGAGCATTAACGAGATATCTAAGGGAGCATAATATCCCAAATTAATTGGACATCCAAGTCGGTTTGAAATTAGCTGACTGCAGTCTTCATCCCATAACTATTAAAACTTACCACATGGATATCTGACGGTGTATTCATCTACATCAACGGTCGGTAAGGCCAGGCCAGCCCTCTGCAACAAATTACCTGCATCTCGCACCTGAAAAAGGACGGAACCCACTAATCATTATAAGGGACTCATTTCATCTCCACGAGCATGTACTGCTTTCCAACTTCTGGACCAACTTTTTACGGATTTTATATAGCCTCCGAATGTACGAAAACTCAGAAATAGTTTACTTCTGAACCGTTACATTGTGATGCCAGAAAGAATCTACTCACTTTAAGAATATTTGGCTCAAAACCATCAATAAGAACGTGGACGACAGGTTTCTGAGTCAATACAGCCACAAACCAGCAATCGCAAGGATCTTAAACGCCTAGTTGTACATAACGACGTATAGATGTACTGTATGAACTAAGAAAATAAGACGTACATCCACAAACCTGAGCTAGAGGCGATATTCTAGGACTGATACCACCCTCGCGTTCAAGCTGTGCCACTGTGCAAGCTATTCTAAGCTCCCTGAAAGGAGAAAAACAAGTGAGATTTAATTTCATGACTCGTCACGTTTAATTGTGATGAAAATGGTGCGTCAGGGTCGATGAGCACAAAAGCAAAGAGTACAGACTACAGGGACGACTTAAGGTTACGTAAGGACTGCCTACTTTGCGGTTCAATACTAGATGTATGAAAAAAATCGATTTAACCATGTAGATGCATGAAGGATTAAACTATATTGCTTCTTTGGAAGGTATAAGGAGCTTGCAAGGTTTCCAAGAGGGGAAAGTAAACAAACTTGAGAGTTTCTCCACCCAGCATAGCTCCTAGAAACAACCCATCTGGCTTGAGTGCCATCCTGCACTGCATGCAAACAGTATCAGGTGGTGAGATAGTTTTCGGCTATACGAAAGCATATGTATTTACATGTCTATGTAGTGAAATTTGAAAAGCTGTGTGCTGGTATAGTGGAAAACAAGAGAAAGTAAACATAAAAGAAATGAGCTAAGACACGGTGATATATCACAAAGAAGAGTATAAGTAAAACACTTCGACCACATGATGAAAGATGGACCAGAAGTGAAGTGTCTGATCTTTCGAAGTTGCACTGATTTCCATAGCAAAAGAAAAGTCTTCACAGTCGTGAAATTATGACATGCTTATACATACTTGAGTCATGGCCCCTGGGAGATCGTTCACCCAATGGAGGCCCAATGAGCTAATGACCACGTCCACGGATCTGCGTTAAACAGCACAGATAGGAAATTCAACAACCTCATTCGTTTGAACTAAAAACACAGAGGGAGATCGCCTGCTGAGCTTTTTGACTGCGAGAAAATGAAGAGCATTATGAATGAGGTACAACATACCCCTCACCTAATGGCAAGAATTCCTCATCTCCAATAACATTGATATATTCAATGGACTTCTTCTTTGGTTCAGCATTTTTGTCCTCGTCTGTAGCCGTATGCCGTGCTGATCTTCTCATCATATCCTCGGACATATCAATGGAGATCATCTTCTCAATTCCACCTGCGGAGGCGGCACCAGTATAACAAGAGTTAGTGACAACAAAACGCCTCAGAAGACTACGTCGTATATAGTCTTATCCGCTCATTTGGATAGTTAGCAAACAGTTCATCCATCACTGATGGCAGTGAGGAGATACTCTAGTGAAACCTCTGTCTTTTATCAAATGAAACACAATACTGTGACAAAAGGACTCAAGCAAAGAACGACTTGAAGCAACCGTGAACCTCGTACCCCTTCCTTGAAGCAGCTGATTTACATGTTGAAAAGCTCCTCCTAAATTTAGAGCTATTGGAAAACTTCTCTTGCAATCCTGCCGCCAAGAACAAAACACTTGAATATAGGTTTTCACAATCCTTTAGATTCTGTGACAACGAAACAGGTACATACCTGCAAAATAACTGGATTTTTCGCTACGCATGTGAAAATTTATTAAGCCGTATTCAAGTAGCCTTTTGAGGTGAGTTTTCCTTCTAAACTTGTAAGAGCATTTTCTACTCTAATTAGATCATAGTGTGGATCTCTGTGTCTATCTCACTGAAAATGACCACTCAGCAACTATCGATAATGCGATGAACAGAGCTTACATCAAGCCGATCCAAGAGATTTTCGGTGACAGTTTCAAGAAGAGGATCGTTCTCTCCCATCAACCAAGCTGCCCGATCCCTCTGTTTTCAATCCAGCATCAACCTCATCAAATTGTGCGCAACTTGTCCTTATCCTCTACTAAATCCCTAGAGTGAAAGAGTTCTGTGAAACATTATATGCTGGCAAATCCTTCACGTATCAAACAAGTTGCAGAGACAACTGCTGAGTCAGACCTGCGTTCTTTTCAAAGCTCGGTCGAATATGTCTGCGTTACGATCCCCCAATTCCTCGGGCCGACCGGCACTGCTCCGGGTGGAGTAATGAAATCCACCCGACGAAGGAGACTCTGCTCCATTCTTTAAGCAATGTATCTCTGTAAAATCTTTCCATCTTCTCTTCACCACACCCAACACTCGAGGACCCCAAAAACGCATTGATCCTACAAACAAAACACTGGAGCAGAAATTACACGTCAAAATCCCAGATCGATCCTCCTCCAATGCAGCGATGTGATGCTAGATCCACATTCTTTGAATCTCTTGAGCCCTGCAGAACAAATAATATTCGTTATATGCCTCGCTGGTCCCCGTCTCAACCATACTTCAATTCAGATGAATTATAAACAAAGCTGTTGGGAATTCAAACGAATTTGCAGTATCGTACATGCAATGTTACGTGGCCACCGTCGCAACGAACAAATTCAACCCCGCTACTTCCTCTAAAGAACAGAAAGGAAATCAACGAGTTGCTGGTTATAAAAGACAAAGACGGCCTGAAATGATCATGCAAGTCCAGGTGTCATGGACCTGCATCGAAGTCCAACGTTTGCTAAGGAAAGGGCTGAGACAGGACAGAAGGCCACACAACCATAAAGATCAGTCAGAGTAAACATATCCAGAAGGAAGCACGGGAATGCATATAACAGAAAGGCCATACAAGGAGATGGAAAATAAAGATTCTTCTGTCAACGAGCCCTGGCAATCTAACCATGTTAGCAACACCAATGCAAAAAGGCCAAGCTCCTCATTCTCCTACCTTTCCTGAATAGATGGATGAGTTAAAGGATAATTCCTCTATATCATAATTCAACCAAGTCCTTGGAGACTAATTTGCAAGAAATAAGAATCTAAATTCTCCTTGGACTCAAGCGGTGCAATATACACCACAACAGTGGGTCAACTCGGAGTAACCAAGCGTAGAGTTTAGAACACCGAGGTTTCCCAACATCCATTTATTCTTCATTCTAACTCGAAAATTAAAAAAAACACAGTTATTTCATCAACCTAGAAGTTTCCCTGACTGTTCATAATCATGGTTGAAACACTTTGTGAATGGTCCTTGCGGACATTTAAACTCCTCGTCTGTGTTTCCTCAGAACAACATCTACTGTTGTTATGATATGTGTCTCAAAAAAGCGAACAACCATTGCAGCAATCATTGGCTACCTATGGACAGATTAAGCGAGGCCTCCCAAGAGGACACCTCCAGACAGTCGTCATGACCCTACTCAGCACTATTTGTAGCTAAAACGTTTGTCACGAGCCTCATCTGCTTTCTCAACGGGTGAGAAACCTTGATCAGGAGTATTTTTTTCTCTATGGATGAGAGTGGCTGGACGTGTTTGGGTTATGGGAAGAACCCTAAATCTAGAAGCACAGAGATTAAGCAGCCTGGTTCACTTTTCTCACAACAGTAGTCGAATACATCCCTTCTAAATCCAAGATCATACCATTCGGACTGCAATTCTACATAATATTGCCGGATGGAAGATCTTGCTTCGACACAAGCGTCTCCCATCTCTTCCTTGCACGAGCTAACTGTCCCTTGTAGATTTATTTTCCCTTTTCTTACGATATCGAAGTCAACTTAATAATTTGCAAAGAAGGTAGGAAGACTTCATAGTGCGACAAAGGAAAGGACGGCCGAAGCTGCACAACTTGTTACCTCGAAAATGAAAGGGAAGCGCCTGAAGAGGAGGTTAGACGATTGTTTGTTTGGTAATAGGAGTATGTATCTCACCTGTATCTTAGAATTTCTTCAAAATTTTCTGTAATATATTTATTGGCTGTTAAGAGACACGCTGCCGCTGCAGCATATGCAAAGTCGAGTCGTCGATGATCACTCGTCACTTCCATTTAGCAAACCACGCGTGCCGGGCATAGAGATTGCCCAATACCCGTGTTCTGATGATTGACGTATAAGGCCCTGCCATGCTCCTGTTGTAGAGATCGATCTTTCAATGAATCCCACGAGAATGAATTTATTTGCATACATGAGATGGCTTTTGTTTGACTCTATGGACTTAATGTACGATTTGTTTGACGATCGGGACTTAGTCCTCGAGAACTGCCGTCGATGATGTCAGCACATCTGAACCCGCAGAATGGTCGCCCTTTCCGCTCTGATCGTCGCCGGGATCGGAGCGGAAAGGGTCGCGAAGGGGAGACCCACAGGTGTCAGGCATCATCACGATGACAGAAATATCTCGCGCCTCGTCCTTGGCCCATCGACGTGGTCAAAGATGAAAAACCATTTTTTCATGGCCACTGCCCATAGTAATTCTAAGGTGCTTCGGTTAGAATTGTTTAGCTTGCAACTCCCATAGCTAGCAGCACAAGAACTATTACAACAATCCCAATCTTTCCCCGACTGGAATTTACGTCCTTACAAGGAGATTTAAAACACTGTCATTAACTTTTTCAATATTGATTAGATTCTCCGTTTAATTTCTAAATTTATTTTTTGATTATTATTTTATTATATTTATGTGATACATATTATTGATTTTGTATATCGAAATTATTATATATATATATATATATATATATGTATATATATGCTACGGTTGGAACGGTGAACGAGAATGGATACAAACTCATTTCATACTTTGTTGTAAAAAACTCAAGCTTGTTAATTATTATAAGGGTGGGTGTTTAATGTGACCTATGGGTACTTTGTCAATAGATTAAGAATGTTTCTAGTATATCATGATAATTACTGGTTACACATGTAGCACGGTGTAGAATATCGTATGGAGAATCGAACCGCTTCGAAATCCGTGTCACATGCGACATTCAGGAATGGCGGGAGTGAAAGGAGGGTCAAGGTATTATTGAAGTAAAATTTCAGCAATGACTTTTTGTAATATATACTATATATATATATATATATACGGAACTATGGACTCAAGCTTATTTTTATAATAAGATAATGCGCAACGCAGCCTACGATGGAAGGGCGCGCCAGACCCTACGGTGGGTGCAAACCGGATGGGAAAAGAGAGAAAACGACAACCGGCGGTCGCGCCCAGTTGGACAAACTGTGCAGCACACGGGCCGCGGCCCCGCGAAGGCGGGGGAGGGTTCTTCTGCGAAAAGGGGAAAGGGGATCCTGGAATCTGCAGGAACAGGCTCGCATCGATCGATCCGGCCGTCCGTCCGTCCGTCCGTCTGTCCGTCCGGCCAACCGTGCGTCCGGAGGCGGTGGGGCCCGGAGAGAGTCAGAGCGCAGCAGCAGACATTATGGCGGCTGCAGACGACGACGAAGAAGGACGAAAGTGCGGAACGTAGGGCGTCCGGAGGCTCGGGCCTCAGCATCATTCATTTCGATCGGCCCCGTGCGATTTGTGCCCATCGACGTGCGTCGCGGCATATCTGGTTCGCTTTTCGAGTGCAGGCCTCGGCGCAAGTGCGCCTCGATCCGAGCGTTCAATAGACGGTTCCCTCTCTCCTCGATTCTTCTTTTTCTGCTTCCGCATCGACGCGACGCGACGCGAGGGTGCTGTCTCTCGCTCGCTCGCTCGCTCCCTCGCTTTCTTGTTTCCTCTCTCGCTCGCTGTGATTCTTGCTCTTCCGATCCGACGACATCTCGCCTCGTAGCATCGCATTTCGTTTCATTCCGTTTTCATCTGGCCCGCGCCTAGAGTTCGACCATGGCGGCTGCCTTGTGCTCGTCGTCTCTGGCGCATTCTGCATCGCTCGCAGCAGCCAATGCCAAATTTGAGTCGTCAGCCGCTGCCCGTTCTGTCTCCGATGGGCAGAGGAGATTGCAGGCCTCGAGCCCCCGATGGGCTTTTTCTTCGTCGGCGCTCTTCTCTGACCTCCGCATTGCCTCGAGCAATGCCGTGCTGCCTGCGTCGATCGTTTCTCGTCGCAGGACGGGCGGAGTGAGATGCCAAAATGGTGCGTCCGTGGGAGTGGCGGAGAAGGTCCGGGAGAGAGATGTCAGCGCCGAGACTCTGCTCACCACCGTGATGAAATTCGGAGGATCCTCTGTGGCTTCGGCCGAGAGGATGCGAGAGGTCGCCAACGTCATTCTGAGCTTCCCTGAGGAGAGACCGATCATCGTTCTGTCGGCAATGGGAAAGACCACCAACAATCTTCTCAAGGTTGGATCCTTAACATCAGGCGCGAAAACATTCGGTCGGCATTGTCTCGGGGGATTGTTCATGGGCAAGGGAATGGTGGCTGGGAATGTGAATTTGAGAGAATTTTGAATTATGTGCTCCGGATGCACAGATGCTGAATGAGCTGTTTGAATGCGTTTTGAGCAGGCCGGAGAGTCTGCTGTAAATTGTGGGCCTGGGAAGTCCTGCCTTATCAGTGAGCTGGGCGTCATCAAGGAGTTGCACAGAGAGTAAGTTATTTCTGCTTCGACTTGAACGCATGCAACTTATTGCTTCTATTGAATGTATCGATTTCAATCTTGTCGTATAAATGTTACCACTACAAGTCTGATGAGTCGATTTGATTGCAGAACTTGTCAGAAACTCGAGCTCAGTGAAGATCTAGTCAATGGTGAGTGACTTTTACTTGTGTGGAATGATAACGTCAAATTGAGACGGAGTTTTTTCGTTCCTGGAGTGCAGGTCTGTGGATTTCCATATTTGAGTGCCACTGAGTCGTACTTGGTTTTCTCTCTTCTTTTCTTTCGACAGGTTTGCTTGAGGAGCTAGAGCAGCTACTTACTGGAATAGCTATGATTAAAGAGCTGACCCTGCGCACGCGAGATTACCTGGTCTCTTTTGGCGAGCGCTTATCTACTCGTATTTTTGCTGCTTATCTAAATAAAATGGGTGTGAAGGCAAGACAGGTAAAAAAATGTAACATATTTAACGTTGTAAAAGTTTTGCTAGTGTGAAGGATAGGTGGTTCGAGTCTTAATCAGTCGGATCAAATGAGGTCTTTTCAAGTCGTGCCTTTTCTGACTTTTTTGCCTTCGACTCAAAGTACCGACATCGTCGAAAGTACTAGAACTTGTTCAATGGTTACATACATCTTGCTGAAGCACTCCAATGACAAGAGAGAAGATGTCATGTATCACTTGAAGTTGCGAATTACAGTAGTATATGTCACTTTTGGGAAATACTTCTGTAATGGCACACATGATTATGGGAACCGTTGGAATAGGAGTGAAATTTCACAGAGACTTATCTTCATATGCATTGGAATTTCATATGTTTCTGAACCTTGCTGCAGTATGACGCTTTCGAAATTGGCTTCATCACCACAGACGAGTTTTCGAATGCAGAGATTCTTGAAGAAACTTACCCCAAAGTTGGACAAGTTTTAGCTGATGACTACGCCAAGAATCCTGCAATCCCAATTGTCACAGGGTTTCTAGGGAAGGTAAAGAGTCGAACCAAGTCGTTTGTCTTCCGTTGTGTCATCAATATTTGTGAGCCTTGTGATGCTGTAAAAATTATAAATAAAAATAAAACTTAAATCGTTGTTGGTGGTTTTCTTTTGAACAGGGTATCAAGACTGGACGTATCACAACCCTTGGCAGAGGAGGAAGTGATCTTACTGCCACTGCCTTGGGAAAAGCTTGCAAATTGAGAGAAATCCAGGTACGTTAAGAGTTGATATGGATGCAAGTTCCATTGGATCCTCGTAGCCTGCTGAATGATCATTCCTGATACTCAGTTTTTGAACACAGGTCTGGAAGGACGTCGATGGTGTGTTGACTTGTGATCCAAATATTCACAAGGGCGCAATTGCAGTGAAGGAGTTGACTTTTGATGAAGCAGCAGAACTCTCATATTTTGGTGCTCAGGTACGGTAGCTATGGCAATCTGAATCCCGGTACGGATGGTAAAGAAAGAGCAGATACTCTGATACTGTTTCTTGCCCGTCTACGGTTTCAACCTTCTACTCCAACTAAGCTTTATCCCCCTTACAATTCGCTGGCAATTTATCCCCCTTGTCTCAGGTTTTACATCCTCAGTCCATGAGACCTGCCAGAGAAGGTGATATCCCCGTAAGAGTGAAGAACTCCTACAACCCCAAGGCCCCGGGTACCATCATCAGCAAAGCAAGAGATTTGTCCGAGGTATGTACTTCTCACAAGGATAAGGACTTGTGTGTCCTTGTCCTCGTGAACGCTGGGATAGCAGCAATGAAAACTTTGGGTCAATCATATCGTCGTAGACGAACCTTTCATTCGTAGAAAAAGCTGTAAAAGGTTTGAACCTTCTTGGTGATGCTTATTATCGTCTTAGTATGTTCATTGACCATATGCGGGTGTTAAACGAGTTCAAACATACTAAATAGGCCTTGTTTATTGTACGTAGGCGCAATTGACAAGCATAGTGTTGAAGAAGAGTGTGACTATGTTGGACATTGTGAGCACCCGAATGCTTGGTCAGTACGGATTTCTCTCCAAGGTAGGTCATCATTATTGAGTTCGTCGCAACTCCCTATCTCTGTCCGTTATTTCATTTGCCATCTACGCTACTGTTGTTTTTCTAGACACAGATACCGTGCGTGGAGTATTAGTCCCTCAATATCAAAACACGCGCTTTGGTTTTTTTTTTGAAAGTTCAAATATCTGATTGTATCTGATATTTGGAACTTTTTATTTGTGTTGCAGGTCTTCTCTGTATTTGCCGAGAATGGCATATCTGTAGATGTCGTAGCCACTAGTGAAGTTAGTATCTCGCTCACTTTGGATCCGTCCAAGCTTTGGGAAAGAGAACTTATTGAGCAAGTGAGTAACATTTCGTTGGCGCCTGGGTATCATGTTTGTCATGCAATGTGTATACTGAGCATCGTGGTTGAGATCAGCTTTGAGGAAGAAACAGCCGCTAGAAATTAGTCTGTTGGAAGTTTGCCGAGATTCTTGCCAGCGTTAGCACTCTCCGTCACCGGAACACACCTACATACTCACTGATAAACTAGCATCCTTGACTTCGCAGCAGGAACTACAGCGGTTGCAGGATGAGCTGTCAGGTATTGCGACGGTGAATTTAGTGCAAAAGAGATCCATAATTTCGCTCATCGGCAACTACCAATGCTTCTCCACGATCTTGGAGAAGGTGAGATATATAAACTCTACACACCCCAGCTTCAAACATTTTTCAAACTGCTGCGAATCTCAGTTCAGCAAATATCAGGGCACCCACCATTTACACTCAACTAACGTCGTTGAACCTGTTGGACCGGTTGAGACAGGCGTTTGGTGTGATGCGTAAGAAAGGAATCAATGCACAGATGATCTCGCAGGGTGCTTCGAAGGTATGTCGTGTTTCGTTGACATGCTTTGAGTGTCGTAGCATTCGAGCATGCTCTCATGCATCCATGTGGTGCCTTCACCTAATTTCACCACGTAAAAGGTGGTCCAGTAATATGTAAAAGCAATTTTGAATGTTGTAGGTAAAGCCCTGGCAACTGGTATACGCAACACAGGAGCTGGTAATGGTGTATTGTCTGTAACTTAATAACCTCGTTGATCCACGATGTTTCCTGCAGGTGAATGTTTCAATAGTGGTGGACGATCAAGAGGCAGTCGAACTAGTAAGGTCGTTACACAGAGTATTTTTCGAAGGAGAAGCCTAAAAATTCGATTTAAATTCACGTGGACTCCACTATTATATTTAACCTTGGCCAAACAATAGTTTGGCTTCGTCAGTTTTGTGCTCGGAAAGTCTTTCGAGCAGAGGCATTATCATCATTCATCATCCATGCGCTTCAACCAATACTGCCGCTGTCAGCCGTTTCCGAGTTCCATTGAAGCTATGAAGCGGGAGTTGTGCAAGAACATCAGCAAGCTCAGAGAATTAGTCTGAAGACACGGCAGACGATTGTCAAGAAGGATGACCTTTGAGCTCATCCTCGCGTTGTGGCGAAGTAGCTAGCAGTCGTAGATGTAGGACATGAGAATTGAGAAGTGGTAGGTAGAAGGTGACCCACCCTGGCTCTAGCGGTGTAGTCTTACCAGGGTTCATTAGAGATTGTTCATGGAGCTTGATTTCCTTTGTCAACGTTACATGGTTGAAATTCCAATCCCAATTCAAGGTCTTCGAGCAGACTAGACCTTTCCGTTACCCGACTGGCTTCTCGCAAATGTGGGTACACGCTTGAGTGATGTGAAGCTTGATGAATTCTACACAGACCGGCGACACGAGAGAGAACTCCAATGCGTGTTTCAAATTGGAAGAGAGTGAATTTACCATGAGCCCGATGACATTTTCTGGTGCAAAATTAGTGGTCCGGTCCGCATCTCGCGGTTTTGCTTTCAAAGGATTCAGATGACAAACTTGTGCGGGTGCAATTGATTGCTGGCTAGTAATCTGCAACGTGGATGCTTTGCACCATACTCGTCCATATCTAAAGCAGAACATGATCGGACAATCGATTATATTCAACGATACGTGGATTTTGCATCCCCCTCGTACAGAAGCGTCGGTACACCGCTGACTTAGTGGACTGCCCTTCCAGTCAGTATCCAGAGCTGTGCAGCTCGAAGTGAAATCTCCACATCCACACCCGAAGAGGTAGATACAAACAGGCACAGAAGAGTCAAGAATTGGACCACGCATAAGCTTCGATTACTTGGTGGACAAATTTCGCATGGACTGAAGACTGCATACATAATCTGAGAAGGGACCATGCTTTTGCTCTAGACGAACGGCGAGCACAGTGATGCAACCCCAGATACGTCTCTTGGGATGTCCCGACGGAGGGGATGGAAGGACACGACGTCATCATTACTCCCCGACAGGATAAGGAAATATGCTCCTTGTCACTGAAAGAGTAGGATAGAAGCATCTGTCTCTAGATTCTCAGAATCTCTGTTCCGTTTTGTCTTCTCTAAATTTACAGAAGGCAGGCAACTTAAACCCTACAGTATATTGTCCAAATTGGAATCCTCTCCTCGGAATCAGTTGTTCTCTTCCTCCGGGTTCGGGGAACATTTGAAATTCTTCCTGTTGCGCAAATTGGGAGGAGTTGTAGCTGAATTGTGCGGTGGCTGGGTGGGATTGAATTTCCAGACGAGTAGGAGGTGCATATCAGGAGCAGGATTCTGCGTTGGAAGGGAATGGGGGGCTATTGCTTGGCAGCTGCTACTGCCGCGAGGGCGACGAGCATGAGAGCTTCGCCTGTTTCTTGCACGTGTAGTGCGAATTTGAAGAAGAGCAGCTTAAATGGGCTGGATTTCATCCGACTGCCGAAATGCCAGACAATTGCAACGTCTGCGAAGTTGGGTTCGACGTCGGTTGTGGAAATGTTCAAATCTGCCACGATGAAGAGCCAGCAAGTGCTCAGGAGATTCGAGGCAAAGGCTGTGTTTTCAGAAGCGAAGGAAGGTGGCGAGAAGAAGGAGAAGGTGGACTACAAGCTGTATCAAGCTTTAATGCGTGGCGGGGAGGAAGTCATTGCTATGATGAAGGAGATGACAGAACTGGTATTCTCCTCTGCTCATATTCCGTTTTTTAAGAGCGTGGCGGTTCGCTAATTCAGCCAAGACAATTTCGTTCCGAGTGTTCTTAGCCATACTGCCATAGCTCCACGATTTAAGTATCCGAGCGCCCAGACTTCATCGACATTTCTCTCACTTATTTCTGAATTCTCTCTGAAACAGAGTGCCTCTAGAAACTATCTGCGCAGCACTTTATGCGTTTACAAACTTTAATCACCTCAATTTAGTCAAAAAGTACTACTTGATTCGAAGTCTGAGGAGGAAGCATGGTACTTGTGACGATAATTTCATTCGGAAAAGTTAATGCCGGCTGAATTGCCAGAAGTTCGAGAGGAATTCCACTAATTAACTGGCTGACTGTTGCACTCCCTCCTTTTTGTTCCATTTCGGTAAGCCTTCATTTTCCTTTATAGATGGGCTGCACTAACAAGCATTGAAAGGCTTTCTACCACTGCCTCTGTTCTGCAAGGTGCTGTTGGCATTCCAAGTTACACAAGCAGAAAAGAACAGATACTTCTCGTAGGCCTAGTATTTTCAAAACAATCCCAGAATCTTCTATAAACTATTGGTACCAAAGGGAATATTTCGATTTGGTGACTTTAAAACGTTGGTATTGTCTGAACAGTTTGAAAACATTTGTCACTCGACGAGCCTGCTGGGCCAGTCTCCTGCATCTGCACACTGGTGTAGTAAGTGGGGACCCCGCTCAGTTGCTAGAATGCTTAAGCATCCGGTTTAACTAAAGACAGCAAAACAATACCATCTTCAATAGCCCAGAACGAATCTTGTCATAAATCAATTGGCAACAGTAGAACTACCTGCTTGAACACCTTAAACTTCCGAGATAGATTTTGAGGACGAAGTGGGAAGTTTGAGTATTTTCCAAAGATTTTGTGGAAGGTTTGATACTTGTCTGTACAAAACTTCAGGTGTATCAAGGTTGGTCAATATTAAGGTCAAAGCTGTAGTAGAAGTAAGTTTCTGTCTCGTTGCCTGCCCTGTGGTGGATGTTGGGAAGATGAGTCTTTCGTAATTTTATTTTCCTCTCTTTGATTTCGTCTTGCAGCTTGAAGACATCGCAGGAATGGAAAAAGAAGAAGAGGAGGCAGCAGTGAGAATGGCTGCAGCAGGCGCTGTCGGTCAGAAGCTGGAGAAGCTCGAGGGGAGTTTTTTGATGGCGCTGGACTGGATGATTGAGCAATCAGAAAGAGAGAAAGATGATAAGGTCGCTGTTTGAGCATTTCTGCCACAACTTTGGCTTCCCTTTTCCATAACTATGTTGTGTCTAGATGCTCAGGTGAATTGAGAAGATCTCAGGCTACCAACTCATTCTTTTTTCAGAATATGACGTACTACCTCTACCGTACTCGGATATCAAGCAAAAAGTTCCAAGAGCTTAGAGATGCTTAGAGCTGGTTACCGTAATCTGAGATCGTATCTAGAAAAATCAATTATCCAAAAGCCTTATTGATTGGAATAGTGCGGTCTTGGCATCTACCTAGTTTAGACAAACAAAGGCAGCGCAAATGGATTTAAAAGGAAACTGAACCTCCACCATCGGGAACAAGAACCATACTGATCAACTTCTATGCTGCCGTTCATGTGTATTGCAGAAGGTTCGGCTATTGGGCATTATAAAGGAGACCGTTTTAGCTCAACTTTCTCATCAGTTCCCCTCACAAGTGAGTTCTTTAACCTTTTTGGTGATCCAACATCGCGTCCTCACGCCTCCATATCTTCCTTTTCTCGGCTTCTGTGTATGTTTATAGAAAGAACCTATTTTATACGGCAACGGCATGTTACATCGTTCCCAAGTTCCAGTAAGTCTACACCAGTCCCATTTGGATATTCTTCGTTGATGCAGGTCCAGGTGGTTGGTACGCTTTGTACAACACCCGACAAAGATGCTCGTCAAGAGATTTTGAGGCGGTGCGCAGGTGGTGGTGGAACTTTCAAAACCGTAGGTGGAGGCGACATAGTGCTTCCTGAAGCTAATCTTAATGAAATAGCCAACCAAGCAGATGATATTGTCACTGTAAGTATTGTGAAGCTGATCGTAGAGAATGTTTTCAGCTACCTATTTTCAATCTAGACCAGCACTAATAACCATCTTCTTGTACTATAGACTGTTAAGCAGGGAGACTATTCGTGGTTTATATTTTGGAAGTTCTGCTAGTCCTAGCAAATTAGTTTGGTGTCTTGGAGTGGTCACGTTTTTCTTAATTATGGTAACAAGGGAGACCCACTGCGCTGTTATTTCTTTGACTCTTTCTGCTCTGTTTACATATCCTCTTACTTCTTCTCCTTCTTCTACTTATAGCATCGTCAACGTAGGCAAACATTTCGTTTCAGTCTAAGGAAAATACTCATTAGTACTTCTTGCAAAGAAAGAAGCCATGTTTTTTCCCCTCTCATGTGAAATATGACATTGTTTTCTCTGACGGCAGTCTATGGAAGAAAAGCCATTGTTACAAGACAGAAGGCTACTAGCGAAGTTAATACTCGTGAGAGAAGAGGCTCGAAGCTTATTGAGTGGTGGTATATTGGATGAGCGGAATGATAACAAAGGCTTCAAAAACTTACCTTTTACTGAGGTCAGAGCCTGCTCATCGAACTGCCTTTTAGTTCAAATTCGGTGAATTAACCTGAGTTCCCTGCTGGGAGAAATGCACAAATACTCCCAGTTTAGACCACCACTGCCAGTTTCTGAGTTCTTAAGAAGTTTGTTGTTATTTTGGTCTTTACGATGGTTTTCCCTTTGCTGGGATTTTACTGCAGGTGACTTTCCTGTCCACTCTTATGGGTTTAAGACCAGGACCCCTTTTACGGCTTCGGATAGAGAATGTTATGCGTGGGAAAGACGAGGGTCAAGAGAAGGCTCCCCCTCCCACTAAGGAATCCATCACTCCTCGCCAAAAATTCGTCAACTTTGACAAGGTAGTCCAACTGAACTCGGGAGTACTTTTCTAATTCTTTTATCTTGTCTTCATGAAGACTTCTCTCACCAAAGTTGTGGCTTCTGCAGGCTTCATCCTGTTCTTGCCTTCTGATGCACATCTGCTTATAGAAGATGTATTGCCCTTCTTAGCTGTCGGATTTTATCTGGTACCAAATTTCAGGGATTTTTTTGACCCAGGTTTCAATTGATCTTAAGGCTGATCCACTACTCCCTCTGGGGTTTACGATTTAGAACTTCGTGCACTCAATTTTCAAGGGATTGCTGTTCATATACAGAAATCGAAGGCAGGGAGCGACGAAGAGGACACAGAACCACGCCCAGTGCGACCGGGGATTTTCCTGTATACTGTGAATAAGGTAATAAATCACCACCTAATTGATGAATTGAAGAAGTACGGAATTACGTTATATAAGTTCCTCTCATCGATCAGCTTCAATAGGCCTTTGCTCTTTATTTTAAAACCTAGGAATCTCCGTTGGAGTAAATTATATGTGTTTATATAGTTCTGGATGGCATCTGTTTTGCAGGTAATGGCGGGAATGTATGAGACGAATGTTGCTGGCGGAGTTACTGTGCAGCAACTGGAATGGGTGAGTGACAACGTTGAAATCTTTGTAAACATGCTAGACAGTTGCTCGATGAAATGGAATGCAGTACTGACTTTTACTCCTGGTGGATAATGTGGAAAATAGATTCACAAGGAGACTCTGAACATACTACAAGAGATAGCATACTCTACCCATTGAGAATTGACGAGATTTATCAACGAATGTGATGACAAGGCGATATCCCTTTACGAAGGACGTGCAGCACTTTGAGATCAGTCCATTTTCTATGTTGAATCAGTGTTCAGAAGCACATTACGAGTGGCACATTCAATTTAGCGTCATCAATACATGACGAAATGCGCGAATGGGCCCCCGAAGTCTTTGGAATAGCACGACTAAATATATAGAAGTCACAATGTGACATCAAGCTTCAAATTTTCTTCGGTCACGTTATAGATCTCCAACGCCAACTGAGCACTCTTTTTCCATTGTGAAAGTAGTTGTTTCTGAACACATGTAATTCGAGAACTAAAAGAGGAAGTTGTTGAAAAGTGTTGCTCCAAGTGCAAGTGGAGCAACAACAGCCTGTGGTCATTGAAATGAACTGAAATCATCATCTATCGTTGGAATTAACGTCTATTATCTTCTAAAACTTGTTCAAATTATATTTCTAAACTCATACCATTTCCAGCAGAATGTGTTGTCGATGGAATTTCTATGACCACTAGATTGAGGAGATAAATCAAAGAAAGTCCAAAGGTAAAAAAACTTTTTACACAACAATTAAATTAGCAGTTAAAACAAAAACAATGACAATAATATGGATGATCAAAAAAATACAAATGTTGTGAACAATGTATAGACTTTCTACTTACACTACTAGAACACTGTTTTACCTTACTGAAAGCTGGAGGAAAATAACATCATGGAAACTAGTTTGAAGTTTTTAAGAATCAATAATTACCTCTTAATATAGAACCGTGACATCATCTCAAATTTCAAATAACAAGTTTCACATATTGTCCTACTTATTTTAATGAAGATGATTTTGGTAGCCTTAATAAGATGAGTAATAAGTTTCCAAGTTCTCTCCGTTACTTGATATCCTTATCAATGTACAAGATAATATAATCTTCTTGGATTGCAGCGGAAGTTGAAATCTAAAAGACTTCACTTTTTTCTTCCCCGTTAATCTCTATTGATGACAAAAGTATTTATAACCTTTCTCAATAATTGATTTTCTATAAGATTCAAATAAGGAAACATGAAAAACAAGATGAATTTTCATAGATGATGTCAGATTCAACCTGAATGTTATCTCGTTGATCTACTTACTCACGATAAAGTTACAAGATAACGAAAGTCAAGATAAAGGTTCAAGATAACGACATTCAAGTTTGCAGTTAGATCACAAAAGCCACAGTTTATCTCCAACTAAGATGTTCAAATTTTGTTTTCAAGATTTTTCTTCATTTTTCTTCTCCCGCTATTGAAAATCTTGACTTCATGTCTTTGTGTTTCTTCAAATGTCTAATGATAAGATCTTGCGCATGACTTCTTTGCCAAACTCAAGTTCAAAGAATCAGATCATGTATGAGATCCATAGTTTGGAAAGATGGGAGTCTGGTGTATGTAATCTTGAAATGTATTATTGCAAGCAAACTTTGCTAGTTGAAGTAGATTCACTTAATTTTCTTGATGGAGCATCTTAAATATTGCTCCAACAAAGATTAAATCAAAAGATGTGGACTTTGGAATATTTATAAGGAAGTCCATGGATAGGAATAGACATGAGGTTTTTAGAATTGGCAGTGGTTGAAATAAATCTTATGGCCGATAATGAGAGATCTTGGATGTAGAGCAGTTGTCACATGTTTTGATATAATATTTCACGGTTTTTTCGCAATTGTGGCCACCAAAATTCTTTGAATATCATCTTCATGATCTTGTTGAATACAAAGTGTACCGCTGATGAAAAGTTGTTTGGAGACTTGAGCACTCGAAATCTACATGAACCTATAGAGATTTTAAGTAATCCCTAGTAGAATAGCAACCTATCTCGAAATTGGAATCTTGGATCAACATCATCTTGGGATGTTTCATGCAATATGAAAATCCGTGAACTAAAAATAGGTTGATTAAGTAATTCCAAATCTATATTCTTTTAATTAGGATATTGAGAGTCCGGACTTGGAAATTTTTCATGATTTGAGATGTCAACATTGTTTTTTAATTTAAAAATCAAAGAATCTGATTGTAAACTTTCTCACATATCTTGGAAAAAGATCCATCCATTGAAGTTGTGTTGTGCATTGTCTTCAGCTGAAGTTGCTCATACTTAATAAGATTAGTATTTGCTAGTCGTAATCTGAATCTTCTCCCTAGATGCAAGATATGTTTGTCCAAAAATAGCATTGAACCAGTTTTTCTAAGAACAAGAGCGATACTTGATGAAGAAGTTGAAGCACAAAAGTGATATAGTCCAACAAGCTTGTCGTCGATTCAATATCTTGGGAGACATGAAATAATCCAAAGTTCTTGCCATTGATGTAGACCGTGACAGTATGTTAAGTTCCTTCAAAAAAATAACATCACTCTTTGAACAAGTCAACAATGACTAAGAGCTATTTCTTGTGGATCTCATAATAGATCTCAGCAGCAATAACTTTTTAAAAGTGAAACACAATAACATAAATACTTTTGTCTTTGTCAGATTGTGAAAAAAATTGCTCCATGGATAACAAAAGCATCCATTTTTTAGAACAATAGCTTTTTGAAATCACGATGCATCAAAATAGCAACTATTGTAAATAATATTTTCAGATTTTTAAATGCTTGGTCTGCTTTTGCATACCACTTGAATTTGTTTTTGTAAATTAACAGAGTCAAAAGAGCATCATTTTTGTAATACTTTTAGATGAAGATTCGATTAAAGTTTGCAAAACCAAGGAATCATTGTGTCTCAAATGGTAATATTTGTTTCTTTTGCAATCGCACATGTTTGAATTCTTTTTAGAATCCATGGATAGATTTCTCCATAAATAATGTAGTCCAAGAATTTGACTTCAGATTGATGAAAGATTCACTTTTCCAACTTCACATGTTTGAATCTTTTTAGAATCCATGGATAGATCTCTCCTTACATGATGTAGTACAACAAATTGACTTAAGATTGATGAAAGATTCAATTTTCCAACTTCACGTGTAGTCTATCACTTCGCAACTTCTTCCATACTAGTTGTACATGATTGATGTGATCTTTTTCATCCTTGAACAAAATCAATATGTCGTTGACATAATAGACAACAAAAGAGTGTAGAATTTCTTGAAATGCGTTTTTAATTAAATGTTGAAAGATGCCAAGTACATTGGTAAAATAGAAAGACATGATATTATATTCAAAGTGTTTATAGCTAGTTTGAATCAGCGTCTTACATTTTTCACCCTCCTTGGTATGTATTAAATTATACTCTCCACAAAGATTAATCTTAATTTGTATCTTTGCTTGATTGAGTTGGTCAACAAATCTTGAAGTAAACGACAATGGATATTGGTTCTTAATTATGACCTTATTTAGACCACGATAGTTCTGCACATCCAGAATGAGACCTCTTTCTTCTTGACAAATAAAATAGGAGCCCAAGTATGTGACTTCAAATGTGGAATGAAGTTTTTTGCAAGATTTTTATCAACATAATCTCGCAATGCAACAAGTTTGTTTTTGAAGAGGTTGTAGATTGAACCAAAAGGAGGTTGTGCAACTTCTTAGAAAAAACATATCAGCATTTTTCTTTTCAAATAATATCTGATACTTCTGATATTTTGCTAATAACTTGGTTGATTTTTTAACAGATTGAGATGTTGTAATTGCATAAATTGTCCTCATAAAAGCTCATACACTGACCATCAACAAAATTTTGAACTTGTAAACTTGGATTTGATAAGTTCACGGATTTGAAAGATTTTGAGAATATTTAGATGAACTATGAAAATGTATGTGTCAGCTTTCATTTTTTCCAATCTTCATTTAGATGATCATCATTAAGCAAGAATCTCTTTAAAACCAAAGTAGTAAAGGTATAACTTATGATGTCGATAAAAATAATACTTCGTTATACTTCTAAGATAATGCCTGAATGTTTAGTTTTGTGAGTGAAAAACAGTTGGAAAAAGTCTTTCCAAAGTTGGAAAGAATCACGGACATCGTTTTTGGGACAACTAATGTATAGAAATTCTTCGTTTTTTACTTTCATTCAAATAAAAATCTGTGAACAAATAGGTCGTTATTGAAAAAGATTATAAATTAGTTTCGTAATTAGATCTGACGGAAGTCAAGATTGGTACATTTTGCAATTGGGCTTGACACAACTCATCCATGAACATCACTTCCAATCTCTTCTTCTACACCATACAATAGTTTATCAATTAGAGAAGTTTGAATTCGAGTATTCATCGAAGTGGACAATTCATGTAGCTGGAAATAATTGAATATAATAATAACAATAACATTAGATAATAACAAAGCATATATATATATACAACAAGAGAGAGGGATAGCAAGAAATCAAAACATTTACATTGATAAAACAGTAGAGGAGTTTGTTGGCTTTCTGGTTTTGAAGTGTTTGTTGCTTAACCGAGTGCGTCTTCAAATGTTGCATCTGCCATATTATTAAGAGTTTATGATAGTTAAAGAAGTAAAAGAAAAGGTGTTGTGGTGGTTTGTGTTTTAATATTCGTTCGGAAGTTCGGAGAAAACATAACAATCATGAACATCAACGGTGATAAGTCTGATATTCCCAATTGCAGTGTAAGTTTTATTATTCTTATTTGAAAACATCATGAAAAACACATGTTTAAAGTGAAAAATTTAAAAATATTTCTAAAGTCAAAATCTGATTTGGTGTCAAAGGTGAATGAGATTTCATGCAGATGTTATCTGTGAACACATATGTTCAATATCTCCAGCCTCATATCATCAAGTAGTTGGATGAGTAGAGGAATTATGCTATTACTTTTTATAAACTTCAACGGAAATACCATTAGAAAGAACTCTAAGTTCTCCTCTGTATATCCTTGACACTGATGGCTTTTAAGATGAATAACAATGGAACAAAGATACAATACCACTTTGATATACTTTCACAAACAATCCAACACATTTAACCTAACCTTTAATTGACATGTCATGCAAACCAAGCGAGATGTCTGAACCTCCCGGGATTGCTAGGTACACTCGCTTCTTGTGGTGATACGCACAACTCATAGTAGCGCTTATCTCACATCCGTCTGTTATCTCCTGATCAAGCCGTATCTCGTTGCCTCTATCTTAACCTCGGCTTCTTTATAGGCTAGAACAACAAATTTTCTTCAGGAGGACCAGAGCGACTTAGATTTTTATCCCGTCTCCAAAATCACATAGATTGCAGCACTTAACCAAGAAACGATACTGTTTGTCGTGAAGAAAATCAAAACGCATCACAAACAAACATTCAACATACAAAATTGACACTCTGCCGATACTCAACATATGTGCTTTCCAACTGCAAACTATGTTCACAAAATTACAAAAGCTTTCTTGAAAAAAATCCCAAAGCGTCAACAGAGCATAATTTTTAATCCGAAAGTGCTAACATCGCGATGTCGAAAAAACCAATTTTGAAATCAATCAATTCCCCTGGAAACTCAACTGCAGACGAAATTCACAAAAAATACAAAAGCTTGATTGAGAAAAAAAACCAAAGCCTCAACACTGAACATACGTGTTTGACACTACGAATTACGTTTACAAGGAACTCAAAGGCTTTTATGTACAAAACCCCTAAATCTTCAGCTAAAGGTTTCGCGAGCTCTCTAATATTGTTGCAATCTAACCAAGTTGACTAACTTAGATTGGAGCTAGTTTGAGTAGCAGAATACCATATACTTAAAATGAATTTTTAATGATCATTTTAAGTATGTTTTTCGCTACATTGCTTAGATATATAATGCAAATATTTTATTTTAATGCCCTTAACCTATTCTTATGGAATATTAAAAATAGCTATAAAAATTAATTTGTTTTCTATTTCAAGTTTTTTTAGATTTTAACCATTGGAAATTTAATGATTGCATAAAAACCGATTTATGAAATATACCCCAAAAAAAGTCATAACGATGGAACATAATTAAGTGAACTTTCTTCAATAGGGAAACTTTCAAATTCCAATATAAATGAATCTCAAAGTTGTAAATTTACACTTTTTTATTCAAACTGAAACAGGTGTGTTCACATAGGCAGTTTGTTATGTATATTTATATGTTCGAGAAGAAAGCTGAAGTATGCATTTGCATCGTAGAATTTATCTACGATGAATTGAATATGGGAAATTATCTGAAGAGACACATCATGTCTCAACTTTAACAAACTCATTACATGTAGCACATAATAAATTTTCTCGAAAGTATTCCTTGAATCAATATTCGTTCATGAATAATTTCCTATTTCATTTTTTCTTGTTACAAGTTCAAATGGAGACGGCAGACAAACTTCTGTGCTAAGTACTGCATTTGGCGTGCCGATGCTTAAACGGTAACCCAAGTTTTCCCTTGAGTATGGAACCTAGACCCCGGGTACACCTAGTACTGTACTCTACACATACACTACATCCTTTGCCAGCACTTTCAATATGGCTCCATCAATATGATGTAGTTTCAACAAATGTTAAGTGCCGAAGCAATTGATGACAGAGAGAAAGCTTTTGTTCGACTGAACCTACATTCAAAATATCCAAGGAAATACTAACTCCATGTTTTTAGTCTAGAGAGCTCTAAATATACTGTCTGAAGATGCTTGTCCCATATGAGGTCTCTGTCACCTCATCTGGATTCCGTCACTCTCAGGGAATATGATAGTTACTACGTGATGTCTGCGTTGGACGTGTCCAGGGATATTAAAAACTCCAAATAAATTCTGCACGGTTTTTCAACAACGTCCACTAGCCTGAACGAGAAATCTGTCGAGAAATGTCGCTTATCTACAAATTGCCTCAGGACGCCTGTGCGGTGGCAGAGTGTTTAAGGATCGTCTACTCTGAGTTCTTCAAAAGGCAAGGGTACAGTCTTGATAGCTCTGAATTTCCCTATGTTATTCAGATGCTCGTTTTCAATCCTGGGGCAAGTTTTATTCAAGGGTCAGGGTTACGGATGAACGACTGCTATTTTTTCTCACAATTTTCACACATTTGCACAAGTTTCTCTCACAACGCCGAGGTTCTATATAAAAACAGTTTTGTCTGGTGTTGATTAGATTCTTTTACATGAAACCAAGTGTTCCTTATGTAAACAATACAATGCAGGGACCAGAGACGAGTGTCATAAAGGGAGCCAGTCACTTACCGAAAGAAGTTCCACATTCCTCTACGCATAATCTCTAATCCTGCAAAAATGAATTCGGTCATGTGATGATCAAGGTTTCCCAGCTCCCAGCGAGCAACGGACTGAAGCCACGCCAAACGAAGAATAAGGTTCAAAACCTGCGTCGTCAAGAGGCCAGTGTAGTATCAGTTGGCTCAGCTCTCATCAAGCAGAGGTACAGTTTATGGAGAATAATATTATGTACTTGTCCGCACTCTAGTCATGACCACACCCAAGCAGTATTTGGATATTGATTTGATGAGAAGCGATCAGAGATTCCTAGAAACCATGCTGGAGCTTAAGAGTGGAGAGGAAACTTCCACTGTCATATCGTACCCGATCCAAAAACATGTAATTTGAGTGGTCACTTGATTTAATCATCAACACAATTTTCTAATAAAATTGTACTTAACCAGGAAGTTTACCATGCAGGTGTAGTAAACATATTTGTAGTCACTCAAGATGAGTGTATCTCGCAGCCAGGGATTTTTAGATCCACGCCTCAGAAGCCCCCAATCCATCACAATATCCCAGTACAATTGTGTTGCAGTTGCAGCAATTGACGATAAGATCGTCATGGCGAAGAGCCCTTTCGACTTATTCTTGCCACTGTAAGTTACTTTCAAACCCATCGCAAGCATAGCTGAAAAATATTTTCCACAATTCGCAATATGTGTAGTATCGCGTTCATCAATGTATCGTCGACAACACTGTCCTAGAAAATTATAGTAAGCTAATCAGATTTCAAATTGATGTTTCGGGCAATCAGGTGATTCAAATATGGCCGGTATGCGGGCCCAATATCCAGTATATAACTTTGGATTAGAAACTGTATATGTAATAAGCTTCAGATTTCTACCTTACCTTCTCCTAAAATAGCTCAAAAGGAGGTGATCCTTAGAACGTTCAGTTGAAGTCAAAAGCATGACGAATATGATGAAGTCCACTTTTAGTACGCCGAGGTTCTTATTGATAAGTTATCATACTGCATACTCTAAACAGTTTATAAAGAAGTACCTGAAGGAAGCGCCACCAATATGGGGCTAATGATACAACATATACTACACGCTGAAAGTGCACGTTTTTTGTGCAAGAGTCTCCATTTCCAAGCTTATAATAGCTTCCAATGTAGTAGCATAAGACATACTCCAGTTGTCGGAAAGATGGCACCTGGGAACATGCATGAACAGAGGCAGAATACAGCCAACCCTTTATTCCTTGCCATATCGTTACATGGACACAAAGGTTTGAATTAAAAGTCACGCAAGAGAGAAAAACGGAAACAAATCGAGAAACAAATTCCAAACAGCTCGAATAACGTCACTGCGAGGGCAGTGAAATTTCTTGAGCTGCTTGAAATTCATAGAGAGACATATAACTTTATAGAGGACTTTACTTTAACATTCATAGAGGACGGACATATAACTTTAGAAAAAAATGAAACTTCATCATGTACTATCGCTATACCTCACAACCCTTATGCAGCACGGAAGTTGGAAAATGTACCTGGCTTGTTAACTGATCTGCCAAAAAGAAATCGGCCAGAACAACCTGAAAGATCAGAAGTAGGATTAGAACTATATTCTAAAACCTAAGTCAAGCAGTAATGCAGCTTCTGTTGAAATTATTGACGACAGATAATACCTTGTATAAGGGAGCACAAACTATGTGTAACAGGGTTTTCAGAAGGAAAAGTCGGCTACTCCGGTAGCAGAAGTTGAAGGGACAGAACAATAGCAAGAAGAAAATCTGTGGACAACAATGCAAATCATTAAAAACGTGGACGATTAGGGGCTCGATGTACCGTGGCATTTGGAAACTTTCAAACAATGTATGATGAGGAGAATTGATTCCAACATACCGTCAGTACAGTGGCGGGAAGGAACTCAAAATACGGACTCGGTTGTTTTTTAGAATAATGTCCAGCGATGTGCCCTACCATAATTCCGAGATATACACAAGTGAGGGATGTACACAGCAAAAACATTTCTCGGTAGCGCAGCACATTTCCTGGAGAAAACTCAAATATAAATCCGTAGTTGATGTGCATTCGACGCCACAAATAAATGTCGCAACCATACATATACATGTGAATCAAAATGAGACCCATCATACTGCACAGTCAAAATTCAAGCATGTCAGACGTACAGTAGAAGACGCATTGACAAAGTGATAGCAAAACAAAGAGACAAACCGCTCGAAATGCTTCAACATGCACATCTTCCTATATAGAACAATACTCTTTTGCTCGTCATTCTATTTCAAACTGCACGGTAAAATCTCCTGAACGAAGCTTCTTTGATTTCAATAACAAAGGTCTTATTGAGGTAACAACGCAAGTAATGCGCTGTAGCCAGAAAACCTGAAAAGAGGAAACACTGAATCGTAGTAGGCTTTTTCTCCAGACTTTCCACCTGCCTTATAACGCCACAAAGTTGTTGGAGCGATAATCGCTAAGACCCCAACTAGAGCCACTGAGCCCCCCGTAAAGAGTCCTATACAACACCATCCTCAAAAATTAAGTTTCATGAAAAAGATTTGAACGAGCTTTGAACGATTCTATGCTTGTCAAATCTTGTAATTAATCGACGTAGGTGTAGTAGTCCAAGTTTCATGGAATGGATCACACATTGTTTTACGATTTAGAGCAAATCTCCAATATGTTTACAGTGCAAGATCAGAATTGTGGATGATCTATGGATACACTGTGGGATACCTCAAATCAGAAACTTACCAATTAAAAAAGATACACGGTGTGATGCTTTCTGCTGCATTGGCCTAAGTAACGCCATTGCTTTCCTACGATCATTTGCCTGAAAATACTTCGTAAAAAGCTTTTCAACTTTTTCCATGAGGCGCGTGACCTGTACAGACATGAGTATCACAAGAGTTACTTCAGGAAAGAAGTATATAAAGAAAGTATAAGGCAAGCCTGGAACTACTCCAACACTAGATTGTGTTCCACGAGGCACGCCCCAAATTTGGAATCGATGCCACAGAAGAAGTTTCATTTTTAGTCCAATGTTAAAATTACTAGCATCCTGTCGATGATGTATACGACTCTACAGGTAGAGTATAGAGGACCAATATTTGCAAAATAGTTTGTAATCTTGACACCTGCTCACAGCAGGGTCTAGTTTGAAAGAATGGAACATGTAAAAGTTTTGGAAAAAGTTCTCTCTAGTATCACACTGAAATGTCTGAAGTTTGTCAACTTCAAGTAATCTTCTCATCTACTCCCCTAATTTAGCACAAGCTACTCCATGACCGCAAAAAGAGAAAAAGTGGTGACCCAGTAACTTACTGTACCAGCTTGCTAAATGTAGGAGTCCAGGACTTACTCTGTCAGAACTGCTGAAATAAGAGTTTTCCACAGCCTTCAAGTAGATGGGTGCAGCTTCCTTCTCCATCACCTGAATATAACGCTCGTTCAAATTACAATCAAAATTATCGTTGCTGGTATATTAAGCATATAGTTGCAACTGATCATGTACTGTCCTCTAGAAGAGATACTAAGCCAAAAATTCAATCCTACAATCACCTTAATTAAATGTAGCACCTAAATAAAATTAGTACGATGTTAAAAAATTTCCCTCATTTCAGAATGTAAAAAACGAGAATTAGGTCTGTGATATACCTTGTCAAATTTCTTCAATATTTTGACAAACGCCACCATGTTCAACGAACTGAAATTGGAAATGGAAATTTGAGTGAATGGTTGTATCTTCAAATTTTGCAAATTGCAAGCAAACATATTCTCCATAAGTTTATCTCCTCTAAGAATATGCCTGTTATATTATCCTAGAATGAGTTAGTTAAAATAAAACATAGGAGATTAGAGCACACCTGTAACTTTTCAGTAGACCAAGTCCGCGATAAAACTCAATCAAAGCTTTATGTAAAACTTTCTCCGCATATTGCACCTTTTTTTTGCTAAGGTATACTCCACTCTTGGCCTTGGCATCAATACTACTCCTTCTCATTTGTTGAAGAATATCCTCCCATAAAATTTGAGAGATCGCCGAAATTGTCGCGACAGGAGTTGTTATAGGCATGTGGATGTTGATTTTCACGTGATCTGCAACGAAAGAATTTCGATTAGAACGCCTACACTTTTGGTCAGAAACCTTATAGAAACGATTAATTATCTCAAGGTGAGATCCTCGGTCTCCAGGAGTAAATCAAATTGTTTCAAAGAGATAGGAAGCGAAAAGTTTACTAGAATTTTGAAAAGTACATCTTTGTGTGCAGTGACTAATGGACCATTTCTCGATTTGTGCGTGTCATCCTTGCGCAGGGGTCATGCTAATGAAGGTGCTCGCTGTTTTCATGTTACCTTTCTTCGCTTCAAGCCTTGATTCATTGACCTGGCTTTCCATCTCCTCAACAACCGAAGCTAAGGTACTTCGACGTTCGAAAGTTTCACTTTGTTTCACTGGTTCCACAGGCTCAGCCTCAGCCTCAGCCTCAGTTTCAAATTCGGGTACATTGGCTTTCTGGAAACTGAAATCATAAACTGGGACAGGACGCAGCCTCGGGCTGAAACTTAACTTTTCATTTTCATTTACAATCTGCCCTGAAGGAAGTTCTTGTTCATTGGAGATGAAAACGTCTTCCTGATCAACAGCATCTACATTCGAATCTGTAGTCAAGTTAACAAACTTCTCTCCGTCACATATGGTACTCCAAAAAGGCTAATGTTTAAACAGAAAACTGTCATTTTGATATGACCTAATTCATGTCCGAGAATAGATAAACCTACGTGACCCACGGATGATAAAAGAAAATAGATCCAACTGTAAACACGATATCCGCGTGCATTCTCTAGACTTCCTGCAAGTCTGTTTCTTGCTTAAAAAAAAATGTGATAATTTAAAAGAATGTTTCGATCAATTGTGAATATGGTGTCGTCATATATAGCTATTATGAAAGCAATTCCATCTTCATATGATTGTGAGATGGAACAGTCTCTTTGAAACAATGTTCTCAGTTGTTTAAAATATAGCCCAGTTTCGAAGTTAAAACACAGGTCTACACAAGTATCATATTTACATCACTCTGACTCGACTATCTGCAGAATTCAGTTCTGTTCACACAAAGTGCAACCAGTTACTGACAATGTGAAGATGAATGAAAATGATCAACTGATTCATGGCTTCTTGTGCTTGGCATCCTGTGAGAATGTGAAGGGAGCAATCGCCAGGCAAAATGCTGGTCCCTGTCCTAATAGACTCATAATCTTTAGTGAGAGGTTGCATTTATGGCGATTTAGACAGGAGAAAGAGCATCCGTACCAGGACAAGATGGCTACTGACCATTCCGCGTATCATCGTCGAATATATCATTACTTTCGTAAAGCGGATTTTCTCTAATTTCCTCGATTGATTTTTCAACATCCACATCAGGCCTCTCCCCAGAAGAGTTACCCAATTCAAGCTGCTGCGTAAATGGACTGCGCGGATCGCTAAATTCCTCAACCGGAATAACAGCATCTTTATTTACTTCCGTAGGTTTTAAGGAACTTTTGTTCCTGGGGAAAAGTTCGCCATCAGTTTTCGTCTTACGATCTTCCTCATCTCGAGTAGGAGGAGTACCGGAGGGAGTACCCTGTTCCTGAACCAGATTTTTAAGCTGTAGCAGCGTCGTAATCTGCTTATCTAGCTGTTGAGCCCTAAGCATGAACTCATCTTCTTTGCATTTGTAGAACCTGTTAACTTTGTTAAACTCTGTATCTAGTCTTCGGAAAAATAGCTTTGCATCATCTTCGGTGGCAAGGCCTTCCAAGAGCTCTGTTTGATATACTTCTTCTGAGCCAGAAGAATCCACATTACGAACCTGAAACACGAGGACAAGCACCACCTTGTAAGGCGGTCTGCACGGTACCTACTCTTTACTGTTTCTTGACATTACAGTACGAGCTTCCTCAGCTACACAAGCAACCATCTACGCTAGAGATTAGAAAATGCTGGAAGATGGCCGAAAGGATGGGCTTCAAGAATATATTTAAATATAGTTTTCAACGTTGTTGCCCGTGGCTGGACAGAACTTGACCAGGACGTGGTTTAAACAGCTGGACACACGGAAGTACGAAAAAAGTGCAACAGTGTTGTTGTTATTTGTGTCTAGTCAAAACCACAACTATGAAGGCCATTACTAGTGACACCCTTCCACTTGAACGAACAATAGTAAACAAGGGCAAGTCCTTTCGTCAAATTGAGAGCATCGCGACAACGGACGGAGCAAATCGATATTTTGCTACGCCTCCCTAAACCTCCGATGTTCTCACGAAGATGTTCGACATACCAGGATTGTAGGCTTAGCGGTTTGGTGTATTGTTGTCCTCCTGCGTGTCAATGCGTGCATTGCAAAGACAGGCGAGTCCGAAACACGTCGCGGGGCGGCGGACCGTAGACGACTCAGCTCTTTCTTGAGAATTTTGTAATTAACGTAGGCTGCCCGCCATTCAGGCACGAGTTGCCCTTCTAACTGCTTCGCAAACTTAACCATAACTCAAAGCTCTTCTGTCTCGCACATCGGTTGATGCACATCAACACTCTCAAGTTCCCAAATTGAACGACCTTCACTTGTGACTTAATAAATCTGAAGAACCATTTCTCATTTCTCCTTTTGCGGATGGTGTAAGGACAACTGAAAACTCGATAACAACTTGTTGGCACATCTCAAGGCAATATTCCTTCAGAACCACGGGCACTTCTTATCGAGGTTGGAAAGGCTTTTGCTGAAGACCCAGAAAATTGCAGCGGCAAAGAACAGAGGATAAAGTTCAAGACTTCACTGAGTTTTTTCTGAAAAAATTCATAACTGTCGTGACAGTCACGGGAATGGTACACCATAGAAACGCAAAACAGACTCGATAAAAAGCCTCCAGCCCACATCAATGAGAACTCGCAAGAAGCATATATACAAAAACAGAAAAAAAAATCACAAAAACCTTCGGCACCCAAAAACAGAAAGTCACCGAAAACCAGTCGTAATGTCGATCGAGGAAGCATATACTCTCATGCCAATGCCAAAGACGTACTCAAATCACCACATAAACACAGATTTTAAAAACAAATCGAGATGCTGCAGTGAACCACCCGAAAACGCTCTGTCTCAAGAAAATCCAAGGCGGGAAGGAGATTGCCGAAGTTCAAGACCCTTTCCACGAACCCTGAAACTACCTCTCGGGCCGAAAGCTCGACCCCGATTCTTGAGGCAAGGAAACGAAGAATTCGATTCCGCTCCGAGCAAATGAGCAAAAGTCTCATTGAAAAATGCGATCCTGCAGTTGGACGCTAAGAGAGATCCCGAAAAACCCGGTTCTAGACGCGCGTGCTCGAGATGAACGTTGGGGCGCGGAATGATGTTGACAGATTGAGATCCCATGAGCGTCTAATAACGGCAGAAACTGCGGTTCTGATTTTGACGGAAACGAGCATGACTCTGTTGAAGGCGGTCTTCATTTAAACTTCTCCGTCCCTGTTCGTTCCTTACCCTCGACTTGACACGTGTTAATAAAATAAATCTTCAATAAACAAAATTTGATAGAATTACTGAAACGGATTTTCATTCTCTTAATGTTACTGTACTGCACGATCCCTGAACTTTACAGTATGCTCCTGTGCTTCGGCGATATACGGAACCATGAGTCATGGTCCTCGACGGTCATGGTCCATGACCGTCGAGGTTTCTAGCTACTGCGTCCAGCTGATTCGCACATGGTTGGTTATAGGCAGCGCCGTAGTTGCTGACATACACTCTCCACCTCCGACTTTGTTCGAGGCTACGCTAGCTCTGCTAGCATTCATTAATAACTGCAACGTGGTTCTAACCGTCTCGCCTGGTCACATGGATTCGACTGTAGTTTGTGCAGTCTGGTTAATCCACGACTTGTGCCCTCCACAAGTGCTTCATGGCTCTTCATAGAGATTTCCACGTCTGAATGTGAAGGATAATTGCTGGAATAGTGTAAAGTGCTCGTCCCAGGCGAAGGATCCATTAGTGGCGATTGACCCTAGATCCATTCCCCTTTTCCTTACTAGAATCGAACGAAGAACGTTGCCTAGTTCAGCAGCATCGACTGTGCCTGTCTGGTAGAATCCAGCGCACTGCTATTGATGTATTTATTCAAAGTTTCGGCATTGCAAAAAAGCATATGTGATTGCAACCGATACACGTACATGCAAGGAGTAAGAATGTCCACAAGGAGTTCCTCATCGAGAGGTTCCACTTGAAAGCATGACGCAAATAGTTTAAATAATTTGACATTTTTCAAACGACCGCCATGAGGTGGTGACAAAAGCTTTCCACAATTTGGGCACTCTTATCTTTATATGTATCACAAAACCATAACACTCCCTGGGACCAAACTTGAATCACTTAGGAAACTACTGGAGGTGCCGGAAAAAAATTGGGCTCTATATAGGCTGTTTCTCGTGGCTAATCCACTTAAATCTATTTCAAAAATGTGCAGGCTACCCACAAGAAGACGTAGGAAAACAGTGCGGTACTGAGCTCCAGACTCCAAGACGTGGGTAGGATATAACTCGATACCACGGGTACGAGGAAGGAACCACTGATCCATCCAATTATCAACGCACCAAACCTGGAAAAATTAAGCTTTGGGTGTTACAACCTGGATATATGTAAATGATGAAGGCTTCAAACAAAATAACCCGAGCAGACCCGTTCCCTCACACTGTGATGAAACTTGAGCATAAATCGTAAATGAGGCGTACGTGAAAGGACCAGCTGGTTAATGACAACCGGCAGCTTGAATAACAGTATATATAAACTCATAGGGATAAAAGATAGAATTTAGACCGTACCCAATCAGAAAAGCCCTCCCAAGACTCTTCAATCTGTCATTGAGGAAGTAAATGCAAGCAGCAAGAGATACCGCGACCTGTTCAACATCATCCAGGTGATAAGTTAGGACCCAATAGCATCAAACCTTCATGGTTTTCAGCTGTACATAAAAAGTTCAGGTAATTCTGCACTTGCATCTGCATGTAATAAATCATGCAGATAAATAAAAGAAATATGGAGAATAATGGTTGTACGCACTTGGAAAGCAGGACCTCCGTCAGCAGGGTTCATGACACTCCATACTCCGAGTAGGAAAAACAAAGCAAATCTTTGCAGGATAACCTGTGACGCTGGGACCTCCACCCTGTTTGTAAATGCCCTGACCCATGGAGGTGATTCCGCCAGTTTCTTCTTCAGGCTAGTTTTGAGGTTAATTTTGGTCTTCCTCCTGTCCCGGAAACTGTCCATGATAATTTTATCATAAGCAGCTTCAATCGACTCCCTGCTTTTCTCATGCCCTCCATACTGACTTGTCAGATAATTCCTAGCCTCCCGAATTTCTTCTTCTGATGCATCGCGACTTACTCCCAGCCTCTTAAAGGGATCCCTGACGTTAATTCTTGGAAATTCCTGAGGGGGACCTGAAGGTGCAGTTGGTTAATTAATCTATACAGCACGAGCGAAATACACAATGACGACAGTGATACCGACAGTGACAAAGAGCAGGGGTGCTACCTCAACCCTCTCGCTAATCGATAGATTGCTGGGGATCATAAACGTACCATATTCCTCACTCATGTCTCCGCCAGCAACGGAAGCATCCATAGCTTTGACACATAATCTCGGCAGCTGTGAACTTCTTCGATTGAAGGTAGTACGGGTCACAAGGTACTTGAATTGTTCATGAGACGCCCTCCTATGTTGATTCAAAATTAGACTGCCAGTTCCCTGCATCCAGTCAAAGTTTCTCAGTCAGGATTTAAGAAAGTAAAAGGATTGACCACAATGACATTGAGACTGGTCTCTGCATCTTATTCTATGTGGGAACACTTTTCACAGTTACATTTGACGCATCCTCTTTGAAAGGACAGCCAGAATACCAGACAGAGTTCGGTTTCCTTCAATCGGTGCCAACATCGACTGCTAGGCAATTTATCTTCCTCCGACAAGGAAGAGGTCAAACGCAATGCTTCAGACAACTATTGCTGTAAGAGAACAGGAGAATGAAAAAGAAAATTCCTGAGAATCGTCCTTCCGGAAACAAGACATACTACCCACTCCTAGAATTCCCATCCAACGACAAACATGTAATTTCGAACGAGACAGCACCTCCCGACGATGTGTAAAAGAACATCGGCATTTACAAGACTGCAACTTCACACGGGGTGATGGGGAGAGAGAAGACACCCGACCGCTGGTAAAAATTTTGGCCAGCGAAAAAACCCCACGAAGATGGAGATATGAACTTTAGCATTCTCAGCGAGATTCAGCCCATAGTAACACCCAATGGGGGTATAGGTCACACCAGTATGGAGGGTTTATCCCGTACCCTCCCCAAGCTACGACATGCAGTGCACTCTACAACAAATTCCACTGCCCCGCCTGCCGTAGCCACCAGACGCCGAGAAATTCAATCAATTGAGACCTCGGAGAATTCTACTCACAAGTCCTGAGACGGAAGGAATCGCCCGCGTGCTGGAAAACGCCATTGCAGGCTTGGAGCATGGAGATGCAGCCATTGCCATGGCTGCGCAGCCCGCTGCTGCTGTTGCGGATGTCATATCGGTCCGTCCTCAGCGCAATTCGGAGGACAGGGGCGAGGAGAACGACGAAGAAACGAAAGCCCGTCGACGAGCAGAGTTTCTAGAGCTGTACCAACGGACTGTCCTCGGGCACCATAGCCAAGGCTGCCTGCCAGGCCAATGGATCTGTAGAGACAACAAAACCCCACCCCCAGCCAAGGCCCTGCATGGATGGCACTCCCGCTCCCACTCCCGCCGGGAGTGCCGCCGCTTCCCGTCACTCCCGTCCTTCTCCCGACGGGAGCCCTCCGCGAGCATCTCGGAGGAATTCATTGGCTCCTGGGTTTATTGAAATTACTCGAGTTTCACTAGCTCCAGGAGTTAACTCCTGTTCACAACCTTTGACCCGATGTGTATGTCAGGCTCCTCGTTCGGACGGGAACAGCTTGAAAATCGCTGTCCGTTATTTTTCTGAATATCATTTTCTTCTACTTTTATTGTTGTTGGACTTTCGCACCCTAAACCCTTTCCCATACTAACATTGGTATCATACATTCCACGCTTCTTAAAATAAGTACTTTTTACCTTATCGATAAACTTTGAAAACTGGAATATTAGAGGAAAAATTACAAAGAATCGTACGTTTCACTCTTTCTTTCTTATTATTTCTTTGATAACATTTTCTTGTGATTTGGGCCTCCCTACATAGAGGAGCTTCTTTGCATGCACCATGAGAAAAAGAACCAGATGTTTTTCTAGTTGAAGTCCCACGTTGTTCCACTTAAAAAAATTTGTGATGATAAATAAAAGAGGAATCTTACCGCCAACCCTGAAAAAATAATCACATAATAATCCAACACATGATGCCACCTTAGGGCAGTGTTGCATGCTCCAGTTAATATGACAGTTTCTCTGCGATTTATGGTAGAACACGTGGAGGCAAACTAGGAGGTTAAGTGACAGGAATATCGAAATCTCGATGAGTTCGTTGCCTTCGGATGAGGAAGTGAAATTTGTAATCAGAAACAATACACGTGGCTTGGGGACTGATGCTTTTGCCTTCACGTGTTCTACCATAAATCTTTGTAAAGGTTTTACTTCAAGTGGTGAAACCTTTGGTTCTAAGGTCAAGGAACAAATCAATACACCTAAGTAGCCGAATGCCGAAGCACCTAAACGAGCTGTGGTACAGTCCGAACGGCAGGCTTGTATAAATCCGTGCTCTTCCGTCACGGGCAACTACAAATTGAAGGATATGAGAATCCAAAATTCGTTGAACTACCTTTTGTCTCAATTCCTGTCGGTCCATGATTATATATCACCAACAAGATCAAATGCACACAAAAGGACGAAGCCCCTTTTTGGAGACTGAAGGTCACGGGAGATTCTTTCCTCACATGCATCATTGATTTCAAAAAGAGCCCATGCAGGGAGGGGTTAGAGTGTACATAATTGAGCAAAATGTTGCATCAGCCCATGGAGGCATTAACTTACTCAGCAAAAGAAGCTCAAGTAACTGCATCAAGAGAATATAGCTTCCAGAGGCCACATCGTAACAGATGGAAAATTTCTGCTCTTCCTCCTCGTGAGTTCTCATACTGTCCTACACCTATCCTTCGAGCCCTTCGTTAGCTAGGCTTAGTGCTTTCACGTTCTTGCTTTTGGCAGCAAGAAAAAAACTAGAAGAAAAAATCCCAATGTTGATGAATCAATAATGTACGTACTAAATCCTCACAAACAGCCAACGGTTTACCTAAGTCAAAGAATTGTAGCTCGAAGATTGCCCCAAGCGGCTCTACTCTATGAGCTTTACAAAACAACCTACACTAAGCTTCTAAGTCAGGGCATCGGTGGTCTCCTTCGTGGAGATAACCTCCCTCTGCCTCTACCTGGTGAAGAGGGGAGTCCAATCCTAATTCGCTTTGCTCCAATAGGCGGTGATCTGTATCAACGTAGACAACTGTCAGTTCCATTCCTGTAGTTGAGATGCACCTGAGTTTACATAAAATCAACCTGTCACTCATCGTGCAACGTTTTCACTTGAACCCAGAGTTGAGTATGTCTTTGCGTAGTTTTGCATCTCTGTGATTTGATCAACAAGATGAAAAACCTTACCGTGGGGTGTTGTTCGCTCGCTTTCCTTGCTTCAAATTTCTCAAAGCCTCCTCCGCAGCCTAGAAACAGATTGGACAAATTAGTCATCCCCTTTTAAATTAGTCATGGACAAATTAGTCATCCCCTTCGTTAGGTTCGATTAGTATTTCGGTATGAGTACACATCAAAGACAGCTTGCTTGACAGTATAAGAGGTGAGGAGGGATCAGCTTCACAATAGAATCTCATATTGAACATGTGACATGAACTTCGAAGAGCTACAGAAACAATGCACCAAGTTCATCTGTAATATAGTTTGAAAGAGAATAGGCGAGAAGATAGCTTACATATTGCTTGGCTGCATCCCAAGTTATGCCACTACCTTTACCCATTACCTGTCCACCAACCTCCACCTGTCACAGACACGATTGATTGAGTGACAAAGCTTGAAATCTATGAGTTGTAAAAGATCCCACAAACCAAGTCTTCACATGTATGCTACAACACATTTGCTAGTCTGCCACGTCTAGTTTACTCCTATGCAAGCTTATAATACACATGGTTCTTTTTCCTTCGAAGAGTTCACACCACGACTTTAATATGGATACTTTCAGTTTCAACCTCTTGACTCCAAATAAAACTCCCAGTTACCAGTGACGCTGGAGCTATATGTTATGCCACAATCAGATCATTTTCTGGGATCAACAATCCTCAAAGGAGTCTTAACATCTTTGCGTTCACAAACCTGGCAAGTAAATACTTTTCTTAGAGCTGATACTGTCGAAGGAAGTTCCTGAAAATTCACATTTACACCAAGTACTGTACACTGCAAGACAAAGAAAGTATTAGAAGCATACTCCCAAAAGATGCATATATTGGTCTTGCAATAGAAGACACAATTACGATGTATCTCTCTGAAAAATGAAGATATGAGATTAAGACTTCAGAGCCCTGAGGAGGGTGACTAGCAACAGGAGTGTCAAATTTTCATATCGAGACAACAGAGGAGAATATTCCCTAGTGATAAGGGGCTCCGGCTAAACATGAGGGGCATGGGTTTCACAACAAGCCTGAGAAAATGTCCACTTCACCTAGCTTCAAAAACGGATGACAAGGTTTATGGAACTAAAGGACTCATGTAATAAATCCTCGAAATGCATAATACGAAGCAGCGAAGTAAGAGTGAGACATTGTAACTGACTGACAGTTGAATGACTGGTCCGTAATGATTACCCGATCTTTTAGAGTTGCAACAAAATTGGGCACCGCTCGTGAGTATTCGTAATTGACCTGCCCCGACGTACTGGGCACGGTTAACTCCAAGTCCATAATGCCTGGACCCAGACCTGCTGAGATCCTTGGATCCCTAGAGCTTTGTCGGGCTAACATCGGTTCCCCTTCTTCTACTGACCCAAGAAAAGGATGATTTGCAGGCCTAGATGCTACACCCACAGACTGATGGAGACCTTGTGATGGAAATTGCCCTGAAAGAAGATAAATACTCGTTTCTTAGTTCATCCAGCTGGACCTGAATAAAAGAACCACATATGTTCACATAAGCGCTTATGTGGAGTGCCACATAAGCGCATCAAGTAGACACATAATACTTTAAGAAAAGACATAATGACATCATACTACATATTGCATCAATAATGACAGATATCTGTCCTCATTAAACCCAACCCAATTCTGTCTGAATTGGGTAGGGTCTACATGCTTTTCTTCTCTAAGTCAGGGGCATAGAGGGCTTTGAGCAAAATTCTTACTCGCTAGAAACCGAAGGGCATCTTCGGCAGCTCGAATCTTGGCCTCCTTCTTCGTCCTGCCAGTACCTTGACCAACCTTCTGCCCTGCGAATAGGACCTGCACATGTATTTGTGTAAGTCCTCAAAGGCGCCAGACCGTCACAACAAAACCCGTGAAATTGTTTCAACCATTATGTGAGACTTAATACTGAATCAGAGATTCTATACACAAGCAGTGCCATATTGTGGAAGGTTAAATTGTTGAGGTAGATATATATACCTCCACAGTGAAGAGTAATCGCGCTGATGATGAAGTCAACAGTGATTTATACTCCACCTAGAATACAGAGAAAACAAGTTCACATAAGAATCCATACGTTAGAGGAATTCCGAGCTAGAGAAATGCTCCAACAAGTTCTGTAATGCAATACTTATAGTAGCAACCATCCAAATTAGGTTTGAGAACAAACTCTCCGCAAGTTTGAGCATACAAGATACGGAAAGTCAAAACTTGTGATTACTTACAATAGCTTTACACCGTTGAGCGATCCCTTGCAAAACATTGACAAAATTGGTAGGAGCCATTCTTCCTGAATGTAACTGTACGTCAGGCATATCTGATAAACCCCTGCCCAATGACTGCTCATCCTCATCTGCGCATATAACAGCAAATACCATTATAATGAGAAACTGTGTTTTACAACGTCTGCACTGCAAGCTCAGTGCCAGCTTGTAAGCCTAAAAAGCATCCCTCGAGACAGATGCCACATCTACCAAAATGAGGACTGCAATACATGACACTCATCCAAGTCATTTATGAAACTGGTGCATGGCGCCTTGAATCACCTGATACAGAAGAATGTTCTAAAGAGAATCCATCCGGCCCTTGTCGATCATCTTGAAGGAACATCTGATATCAAAGGCAAACCACAAGTGGTAAATTAATTCCCTGGTTCGCAGAGCATATGGCGAGAAGCAGACCAGATTAATAGAAAAGAGACGAACAAAGCTCGCCTCTATCAGTCTTATCAAACCTCCGCAACATACAGCAGCTTCGTAATACCTCGTGCAGACAAAGTGGATGTGAGCTGGGGAAAAGTAGCACGAAACCTACGTTAACAACACTTTCCAGGAGCAAGCTTAAAGAGAAGAACTCAAACTTGTCCAAGCTCTCACCTCTTCTGCCGGGAGCCGCCTTCTTGGATCTCGTGGACCACACCGATCGGCAAGATAAGGGCCGTCGTTAATAGGAGTAAAACCAGGAGGTCCTTGGAGACGTTGTTGGCTGTCGAAGGAAGGAGACTCTGGTTCAAGCAACAGCTCAGGTGAAGCGCGAGTTGGTCTTCGAGGACTCATCTCTTCTTCACCACCCAGCCAACCGCCGGGAGATGCGTAGGAAGGAATAACCCCCGGTAGTTTGACCGGAAAAGGTGGTTCGTCGAGTAGTAATGGTTCTCTGGCGTGATTAGTGTCCATCCCATGCTGCAAAATAAGAAGCCTCCTGCGTGTATCTGGATCCAGCTCTGACTCAGGTACTTCTCCTTCTTCTCTAGCTGGTGATGAACCCTGGGCTGAAGTTTTGTGCATAACAGTCATGGGCCTCGGAAGGGCTGGTTGTATGTAATGTTGGTGATCTCCAGCTCCTGCGTGTGAATACGCGTCGACCTCCTCTTGTCGTGGGTCTAGGTTAATTTGTTGAGGACCATGGCCTCCTGATAGAATATGCGATAGAGGAGGAGGTTGCACTAACTGCACTATTGGGTCTAACGCTAATCTCATCTCTTCGTTCTCTCCTTGAAACGTCCTTGGAAGTCCAACATTGTTCGATGCCTGCAACAAAAGCACATAGACGACCGTTGGCACACAATCCCTGTAGAACATTCGCACCTAAAAGAAAAAAACAAATGCCAAATTGGCCAAGGAAATGCCCTGGACGCTACAATTGAACTGAAGGAACCTTTCCTCATAAAGGCGTAGGTTGTCCGTTTTACAGGATGGATTCTTTACTTCTGTAGATATACTTCTGTAAAAATAAGCACTACGTGTCACAATAACGGCCCTTCAATGAGGAACACATCTCCTGATACTAACACTTGGTGTGATCAGAGTCTGTTAGAAGTGAGTTGAGGATTGATAAAGACGAGGTTTCCATTGGTGAACATGCTCATCTGTGAACTGGTTCGAAATTTGCTCTTGTCAATGGAACGGTAACGAGGTCCAACAAACTAAGATCAATGGTACCTTACATGGCCTAGGTTAGTCTCTGTCTCCACTGGGATAAAGGCAGGTAGAAGAGGGGTATTTCCCGCATCTGCACCTGCAAGAGAGGGTATGGGAACCAAGGGAAGCAGTCTAGTTGAGGACAGTATTGCCCTTGCCATCGTACTAAGTGTCATCTTTATAGATTGCCTATTTGCCCACTACAGTCCAGATTACACGTGCAACGACATTTATATGAACTGCAATTGAAATCAAAATAGTCAAAAAACAGTAACGACCATAGATGTTCCCCACGAAGACTGGCCACTGGAACAGATCAAAAGGAAACAAATCTGAGTGAAAAAAATATTCTAGCTCAGATCAGTTTCCTCTAGATGGATTTACTTTGGATAAAACTCGACCTATTTCGATTCGAAATTTACTATACATCATTGTGCCGTGAGTTGAAACAGGACTTTCTTATGTTTACCTGATCTAACCGGGCTTCCACTTCCACGTTAGCCATTCCATCGGGAAACTCTTTCGGCCCATTAGGCATACTAAAGACTGGAAAAGCACCTTCCTGCATCCCTCAACATGAAAGGTTGTTATGATCAGTCCCGTTAGCAAAAAATTGAACATGTGATTTGAGCTTGCATCTTGAAAAACCTTCGGAATATGGCCAAGTCAGAGTCAGATTTAACAAATTCAGAGACATAGTGAAATTAAGATGACATGAAAGTAACTTCATAAAAGAAACGGCAACAGTCACTTGTTCATATGACAGTCCGAGGGAAATGGCAAGTCCTCTCCATTGTAGCTCGTTATTTCCAACACTAAACCGACAACTGAGTGTATTTAAAACAGAAGCATACCTCTGGCACCAAGTAGTTGCTAACATCAGGGGGGCGAGGTAGTGATGCGACATCTGTGTCAAAATGCACTTCGGACATCTGTTGGAAAAGGTTTTCGTCGAAGTGCCTGCACAAGTCACGATCAATGATAAGTTCATCTTGATAAACATCTAATAAGCAGAAGGAATTTGAATCAGAAAACCATGATAAGCACAGAGCAATGGGCTAGTACAAAGTTTTTTACGGTAGCAAGCGATATCAAAAGCAGCCCTCAGGCCTTCGCAGACTGCTGCGCTTAAACTTACTTGAAAAATCCTGCCCGAACATTGCAGGCCACATTCCTCGCAACGCATAGGACTGGTATTTGGCTGTTCGTCTGCGAGTTCCACCAATCATCAAGTTAATACCCTTGCGAAAATTAAAAAAATTGAGTGCACTAATCTTTTCCATAAACTTGCAATTATAACGAGATTATACAAAACCGGCACTCAAAGTCGGCGTAAATCAATACCTCTGCCTGTGGTGCATAATAGGGAGCAAAAGCAGGCACAACATGAACCCGTGGTTGGTCAGAATCCTCCCAGACTTTCAATCGATCATCTACCACCATAGCCATCTTTGGATGACACCGATGATGTGGGAAGACATTCAATAATGACTTTTTGTTACCTGCAAGAATCATGAACTAAAATAGTAAAAATCGATGTAGTTCTCAAGAAGATGAACACTATCACAGCTACTCTTCTAGACAAGGTTGACTCCGAGGCCATCAAAAGTCTTCTTATCTCTCACCTTGTGGGCTTATCTACCAGGATCTGGATTAGCTTCTGTATCTATCATAATCAGCATGCTTCATGAAACCCACAAATTCCTCATCGAGAAGAAATATATAATACATACAACCTGTGTCAGGACCTCATTCCGACAAATCAATGTGGTCCGACACTTCGTAAAATCTCACGAAGAATGACTGATGTTGTTTTAAGACGTGTATTCTTGGACTGTCAAATAAAGATGTGTCTATCACATATGTACGCGGCCTTTAACCGAAGCACACAGTTTTGGTCCCTTACTGCAGCTTTCAAGTTGATATAGTTTATTGGCTACGGTATTCATTCAAACACAAGCATTTAGATGAATAGCTTTGTCATAAAAAAATGTAACTGCTCTCATAACCATCACCTCTTTTGGTAGGAACAACACGTTATACCCTATGCAGGACAGAAGTTGGCCTACCTGATTTCACGCATACAACCCGCTCCATCAACTCTCGGATATTGATGAGTCGAGATTCCGGGTCAAGAAGACGCCACATTTCTAGAGCATAATCTCTTTCAGACATGGTGCATATGTACACCTCAAATCGTTTGCGACCTTTTGCTATAAGATAGCTCCGAAGTTCTTCCCATGCTGGGCGTAACCTCACAAGAACACTTGTATCCCTCACCTACAGTTGCAAATCACTTTCAGAATGATATTGAAGACAAGTACTTGACCAGATACATCTTGAACAAGTAGAAGAGATATTTGTCCACAGGAGGAAGTAGGGATGTTCTCTGCTCAAATGCAACATTCAGACCAAGATCCGGCGGCTGTGAGAAACACCAAGAATCTACCCAAAGTGAATAAGAGATAAGGCTGTATTTCAACGAAATTTTTAGATACAATAACGTCCTCGACCATTATCTTCTCAGGTGCACTAAGACTATGCAGCTTAGGAGTGTAAATTTTCTACGTCCATCATCATAACCATTGCTTCACAACTTTTTCCACACCAAACTTCGAATACAGGACTACGATCGTGGGGATAGGTTATGAAATTGCTTACAGCTGGGTTAATGCGTGTGAGCACCATATTGCGCTCGGGAAGGCGGATAATGGGTCTCACCAACGGAAGGGCTCCTTCTGCAAGAGGAGGGACAACTTCCCCCTGTGCCTTCACTAACAGTCCATTCTCAAATACCTGATCGTTATCCACATATTGTTTAAGAATGCTCCTGTCCTCCTGGTACCTTTTCATCTCTGCTGCCATACCAGCTCTTCTTTGCGGATCATTCTCTAACCCACGAATTTTTCTATCAAGTGCTTCAATGCGGTTTTCAAAAGACCTCATTGTGTTGGCAACAATGAGTGTTTCATCTAGATCAAACACCATGGCCAGACATCTCAGATTCAACATTCCGAGGCATGACGCGTACATTCCTTCACTTGTCAGATATGCCCAAAAGCAAGGTCTCGGCTGCGTTCCAGCCCTCGGAGCCATGGCAACCAGATGCAATTCGTTCCCATTCTCAAGCTGCACGACTGCTGTCTGCACAATTAAAGTTGATGACAGCTATATTTCAGTAAGGGCAATCACGACGTCTATACTTCACACATTACGGGCGCAGAGACAAGTTGCAACTGAAAACTTACAGCCCTGCTAGGGCGAAAAAGGTGGAGCCTTGCACAAAAGTTCCGGTTTGGTAGAAAGAAACGGTTCATCTGCGTTGGAGTTTCTCTGAGAAAGGAGAGGTTGAACATGTGCGGAACACGTTTTGAAATGTTGCTCATTTCAAGTGGTTATAGAGATGGAAACAGAGAAAGAAACGTAGGACTAACAATTATCAAATCATCTGGACAGACAAAGCCCCGAAATTAGGTACAAATCGAATATTCCCTCCACCAGCGGAAACGATTACTGTTCTCAAAGACGAGGCCCATCAGCTCATTCAACTTCATCACTGTACGTTTATTGTACAAGTGATTAGACCCCAAGATAGATGGCGGTGACAAATTTGAAGGATTTCAGGGGATTGGGCTAACAGGGAATGCATACTGGCCATTGTATACATAAGATTGAATATGGCAGCACAAAATTATGAGTCATCCTCGCTCGTAACATTATCTACTTTCTCGCTGGTGGGAAGACATGTATATTGGTTCGTTGAAAAGCACATCAATTTGCTGATGAGTGTAGAAATTACTCAATACCTTGGCTTCTTCAAGACATGTTGTGTACAGCTGATCCAGGCCGTGCACATGTTGCTCAGCGGGAACCAATTTAAACCATGGACCATTGGATGCTATGGTGTGTAGCACCGTCAGCGGAAGACATCGCTCGCTTGGGGGAGACATAAACGAGACACGGATTTCCTTGTCAAATAAGTATTGTACATAAGAATGATCGGCATCTTGAGGGGATATCAGCACATCGCCCAAACAGTCTTCCCCTTGGAACAAATACGATATGAACCCGCTGGGTCGCTCCATCTCCTGGTTCTGCTCACAGACCCTCTATCACTTCGGTGTGTATTTCGAAGTCCCACGCCCGAATTTCGTCAGCTGACATCTAGTGCTCCCCGTTTTAAGGTTCCACATCAAACTTTAGATTCTTCGACCAATCCCTACTTGCGACCTGAATCTCACGAGCTCAGCAGAGTCTCTCTCCTCCTCCGGGTTTGAGTATGAGTCATGATCATTTCTCTTGGTTCACGACACTCTCCCACTAAAACACGCTCGAAAGAAACTCATTCGATTTCGGCATGCGGTAGCGGCCTTAGACCAGTAGAACATTTCTCGTCGAGTTGTCCCGGTCCCTCGTTCTCCTGACAAATGTCCTGAAACCCTATGACCATGCCCAGGCCCGAAGCACCGTGAATGACCTAAGGCAAAAATGGTTCGATTCAAAGCAGACACGACCCGAAAATTTTCGTTAGCTCATCTGCTAAGCTGCCCCCTACAGGGGAGCAAAGTCTAAATCAAAAGAGGAAACACACATTGAGGTTTCCCTCGTTCTATAACTTTCTGATGATGTCAGGCGTTCGGGGACGCCAGATGTTTGTTGAGTCTCACCTTAAGCAGGCATTCTTCTCCGGTGACCCCTGGCTACTTCCCAGCTTCAGCAGTGGAGTAGTGTTTCTCTTGACAAGGACACCTCTGGCCTACTGACAGAGAGCTGTCTCTCGTCAGAGGACACTCAACGTTTATCGGGGGAGTACATTGGGTTTGAAAACATTCGGCCTTAACCGTAACGTGATCTCCACAAATCCCAGATTCAGCCTTAGAGGAACATTGCTCCGTATTGACGATGTTCCACAGCAGGATAAGTAGGATGCATACGTTCAAGTATCCTCAGGCGTTACGAACTCCCCCAAAGATCTAGGATCACAGGCGAGTTCGAGTGCCCAAGTGGGGATCACAGTCTCTCAAGACAAATCGAGAAGCTCGACGGAGCAGTCTGCAAGACAGCGAGGTCTAGAGTCCCGGGCCAGCCCCGAAATTACTGTGGTTTTGTGCACCAAATTGAGGGCTCTTCTGATTTGATGATTATTTACAGGCTTGTTGAAGAAGGTCGCAGGCGGTTGTATTTCTGCAGAGGAGTGCGAATGCACACTTCACGACACGCACATGGATGTTCGATCGGCGAGCAATTGCTGTTTACAAGTTCATTCCTGTCCGGGGTGATGGCTGTGTACCACCAGAGTAACTTCGGAGTTCAATGGCTTGACTCTATATTTCCTGGCCCAGTGTTTCCCTAACGTTCGTCACTCAGATCATTACACTGGAGTCCGGGCAGATCGGGGCTGGGCAGCAGCAAGTGAGTCGCCGGGAAGACAGGTCGCGCAGGGGGGCCCCGGGTCCGAGCAGGGAGTTCGGGAGAACAGACAGGCCTTTTAAACGCAAGCGAGGGAAAAAACGGGGCAGGGGAATTCTCTTCTACGGCACTCAAGTCGCAGTCGAAGCTAGCGGGGGCAGCAGAGAGGTGACAGACAGGACGGGCGGGACGGGAGCAGCACGGACGAGGATGCTCGTAGTGATGATAGTAAAGTGGTGCATTAGGGTTGGGGCGACGAAGTGAAGTGACGGAGAGCTTCACTTGGCTTCTCTTTTACACCAGGAGAAGGAGGTAGAGGTACAAGTGGTAGAAGGGGTGGTAGTCATGGGCATCATCAATATTTTGGGCATCGCCCCCTCAAACCACCGCACTGAACGTGTCCTGCGCCACCCCATAATCGATTGCGACTCACTCTCTTAGGGTCCTCTTCTTCTTCTAGAGCTTCCTGTCTGTCATCTCATGTTCGAAATCCATCACACACCACCACGTCTTGGGGCGACGTTCTTCCCAGTTCCCGGCCAGACTCACACAACAGACCCTCAAGGCGAAAGACGACGATAACCCAGCTTCGCGACCTTCGCCTCCTTCTTCTTCCTCTCTGCTGTGCAGCAAGCGAGCAGGCGAGCAGGAAGTGCAAGGCTCACACAAAAGATAGAATGCCCGACTAGCGCAGCTCCCTCATGGCAACCAAACGAGCGATCGGGGACGAAGGAGGTCAGAGCGCGAGGCGGACACAAATAGTGGGAACTCGAGGCACCTCACCGGTTACAGGCTGCCGCTCGCCCTCAGCCCCGCCCTCCGCCTCCCCCTTTGACCGGCACCTTCCCGGCCACCGGCTCACCTAGTCAGTTATCCGGACGTAAGCTGAGCCAGCCAGCCCTCCTCACTCACGGCTCGAAGTCGTTGCGAGGGAAAGGCCGGAGAAGAGAGCCACCACGGAACCAGTTTAGGGTTTGCCGTGTACCAACCTTTGCCCGCTGTCCTTTCCTGCTCCCCTGACCCCCTCCTCTCCTCTCCTCTCCTCTCCTCTCCTCTAAACTGGCCCGCTTCGCTCGCTCCTCCTCCCGCTCCTCCTTCTCCAGGCTCTGCTTCCCCTGAAACGCTCGGCGAGTTTTGGTCGGCTACATTTGGCAGGACCCCTGGTGGTCATCCTCGGACACTCCACCGCAAAGAACCTTCGTGTTTTGCAGACGCGTTTCGGTTCCGAGTTTTCCTTGTTCTGGGATCACTCGTTGCGGTCCAGTGACGACCACAATAACCAGCATGTGCAGCCAGGCCATGCTCCATTCTCTTGTGTTCCCCTGTCCTCCTAGAGGACCGCGAAACTCAACAACCACCACTTAGCTGTGATCTTGTCCCAGTGACAATAACAATCGGATCGTCTTCTTTATGCGAACCCAAGCGCTATCAATTACGCTGCACGAAACTTCGCTTCTGGAAGTCCTCGTTCCATTTACCTTCCGCGCTAGCTAAAATTCATACCTTATTAAGTGACACACATGCCTCTCACATAGCGTGAAGGCGGGTTGCCCTCGCTTCTTATCATCCCCTTGGGCGTGATTTTCTCCCGCCTCTGAGGTTTTGGCATGATTCTACATAATCCCATGCGTAGCCATTTTCCTCATTAAGAATCTGATCTAGATCTCATCATGTTCGACCTAGATTGTCAACCTATCTCATGAGCATCATGACATATTTCCCATCGTGGTACTTTTGGGATCTACCCCCAACTTAATCCCCTTGGGTTCATCCATGTACCACCGGATGTGGTGTTCCCATCCTTTTGGGTATATCACTTAGTTTCCAATAAATATAGTGTGATACGGTTATCACTCGCGTAGAGATTGGGGATAAAGGAAATTCTCAAATGAAAGTGTTGGTGTTGAGATGGAGATATTCGTTCACAAATCTACTGGAAGATCCACAACCCAACTTGAGGTCATTTAAGGTGCAACTTCTTGAGAACGGGTTTAAGTTTTCGAAGCAATTCCCATTCCCCTGTCTATATAAATTCAGTTTGATCTCCTCATGTATAGTTCTGCCAATGTTTTGCCAAGATTCTAGCAACTGGAAACAAGTACTATTAGCCTCATACTCCCACTTGTCATCCAATCAAAATACCGGAAGAATTTGGTGGTCAACTCGAAGGCTTCCACATTCATTGACCTGTTGATTAAGACAAAACTTCACTCTTGGTTGTGTACAGAATTGTGAAGATATACAAATCACCTGGTCTTGATTTTCGTGACACTTTCGTGAGAATGTAGTCCTGATAATAATATCAGGTGAATTGGTTTAGTTTCAAACTCCGGCTATCAATGAGAGTATTTAAATTTTTACACGATGAGTGGAGGAAAAAATGATCAAGGGGTGAAATTCATACATGCTTTATCATATCATGCTCATGTTTTTCATTGTGAAGACTTGAACTCTTTAGCCCGAACATAGTGCGAAGAAGATGCCCGATTGGACATCAGGAACAATGTTATTGATGTAGTAAACGATATGTGTGAGAATGTTGATTCTGAGAGCTTCACTTGTATTTTCCCAGTATGCTGTTATTCCAAAAGGTCATCATCAAGTAGGAAAAGCAAGTCGACCGCCATTCCAACAAATTTTATTTCCAGATCAAGCAATATACGGCGCTTCATCTACACTCGCTACCTGCCAAAGCGTTTTGGGTCACATATGTGACCTCAAGTCTCTTTGAGTGATGGAAGATGTGATCTGAACTGGAAGTGCTTTGCTGACTTTGTAGGGAAATTACCTGCTTTGGTAAGTGTTTGATCTCAACTTACAGTAAATCTCCCAACCATAGAGAATTTGCCGGTTGTCAAAGTTTCTGTCTTCGTGAACTGAATAGAATCGTCAATGCCAAACTAAAAAGCAAAAGTTAGGTATATGTAACCTGATGAACCGGCAATCTTGTAAAGTGAGACTGGAACATACATTGAGTTGCAAGAGTGTACAACATACAAATATGACACATGGGACCTGAAAGTACAATAGGTTATTTAATTCAAAGTTATCCAACGTACATCGAGAGATCCATCCACTGGAACATGAAAATGGCATATTATATAAATCAGTACTTATATGTTACATCATTTCCCATACTTTACATAACATGATTTCAAATCATAGCCAAGATCTTGACACTACATATGATCAACCCAAATACGAAGAAGCAACCCAGTTTTTTAACTACCCAATAGTTAAGTCTTCTTTCAAATCTTTATAATATTTGATTAAAGAGAAATTATAACTAATTCTTTTGTACTATGTGTCTATTCCAATCACTAGACATTGCAAAAAAACAAATTCTTTGTATAGAAAAAAATATAATTATGAAATAATGATAAATATATCAAATGAAACTCACATAAGTGTTAAAAAAGAAGGTACAACAAGAATATCTTTTAATAATGTTTGATTGATCTCAAAAAAACCTAATTATGCAAAAATGTCACTACAAATACAAGAGACTTCTAATTCATGAACAAATCAACTAATTTCTCCAATAAGTAACACAAATATGAAGTCTGCAAATAATCAAACAGAATATTCTATAAAAAATTTCCAAATCATCTATAATAACATTTTAATATAGTAAGTGAAATAAATAGATGAGTCAGAAAAAATTACAACAAAAGTTGAAATGATGGAAAATAATATTCGTATTATTATTTTATAATATTAAAATAAAAATTTGAGAATAAAAATTTATTTTTACAATAATTATATATAAATAATAATTAATAAAATATTTATATAATGATTTTTACAAAAAAATTTATTAAACATATAAAAATAATTAATTTAAAATTAATTTCAAGTTCTAAGATTTTGTAAATATTCTTTCTAATATTTAATAAAATATATTTGTCGGAGAATATTCATGATTTTATCAATCATCTGAAAAATCAAAACTAAAATTCTTTTTTTTATTATCTGGAGTAAGCTGTTTTACATTTTCAGAAAAATAGTCTACTCTACTTGAAATTATTCATATAAAGTATTTGAAAACTCACTATAAATATGTTACTTTTAAATGTAATATTAAATTTTTAGATATTCAATGCAAATTATATCAATTTCATGCTAAGTATACAAAATTTATAATTATTCATATTTTAAAATTTAAAAAATATTTTCCAAAATTTACTCTAAATTTTAAATTTTTAGTTATGAACTTAAATAGTAAAGAATATTTATAATATGCTTTGGAATTGTGAATGAAAATATAAAATTATCATTATCAACTTTTATTTAGATTATAATTATTTTATAAATGTCATAAGTATTACATAAAATACACATAAAACTTAGATTTTCTCCTCAATATATAAAAAAATATTTCAGTTGTTATTCTTATAAAATCTAACTAAAATATTTTTCTCTAAATGTATAACTGAATTGTAATTTAGTGATATTTTCTTTCCTATGATTGTTTACAACTTTGTAATTTTAAACTCAATATATTTTTACTTCATTTTTTTTATAAGTTTTTAAATAATAGCACATAAATTTACGTTAATCAATGACTATGTATAACATTATCAAACTCATATTATATGGAGGTAATTTTTTTTATTAAATTATAAAAGACAAAATACTAAAATTATATTTTTTAAATTTAAACACATTTTAATCTTAAAGATTTATTTATGTCTTGATTCTAATTTTGATTGGCCTAACCTTGATAAATTATCTTGAGAATTATCATATCATATAAATAGTTGATCAAAGTTTGCAACAACAAACTGTAATGTTCAATTATATATTTCTTCGTGTTCATTGTTTGAGTGTGTGCGATGATAGATTAAATCATTGTTAACATTTTGTAATAATTAATATTGAAATCATGAGTTTCAAGGATTACATATTTTCCATTGTTATATACAAAATCTCATATATGGAAAAACTCTTCAACTTCATGATATTCATTGCAAGCACAAATGAAAGTATAATGTTTTTGAAAATGACATATTAAATAGCTCAAGGTTTTGTAACATCATCACAACCTAAAACAACCATCACTTGAATATAAATTCATCTCTAGCCAAAGTCACATTAACAACCATGCATAAAATATCATCTTTGCAAACAACATTCTTATCAATAAGCTTTGTATCAAGCTTTCAAATCTTTCTCTCAACATACTCATTCTTTGATGAAGTTGCGCTTGGGATTTAGCAATTATATCAAAGCTCATTTATTGTTTTAGCTTTTATACATTAAGCAAATAATTTGTCTACAATATTGAGAAATGGATTATACAATTTGTAGATGTTACAATGATGGAGACCATTATGAGTAAAAAAAACTACGTTAAATAATGTTATTAAGATTAATGATTTACTTCTTTGACGTTGTCAAACAAAGATGTTGTTTAAGAATGTTGAATATGAGGATGACGTTGCAATTTATTATTAATTTATGACAAATTTCAAGACACTAAGCATTTTATTTTGCATGGTCATGCGTTACGTGTTTTGCAAAACAAAATTTTGTATAGATTTTCAAATCATCAACTTCACGTAAGATGTTTTTGGCAATCCTGACTTAATTGAATGCTTTTGTGATAAATTCAATAATTTTGTTTGGATTGTTCATAGTTAATGCGCAGCAAATTGGATATTTTTTTGGCCATTGTTGGACTTTTTATTAGCATATGATTCTACAATACATTAGATTTTTGCT